AACCTATTAGAATTAATTAATAGTTTCTGCTATTAACTACCTACAAATACACCTAATACGTACTATATATACTACTTAGGTAACTACCTACCTAGAATAAAGAAAAACTACCTAGTTACTATAGAATTAATATTACTAGCTAGATATATAAGAAGACGTTAACACGTACGTAGCAGTATATAAGACTTACTACTAGAGCTATGCTCTATAAGATAAGACGCTAGGTCTTCTAAAGCCTCTATCTATTTCTAAGAGAGTATAGTAGAACGTCTTTATAGATTTTAAGAGCTTTCCCTCTAATAAGAAAGAATTTAACTACGTGTACGTCGTTATAGATTAGCTAAGTAAGTAGAGCTTCTCTCTACTCTACTATAAGAAAATTATAGCTTAACATATAGTAGAGCTATATTACTAATATATCTAGCGTATATATAGTTCTTCTAGGTCTATTATATTAAATTATAGCTTATAGTTTACCTTTACCTTTATAGATAAGCTCTACTAGCTTATAGAAATTAAGTAGAAGCTCTTTACTACGTACTACCTATAAACTAATAGAAATATAGAGATTGTTAATTAATATCTTAATTAGCGTCTACGTCTATTTGTTAACTACTACTAGAATAATTAGTTAGACCTTCTACTCTATATAGATTAGGCATAAGCTATATTACTATATAAAACTATAGAACTAACAGTGTATAAAATTAAATTTAGACACTAACTAATATACTACTAGAATTAGAAGAAGCGTATAATAAAAGTCTCTACTCTATATAAGCGTCTCTTACGCTAGAAAGCTTAGAATTTTACTAAGAAGTAATATAACGCTATAGAAAAAGCTACTAAAATTATATAAAGTAATATTGCGAAAGCGCAAGCTAGGTAGACGCTCTAAGTAAATAAAAAGCGCTAAGAACCTAATTTTGTAGTAGGCGACCTTGTCTACGTTAAACCTTATAGCTTTTTAATAGATTAGCCTAGTATAAAGCTAGATTAATAGATGTATAGCTCTTACCTAATTATTACTATAAAGAGTTACTTCTTCTAGCTCTAGCTACCTACGTATATACGTATACATAACGTCTTCTACGCTAATTAGTTAAGAAAAGTCTTAGAGCTATTACTAGAGTAGGTAGAGCCTAAGCAGCTACCTATTAAAGTTAATAGCAATCTAGAATAGCCTGTATATAAAATTCTAGATAGCTATCTTTATTAAAATCGCCTTTAATACCACGCTGTATAGGTTACTTATAATTCTAACTCTATCTAGTATAATACTATAGGCTTTATTAACACTCTCTATAAGATAAGAGACTTTTACGCAGTATACCTAGATAAGCTAGAGCTACTATTACAATTAGATGCTTAGATTAAGGCGTACGAAAAAGACGAGACCCTAGAGAAGATAGCGGAGAATTTAAAACCTATAAGGGTAGAAGACGCTAGAGTAACGCGAAGGCGCCGCTAAGTAATTTAAGACTCTACTAAGCTTATAGCATTGTTCTAGAAGAGAGCTAATAAGAAAGCCGCTCTACTAACGCGAAAATAAGCCTCTTTCTCTCTAGAGAGAAGGTAGTAGCTATAAAAGCGCTTCTAGTTTAAAACTAATATAAATATACTTACTACAAGCTAAAAAGAGATAGTTAAGAGTATAACGCGGGAGTTTTAGAAGAAGAGAGACCTAGAAGGCGTATTTTAGAGCTTAGAGACAAGCTCTTCCTATAAGAGGGGGTAATATAATAGTCTAGTTTAGAATTTACCTTAGGTTACATAACCTTAGGTTACGTAATTCTGTTACGTAACCTAGCCTAGCGCCTTAGTGCTTAGCACCTCTATATATAGAGAGCTCTTAGAGTATTCTTCTACTTCTTACCTTTAGATAGCTAAATTTAACCTAACCTACTCTGCTAGTACTCTATTCTTATAGCTTGTAGAGACAGTGCTACCTGCAGCTAACTTACTTAGCTAGGTGTTCTAAGACGCTTATAGTAGTAGAGACTATAGACCTAGCCCTTACATAGTAGTACTTATTCTACTAGCTATAGATAAACTAATTAATAACCTATTATAGACTATATATAATATATTAGACCTAGTATAGAAAATAATTACTACGCTAGAGAACCTATTAGTAAAGCGCTAGCTAAAATACCTTTAAAGACTTCTCTAGGTCTCTATACTTAACTATAGAGTCTAATAAAACTATATTTAGTATAGAGATTATATATTTATACTACTAAATAATAAACTACGTATATAGATCTTATACTATACCTATAATACTAGCTCTGCTAGCTACTCTAGATAGGTTAAAACTATAGACCTTATCTACTATAACTACTAGTAGCTATAAATCTTCTATAATATTAAGACTTATATATAAGCCTACGCTATATACTAAGAATAAAGGTATCTAGACTCTTACTCTAAAGCTTCTTAAAACTACTACTAGTTCTATTCTAGACATAGTCTAATATATTAGTTAACTATATTACTCTACTACTTAAGTATAAGTTATATAGTTAAAAATATAAATATATTCTTATAGTAGTCTACTAACTTATAAAAATACGCTACCTTATCTCTATAATAAAAATTAACGTAGAAGAGCTAACTAATACGTTTATTTTATAAATCTATTTACTTTATAGCTACTCTAATAACGTTATTTCTAATTATAGTATATAGTTTATCTTCTAGTTCTAGATATAGCTTTCTACCTACTTAGAAGTTATACTTAAGTACTTATTCTTATTCTACCTAGAGATAGATAGATAGATAGAGTAAGTTAATAGCTCTATTAAGGTATATCTCTAGGCGTTTATAAACTTCTACTAAGATAATTAGGTCTAATAGCTACTACTTATAGAGTTTATAATAAATAATATTATATCTAAGACTATAGAGGTATCTCTATTTTTTGCGAACTATAGCTTCTATCTAAGATTAGAAGTTAAGCTAGCGTAACTAGTACTACTAAACCTATTAGCTATATAAAAACGTAAGTTTTTTAAAGCTAATAATATAGCTAATTATTTTAGCTATATTCTATTCTAGCTAAAAGTATTAGCTATCTAGTCTATTACTTAGTATAAGCGCTATATAAATAAGAGACATAAGAACGTACTATAATTTATAATAGAAGACCTCGTCTATATTAATACGCGTAATATAAAGATAAATAAACCTATAAAAAAAGAAGATAATAAGCTTATAGAACTATATAAGATACTAAAGGTCTATAACTAATTATATATACTAGAACTTCTACTATATATATAAATTTTTCTAGTATTCTATAACTTACTACTCTATCTCTAGCACGCTTTTGTAGGCCTTCTAGGTTAATAGATAATTAATAAAGTAGAGTTACGCTATCTCTATAGAAAAGTTCTTAAAAGAGAGAATAAAATAGAAGAACTTACTAAGAAGTAGAAGTTTAATATAATATTAGACTACTATAATAAGTAACTAGAACTATAGTATCTTATTAAGTAGAAGAACTATACTATAATATAGTAACTAGCGTTAGATCTAAAGAGTTAGAATAATACATTACTAAGATTCTATACCTAGCACCTAGATAAGCTAGACCTACCACAATAAATAAAAAGGCTATAGACGCTAGTTAGTCTAAATTTTTTATTATTTTATAAGCTATCTAAGACGTATAGCTATTTAGAAGAGAGGTACTATTATAGCACTAACCTATCTACGCAGCTACGTAACCTTAGCTATTTTAGCGCCTTAGCGTAGTAGATATCTTCTCTACGCCTTCGCGCCTTTATAGCTTAATATTATATAACTTATTATATACCTCGAATTCTTGTTTCTTATCTACGCTATAATAAGTATTTAGTAGAAGCTTAGTATTTTTAGAAAGTTTAGTAGTATAAAGAGTTTAGTAGTAAAGTATATTAAAGAATATATATATAAATTTTTATAGAGAAATATTAAGGTTTTACTTAGTAATTTAAGAAAAACTAGTTAATTTTCGTTAATTTTTGTTACTAAGAAAGTATAGAGCGTTTAGTAATATAGAGTGTCTAGTAATAGAGTATGTTACTAGCTATACTAATAAATAAGTTAAATAACTTTATAAGAATAGGTCTACTAAGTTCTTTAATTACTAATTAAGGCTTAGTTTTTATAAGTAAGTTCTAACTTCTCTTTCTTTTCTCTAGGTTGTCGCTTATCGTACCGATTTGTGGCGATTCCACAGCTTGGCCGTCAGTGCGTCACTGGCTTGAGCGGGGTTGCCGGTGGCGGTGTGCTTGTTCGCGGCCATTAGTCTCGGACGATTACAGATTCGAAGGGTGATCAAAATCGAGAACATCGACATCACCTGCATTGCGAGGGTGTATAAAGAGGGAGATGAAGTCATTCGCGGCCGAGTTCGAGATCGGGGGGGTGGGGCTCAGCAGCTCGAACGTGTTGAAGGGTTTGTCCATGACCACGGCCAACATCGGCACGGTAAAGTCGATTCGCTATCTGCCCAAATTCTGGGCACCTCCTTGTCCATGTAGCTGTCCATGCCCTTCGCCTCGATCGCCTTCGTGGCGGCGTACTTGTTTGCGGCCATGTTGAAAATCTCAATCGGGTCTTTGCACTTACACACGACCGGCTTGGGGGGCTCGTCCAGACCAATCCTCACGTGCACGAATCTAGCCTTAGAGAGATCCTTGATCTCGCCGCAGGTCGAGCATACGTGGTCGCCCATAGTCTCGGGACGACGCGTTCGTGAACATGAGCATGTTGGGGAACAACAAGCTCGGGGTGGCTCTGATGTGGGCCAGAATCGCGATTGCGGACCAGCTCTGAAGGTGTTTGTGAGAGTGTACGCGTTCCAAAACTTGTTCTTCGCTGATTATGGCCGGCGACGGGGTCGAGAAGATGTTCGTGACGATCTCCGAGCCTGAACATAGGCACAAAGGCGAACTTGGGCAAGCCGACCCTCACGAAGTCGTGCCCGATCCTTCTTCCGTTCTTGGCCCTGGCCTCCGTGAAAAGATCCCTCGACATCGTCAGCTTGGCTCACAAGCTGCTGAACCATGAACGAACTCCGAGGACTGGACTCAGTCGCGCACTTGTTCGTGACCAACAACGAGTTCAGGCAGGGCAAGGAACTCCTTGGGCTGGCACTTAGCCCACATCACAACCGAGCCTCTGCGCGCGGCGGCGAACACTTGCAGTCTGAATTCGGTGTTGAAGTTGTAGGGCTTGACGGAGACTCCCCTCACGTTCTTCTGCAAGACGCTAACGTCGATCGCTAGGTCGATCACGATGTAGGAGAAGTTCTTAACCATCATCTGCCTCCACTCCTGGATTCTGCCCGCGCCGGAGCTCATGATCACCTTTCTGCCCCTGCCCACCCTCGTCTGCGCCATCTCGTACACCCTTGTCCTCATGGACCACCCCAGGTAAACGCGGAGATGCTCTGGAACAGAGGCGTGCGCACCTTGACGACCCCAGACAAGTGCATGACGGTGCCCTTGGTAGTCGACCGCCGTGACGTGGATCGCATTGTGGAGCTTGACGCTGAGCCCGGCGGTCTCCGTCATCGGGACCCAGTTCTCACCGTCCTTCCTGGCCTTGGAACCTCGAAGCCGAATACGATCGTGTCCCTGTAGATCCCCATGACACTCGCCGTGTTGAGGGCTCCCTCCGTGTCCATCCTCATAGCCATGAACTCGAACATGGTACAGCGGCAGCCCATAAGCGAGCTCGTGCGAGGGTATCTGTTCCTCCCAATGAAGCTGCCCATATGCTTGCCCACGAGGGTCACCACGAGCCCCTCCTCCTCCAAGCCTCTTGTCCAGTCCAGGTCCACGAAGATGTCCAACAACGGTTGGTGCACATCCTGATCCGCTCCTTCCCCAATCTAATTCCGAAGACCTCCGCAAATGAGAGCGTGTCCGAGGTTGGCTATGACTGTCACCATGATGGGAGAGATGCTCCTCAAGGTGCTCTCCACGGTCCCGTACTTAGACATCTTCCGACGATAATCATGTCCCCCTCCTTGAGCGTGCGCGTGGTGAATCTCCCAACCCTGTTATGAACAGGTATCCGCCCGTGTCGAAGGCTTCATTCGGGAGCCAGACCACGTCCGGCATGTCGTCGATCCCCCTCTTGCTAGCGTACCTAGCCTTAATGCTGTACGCAACGACGGCCATAGCTTAGAGCAGCACCTTCATGCTGGGTGTGGCCCCGATGCAGGACCTAGGGTTGTAAGCCAACGCGCCGGTAATCGGACGCAGTATGTCCCGCTCGTACACGGAGACGAACAGTTAGAAGGCGGTGGCTCTAGTCGACATCGGCGCCAAGATCACGGATGTGAGCAAGAAATGGGTTATAGAGAGTTATCGGCTCAGTCAGGACCATCCTCGAGGCTGCCGACATGCCCTCAGTCCGGTCTCTGATCCCCTCCTACAACATAATCACAAGATGACCGCGGCCATGAAGTCGTTTTCAGCCAGTAGTACACCGCCGTAGTCGTCGCCGTCTTAAAACCAGCCCGAGCCGCTGTTCATGCTCATCTTCGAGTCGGTGCATTCTACCCGCCCATGACCTCTCCTCGTGCTGAGGCCTGAGCGGGGGTAGGATCATGACGTCGGCCCCGTTGAAGCCGATTCCTCACACGTGGTCGGACGGGTTCGCTTCTACCAAGGTCTTCCCCTGCAGTCATGTTGATAGTTGCGATCGTGCTGCTAGCTCGGTCTCAACGTCATGATCCGCTTGGTGTCTACGTCCCGGTTTATGCTCATGACCATCTAGATGACATCAACGTGATCGTGTGGATAACCTCGTTCATCGCCTAGGTGGTAGTCAAGCAGTCGTACGACAACATGGTCTGACTGTGACCTAGACGTGAATTTATGAGGGTGAACCCGCCGTTGGTGCACAGCTCGAGCTCCTTCTTCAGGTGCACGATGACAGTCTGACCTAGTATTACCACCTGTCATATCGCCGTCGTTGTCGCGAAGCAGAAGCAGGACGTCCTAAGAAGGATTGATGGGTGTCAACGGCTCAACGTTGAAAAGCTGGTTGTCTTCCGATAGCTCGATGTGCAGGTCAACTTCGATGTATTCCGAAATAGGCGGTGTGTTGTCGTTCCGGGCAACCTCGGTGCTTGAATGGGAGACCGGTGAAGTGATAATTCGTCTTGGAGAAGAGTCGCGATTGCTGCTGGCGTTGGTCATGCTCTTAGTCTCATCAGGCTTGCTGGCGTCTCGCTTGAGTCGTTGTCGGAGTGAGTGGAATCCTCGTCCGAGCCGCTCGGATGCTCAACACTCCTACTGATATTCTCATTCGTCTTGATGACCTTTCCTTCGGTGGCGGCGAGCGCAACAAGAGGAAGCAGCACCTTGTGAAATCGCAGCTGCCACCCCTCCGCCCGACGTTATCTTCTTCCCTGAATTGCGCGGCTGTTGGAGGACGGGCGGTAGGGCGCAGACGAAGGTAGGGAGCGTGCAATTTGATGATTCCTGGCTCAGCCGTTCGGCCAGGCGCTATCTCGGTTCCTCCGGCGCTGTGGTTGACACGCTCGACTGGTCAGCGATTGTTTCCCGGTAATCGTCGCCCTAGTTTCCGTAGAGCCCGCGCTCACGATCGGCGAGCCGTTGCGCGAGCGTCCAGGGTGCCTTATCCTTGCGCTCCTTTTGTAGTGTCTGTTCTGGCGGGGCCTTCTTTGCGGAGGACTGCACGCGAGTGCGAGTGCGCATGCGCGTGCGAGAGGCTGTGTCGCAGACGGCGGCGGGGGTGGCTTGGAGCCATGCCAGTATCGAGAGCTTGCAAATCTAGTTATGTTAGCATTCAGGGTACGATCCGCAATAGGATGGCCAACGGAAGAGTGTCGGCATGATCGTAGCCGTATGGCTGGCGGGCAGGCGAGACCGCTGATGAGATGGTCGTTGGACGAATAGAAGTTGGTGAGATCGCGCTGCTGGCGGGGCCACGATGAGGCTGGTAGATGCCTACACCGTGAGCACGGTCGCAGGTGAGGGGGCCGCAAGTGATGAAGTCGTAAGTTGCTGCCACGAGGAGGAGAGGACGATCCACCAAGCCAGCGAAGCGAAGCTCCGAAGTCCGCTATCTAATTAAAGAGACCTCCCCTATAATAGATGCTAATTCAGTGCGTCTCATAATCCCTTCTTATCTCCGAGCTCTGCCAGCAACCGCTGCACGCCGCTCTCGACGAGTCTTCTTACCATCAAACCATGCATCCACCTCCCACCCGCGCTCTCCAGGGCCCCAGCACGACCTTTTCCCTTCTCCCGCCACATGACCGTATGGTTTATGAAAGTAGTTTCACTTCCCTCCTCTTTGACCTCAACAACCAGCATTCCCTCAACGAGCGGTCCAGAGTAACTTTCAGGAGCATCCAAAGCCAGGGTGACGCGCTCCGCATCTCGAGAGCTCACAACATAGACTCCGCAGACACGATCTCCGGGCGCAAATTGGAGGGACCGAATATATGCTGAATCGAATGTGCCTCGGTCTTTGGCGTCTTTGATCAAGTACCAGATGCCCCACGCAGGAGGCTGTCTGGAAAACGTAGCCATTGTGTGTCGGAGGAGGAGCGTCAGCGTTTCTGGTTTGGAGTATGTTCCAAGGGAAGCGGTGGGGATTGATTTGCGCGCGCGTTCGTGGTGGATGATGTACTTTTCTGGCCTGTTCTGGATGGTACTCGGTAGGGTAATGGTTTTGTCTTGTGGGTAAGGCTTCGTTTGACATTGAACTTTACGAGAGAGGTTAAGGTGCAGATACGTGAGGTAGAAGACCGAGCCCGCAATTGGCAGAGTGGCTAGAAGGAGTTTGTAGGTCATGTTTTGACGGTGTAGAGGGGAACCGTTGAGCGTGCGAACGACGAGCAAGTCTCTGTCTGATTTCCGCTGTCAGCGAGTGGTTCTATCCGTCATAGAGCTACCTAGGTACGCACCGTACCTTGTCCTTTACGTGCCCTGAGAGCCTCTTGTCTTTGCAAAGCCCACGTTCTAGCTCCTCGTACTCTCCTTCCACGAGCCTGCCTTTTGTCCACAGCTGTTAACAACAGTATGCCTTCTGCGCCAGGTAGTTTCGAAAAGCGCGAGAAACATATGAATCTGCACGAAGGGCTTCGCCAGCCGGCGCGGGCGCACGAACATTTTTCCTAATTGCGGGGTTGTGGCGTTGTGGCGGTGTTTGGTTGGCCAATTTAGGCTTAGCTGGCTTGACTGCGGACCTCGGGATCTCGTCCACGTTGGGATTCTCCCTCGCCCGCCCACATTGCCGTCTCGCGCACCGACCGTTCATGAGTCCCACGAGCCTTGCTGCCGTCGCCGTCTGCATCGATAACATTAATTCTACCCCAGATGGGCACGACCCTTCGACCCTGGCCGATGCCTACGCCTATGACCACTAGGAGAACGCGCGACTAGCGAAGAAGCGTCGGATCATGGGTGCCACTATGGCGATGATTGATGATTGATTTTTCTCGGTTTGAGTCACCAACCTATAGAGGTTATTCTGACTAACGGCAAAGCAGGGCTTCCGCGTAGACGGTGTTGAGATGCCTCCCTCCCAAATAAAATCGTCTCCGAACTCATCATGCTTCCTCTACCTATCTCCCATGCTTGAGCCATGCTCCGATAGCGTATGTTTGCTCCGCCGCTTCTCCCGGTCTTGAGGAAATATACGGCGGCTCACGTCCCATCTCCCTTTGCTTAGCAGATTCCGGCCAGCCCTGCTTATAGGAGGTAGTTCCATTGCCATTCTATCCCCATTCAGTTTCAGTGCTACTCTGCAACAGCTAGCTCTACGATGTTGGACTCTGACTCGAGAATTATTACAGTCTATGTCAGAAGGAGTGTCGTCACGCTCAGCGCATCTTTCTTCCACCCGCTACTTGGGTTCGTTGACTTGAGGCTCATGGACTTATGGACTTGAGGAATTGTAGACTCGGGAGCGCGTCTCGACTTGGTGGGCGGAATTCGAACGGTAGGATGGATGAGACTGCATGTAGTGGATCCTATTAGCGAAACTGAACTTCCAATGCCTGTTACATCGACTCTCAAGTTTGTGATCTTAGGAGTGAAAGGACTCGAAATCATATCTTGCCAAGATTGTCATGGACCGTGCGCCTCTCGCTTGCCTTTCTTGCTCTTCGACGCCTTAACTCCCTCCATTCTTGAGCCTTATCTTTGAGTCAACTCTACCCTCGCTTTTCAACAAGACTGCAGAGCCTCTCTACTCTACCACTACCGCAGCTCGGAGGTCTCCTTCTTGAAGGACGACTTCGACATCACCATTCATACGGCCTACCCGGCAGCAGGAGTAAAGAAGGGCCTCTTGTAGTGGACGGTGCAGCTGTCTGCCCTCCTTTGTGGACGACTCCAATTCCAATCAGAAACTTGATTGTCTCAGCGGCTTTCCTATAGCAAAGCCAAAGACGGGACGGTTATGCAAGCCGTTAGTGCAGCAGTTTGTCCGCCTAGGTAAAAGTTTCTAACTCTAAATTCGAAGCTTGGTCGTCTCTGCAGTAACAGAGCTGTAGCCGCGAGCTTTTACCGTAGCGAAAGCAAATTCTCGAAAATGCAGACGCAAGGGCCACCGGGACTCACCCCAATTCACCCTATGACCAGAGCATATACGCTAGACGCGCGACCCTCTCCTTCTCCGCCTCCGCACTCTACCCCACCGGTCGAAAATCTCCTCCAACTTGTCCGCCAGCTCCGCGACGGTACCTACGCTTCTTCTGAAGACATTGTCACCACCCTTACACCCGACGAATACAACGCGTTCGAGACCGCTATTAACGCCGATACAGACTTGCGCGGTTGGGCCGAAGACAAACTCCACTCGAGCTGGCTACCTACTACATGCCAGCTAATTATTACGATTGAAACGGCTAAGCACAAAGGTTTCTCTCTTAAAACTTGGCGTCTACTCTGGCAGTCTACGGAGTCATCCGTCCGGCAACGTCCACACGGTTCTCCGGCGCACGCCGAGCTCAAGAGGCTTGATTTTGACGGCGGAGGCGCCATCACCCCATTATTTGGTGCTAGAAACGGCAAACTCAGCCCCGATATGGCAGTCTATAAAGTCAGTGGCGACGGCAATTGCGGGTTCCCTACATGCACCGGGGAAGTCGCCGACACCGAGACCTGGAAACACGTACAAGCCAAAGCGGCGGAGTACTTCAAGGTATACAACAACTACATCAAGACCGTTGGTATCTTCAAAATTATTCCCGACAGGGGGCAGTCGCAAACTTCCCTCGAGGCCAAGTACCAGATCTGGAGAGCCACCAGCAGCCCCGGGCACCCGCAAGCCTCTCCTGAAGTCATCTTCCGCAGCAGCAACGGCGATGTCCTGGACGGAGCTCTGACGCTGAAGCTTTCCGACCTGTACCCTAACTCGCAAGACGATGTGGATATAGAGATTCCACACCATCGATTGGCGACTGCACTCGCAGAGGCGGAGAAGCTCCAAGAGTTGGATAACAGCATCTCGCTGCAAGCCAGTGACAGCAACCCCACCGTCCCGTCGCCTTCTACCGCTGAACCGCCGCCTTCTACCCCAGGCCCCGCCCAAGCTACTGAACCCGCCCTGTCCCCAGTGCCGGCTCATACTTCCATCAACATCTCCGGCCGTCCCGCTGATGCCCCTGCTCCACTCTTTCCTGCTGACGATCGAGACCTCGCCCAACTCTGGGTAAAATGGCAGGAGATGCGAGGAGCGGGTGTAAATGTTACCTTCGAGGAGTTCGCCAGCATCCGGGGGTTCTCCACCCGAAGTACGACTCCCGACAGCCGCTCCGCCCAGGATCCGGTATAGGATTCCGCTTATTCGCCATTAGGCTGACCGCGACTCCAGCGCGTATATGGCCTCCGACCCCGAATGATTATGTTGGCGGTTCGGTCTGACGTTTGATGCTTTGGCGCATCGAGATACGATTCGGCTGCCTTAGTCGCTGGGTCTCAAAGAGGCTTGGGTTGTGGAAATTGAATTGAATTGAGACAGGGATATGCTCTAGATAGGTCAATAGTAATCTGAATAGAGTCACTCTGTTGCAATCTTCTTCAGGCATAGGGGCTGGGCTGAGCTAACCGCAGCATTTTCCGGGTCGGACACCAATCCACACATCTGAGGTCTTCCTTCTATCTTACACGAACGTATCCCAGCTTTCGCCAAGACGTAGTCTATTGTGTGACTGCAACCTTCCCACGGCCACCCCATGAACAGAGTCGCAGCGTAACAAACGAGGCAATGGAGGGGCATCTTCCATGGCGTATCCGCGCGCAAGCCAGGCAACCCGACCGCGATGTCGCGGACCTCATTGACGGCCGGCACCTTGGCCTTTCACACTTCCGCGTCCGCCCCGGCTTGCACAGGCGTAGCCATCTTCTTTTGCTTTAGCAAAGGCTGCGGGAATTTCCCACGCGGACAGTCGGCACGGAGTGCGCTCGGATAGTGCCGTTTGTCGCTCCTCCGCGGCGCGGGGACGGCCTCTTGAGCCGTAACGGCCCCGTCGTGGGCGTAGGTAGCCATGTCTCTGTCGTCTGGTGGTGCGCTGTCGCGAGCGGACTGTTCATCCAGAAGAAAAAGGTAAAAATTAAATGCATGTGTATCCTTACTTCCCCTGCATCTGCGCTGGTGACTAGTGCGATTAAATTTCGATCTCGTCTCCCGATCAGAACACGTCCTATCTACTAGGCGGACCTTGGCTTGTACGGTTTGTTTTGTGTATCCAGTACTAAGATCGAAAAGAGTGTGTTCGTTTTAATTCCGCTCTGGTTTCGGTTGTTTGAATTGCGGTTCGTAGGTGTTAGATAGACAAGGGGCCTATAGTATAAACTGGAATTGGTTAGTGGATACCTGTATTGCATGAAGTGGACCTGAGGGCGTCGTCTTGATAAGTCGCGAAGTTTCGAGCTGAGAGCTGATCGGCCACGAGGATGAAAGTGCGCAGATCATTCGGGACTTACTGATCGGGAACTGGTTTCTGGGTGGGGAACATGAGCTTTGCCTAGGTATACGAGAGGTAACGAGAACGGTCGTCCCATGATAAATATTTTTTGGATTATGGATATGCAACTCTACAAAAACAGCAAACGGTATTAGTTGTAACTTGTCCCAAGAACCCTGCAGCCCCGAAACCTCACCCCCATTAGGTGGAATCCTCCGATAACCCCTCTCCTTTGCCGTCGCTCTACCAGCTTGACTAAAAATAACGGGCGCGAGACAAGTAGACGCGATGCCGCCTCCCCTAATGCCCGGGAGCGAACGGGGATTTGCCGCGCTTCCAGAACCAGTAAGTTGGTCGTGTATGAGACGAGAACAGGGCTGTCATAATCTTACGACAGAGTCTTGCCTCCATCGTCTCCTTGGGCCGTCAATCTTTCGAGACATGCGCTCACGCGAAGCTGGTCTTCTGGTACTCCTGCTGAACAAAGACCGGCGGCGACCCCGGTCTTCTTGATCGATGCAATGTACATCACGACCAGAAAGAGGACTACCACCCGGAAATATATGTAGGCACAGGATGTGCAGAATCAAGCACACGACAAGCTGCAAACAATAGAGATGACTGGGCGCGGTCTGTTGTCGACGAAGATTCTAGTTCCTTCTTCGCCCCGGACGTGGCCGATCGAAAGATGCCAGTCAGTGTTAGAACACAAGCGCGTTGTTAACACTTGCATCATGGCGCCAAGTTGGCTCTGCCAACTATAGTCCCGCGTACGCCAGAGATCGCATCAAGGGCGGCGCATGAGTGGCGAAGGAGCCTTTCCGACAGCGCCAAGCAGAATGCGCAAGGAGGGACGATCCTAAGACACAAGCGTGTTCAAGAGGATTTCGAGGCTGTAGCTGGAATCAAGAACGGGCTGAGTAATGAATTCTGCCGGGATGAGCGACCGCACTTTGAGCCTTGGAGCTCTGTATGTGGCATCCTTTCAGTATCAATTCCAAGGCTCTCGACCTCTCGGATAAGCCTGTCCAACTGCTCTACGTTAGCCACGAACCTCAACCGCCAGAAGGCACCTTACTCGTGTAAATTTTTGTACCGGCCGTGCTGTCCTATTCTAACGCTGGCGTGACGGTAAACTGTGTCTTGCTGTTGCAACCATTGAAGACATTGGGCTGCACGATATGCGGAAGCATCAAGTCCTTGATGGATTTGCGCTTCTTGCCCGCCTTCAGACGCTTCAGCTCAAATCCCAGCCTGAAGTGCTTCAGCGTGCGATCCACAGTTACATATTACCCGCCGAAGGACCCCAGGCTCACCAAAGAGGATACTGGAATTAGGGTCGGCTCCGAATCCGCATAGCCCAGGCTGACGAGCTTCAGCGTACAATCCACAGCTGACAGAGATACAAATTACCTGCCGAAAGACCCAGGCTCACCATAGAGGATAATGACAGTTCGCTTCAGCTCCAGATCCGCATACCCTAACCCAAAGTCCTCCTTTCCACGCAATGCGCTTATAACGTGCCTCTCCAGCTTGACCAGTCTGTTCTTCAATGGCTCGAGCTCGGATCCGGACGCTTGCGTCTGCGCCATGATACCTTCATGAATTTGTATCCGCTTGCACCCGCATTATCCACTGAAGGACCCCTGGATGTAGTTACAGCTGCTCGGAGAGGCTTTTCGCGCAGTGTGGCTGGAGGGGTGATCGCCTCAAGGGGCGGCACACGCCCGACTCGCAAGCTATCGACGACATCTCCCTCACCCAGTTCAGGTCGTTGTTTCGTTCGAACGCTGGGATAGATCAGAAACAGAGAACCTGCGATGCCGCGCAATGCTATGTCGGCGCGGGGAGATGTAGTGGGGGAAGTTATCAAAAAGCTTGGAAGGGTATGTGGACTACTGAACAAGAAAACCCGACCTCCTTTCCGATAGATGCCTTATTCTATTCCACCATCGAAACTAACCCCAGGAATCGTCTTCTCCTACTCTTATCGCCTCCGTCCGATACTCTCCGCGCCCGCCGCTCCCTTGCAAACAAAAGCAACAAAAGAGCAACAAAAAAGCAAAAACATACAACAGCCGGGTATTCGCTAGTGGTCACCCACCTAACTACTAATCCGCCGGTATCAGGCTTGACGTGTGTAGATCTAACGGGGTACGGTATTTTCCTGATCCTATGGTCGTATGTGCTAGTAATACTTTGTCTAGAGATATATATGGGTTGTAATAGCGGGAAGGAGATGTCTGCTTTCGGAACGTAAATCTCCAGGTGATGGCTTCCAACTAGTAACAGGAAGCGGACACAAGAGCATTTTGCGAAGCCGATCGGGCGGATCGGGTTCTAGGGTGAGATATTGGTAGCTCAGGAAAACGAACCTTGTTGCTGGATATAGTTACTGCGGTTACTGCTGCACGTGAATTAGGATATATATATATAGCCGTATTTTCCGTATTCTTAATTAACCAACTTATGTCTTGATACTTGCTACCTACTCTAATAAACCTCTATGGATGCGAATTAGTATTGGACTTGGTCGCATTTGCATCGTACATATGTGCTACGCGTGTGCTTGATCACACTTCGTGCCGGGAATAGCGCGTTGGGAATTCTCCATCGTCGCTCGGGTCGATAGGCTGATAGGTCGGTGTTGACGCCAGGTGCCGCTGTGTGCTGGGGCTGAGGAGCTCGGAGTGAAGACCCTGGTGATGACATCAGTCTGCTTGTAACCCATCCTGGCGAGTCGCTGCCAATGGCGCCTTGCTGAGCGTTTCCCAATTGGCGAAGAGAGACGGGTCTTCCGTGGCGAGAAAAAACCGGTCTATTGACGACACAGAAAGCGCACGCTCTCTGAAAGTCCCCCAGATCCGTTTCGAGACGAGTTGGTGTCGGCGTGTCCATTACGCTGCGCTTATATGGAGAAAGCTGAAGTCTTCGATGTTGATATCTTTGTAGGATGAATGCCATTCGCAAAAGCTTTTCGTACCTATTCTTAGCTGTGCTGACTTTATCAGAGGAGGTCCCCGGGAAGACCACCGACATACTTGCTGGAGACTGGTTTTACCAGCTCGAAGAAAGTATACGTCGGAATGCGTACGCTCTCGTGAGAGAGATTGGTGACTACTTCGTGCCCGCCGTTATCAAGCAAGTCATCAAGAGGTACTTGGTCGAGTCCCTGCCGCAGAGCATCGTCTCGCCAATGGAGGTAACCATGATGGGGCGTCGGCGGAAAGCATTGTTTGCGCTATTCTGTGCTCGAATATGGACATGGAGATTCCTGTAGAGTGTTGGTGCTGTGCAAAGACTGCTCTCCCTAGCCGCAGACGCGAGGCATGTATTCTCGAATCGGCTCGACTCGCTCCATTTGCTGGCCTTCGCTGATAAAACAGATTTTGACGTCGTGGAGTGGCCTGGCGCACATTTCGACGCCAGGGCCTATGCGGTGGGAGTCAGAGCGAATATGGAGCTAGGACGTACCTTTGTAGCCGACCCAACGCATTCGTCTTCCGGATCGGCTCCAGATTTTGACCGGTGATCCTCTTTGGCTAGTAGTGACCTGGAGACCGATTAGCAGAGTAGTGGCTCGCCGGATGCGTCCGCGTAATTGAACGCGATCTATAGAAACGATTGAAAGGTGCATCCTAGTTATCGACGTGGCGATTGCCTCGGGATTGCGGTTCGCCATCTCGTTATCCAAGATAATCGATGAAGAGGATCTGTGAGTCTGTCCCTAGGAAATTGCGGCCCTGCGCAGGCATTGCCCCGGGGATGTCCAACTGTCAGACACCTTCTACCCCACCGTAGACGGGCAGATGATGTCTGACAATCCGCAGCGGTGCTGTCGCGTCGAGCACCGAGTTCAAAAACGAAACTTTTCTAGCTTGGCGTGGCCTTGCGCTCTGCAGATCCCGCTCGCAGTTTTACTTTTGGATCGTGAGTTACAAGCCGGCCTCGCTGATTCTGGGTTCTAGGCTTCTCTATGGAGCGGCGTACAGATCTCCTGCCCATCCACCATGACCACAACACTCGCAGTTCGCTAGTTTTGCTGCAATAATGAGCTCATTAGTACGAGCGCGGAGATTCTTGGATTGTTGAAGTCTTACGCAAAGAGCTTTTCTCGCAGAGAATCCGTGATGGCGTCTTGATCAGCGTGTCCTAAGACGCTGGGATGCCTCTGGGTAAGTAGAGTTGCCCGTGCTTCAAAAGCGCCAACGACACGCTCGCGGTATTCGCCCTGAAGAGCCCCGGGTGCAGCGTGGGTTTTAGTTCGTAAGCTATCAGAACAGTTTAGTCAGCGGGTGGTAAACCAGAAATTGTCGTACTATTCTTAGGCACTATCGGAGCGGCGATATGTGCTGCAGGAGAGGTAGGAACTCCCGCGATCGCTTTCTCCAGCTCATCTAGCAATCCTACCCCAGGAATGCCCCAACACCAGCATTCGCTTGGATGCCGCTGCTGCTCAAGCTTGTCACCATTCGCCTCGTCGCCTCCTACTACCTCGCTAGCTGGCAAGGTTACATTGGCCCGTGTCGCGTGCTCAATCCCTAACAGTAAGGTGCGACTTAATATTGCCGAGCCTAGCAGTTGTTAGTTCTGCTCAAGATGTACATGAGCAGACTAAGCCCGCTAGCTAGACTAGTTCCTATTCTATAGAACTATCCCCGAAGACGTCGGGGCTCGAAGAGCTAAGGTTAACGATAGTGGGGCCACACTCTGAGCAAATCTCTTCTATATGGAGCTATATGCTCGAGCAGCCCCTAGAACTATTACTGGGCGGAAGCCGGTGACCATATCGGTACCAAAATTGCGCATCGCAAGCCGTATCGATCTGTGCTGAGAGCATTCTCATTATCGAGCAAACATCGGAACTATTCCCGGCCGTATTGTATTCTTGTCAAACTGTCGACGTCGTGGGTCCGAGTGTATCGGCATGTTGGGCGCGGTTGCGTAGGGGCGTGCGGTGTATGGGGCGCGGAGGAAAATCACCTCGGTGAAGGGGCCGTAGTGTTCGGTGTCCAATTCCCGTCGATCACTCATAGCTTGCGAATCGTTTGCGAGATTGATCGTCCTACGGCATTTTCGAGAATCGTCAAATGGCCATCTTGCGCCTCTCGGAAGCGACCAATTCGTCATCCGCGTTCCTTGCTTTGAGCCACCTTGGGGAGCGACACAAAGGCTCGTCGGTGCAGCGCCGCTTACGGTATCGTCGAGCTTGTCTGGGCCCTATAGTACACCCAAGACGTCCTCTGTACCATGTTTACACAGTACTATCAGACTAATATCCCAGCGCATATGCCCGCAGAATGAGCCGTCGCCGGTCTCCCGAAGAAATTATTTCGCTGCTTTGACGCGATTAGCGTCTTCGGACTAGGACTAAATATAGACTTCTGAAGCTCCGCCGGCCCTGGGCCTACGAGTGGACGGTAATTCCGCCCGCGCATGCCTACAAGTTTGAACTAACACTGAAGTCCTCCGACATGGCGGTTACGGAACGTTGCGCATTCACATCATGTATTCATCGACCTATACTCGTGTTCCGCACGCTTGCCTCTAGCAATAGGGCATTCCATTTCCATTGTTCGATTAGAGAGAACTTCGAATCGTGGTTCCCATCCCAAGGGCTTACAGCGAGGGCGTTAGCAATAGGTATACGAGAGTGAAAGCCGTCAAGTATATGGATAGGAGCTGGACTGTTGAAGGATATTAGTCATGTGCGACGGAGTGGTTGATCATCGCATCACGATGGAGCGTGTGCGACTGCGGAAAAAAAATCGGATGAAGAGTAAGAAGATGCGGAAGATGGATCTCAAAGCAATAACGACGAAGAAGCTGGCAGGATTATTCAGGCGGCGTACAAAATAGCGCAAAAGATTGTTAGGCGAGAGGAAACGAAACGAACCACGAGCGCAGCCACGAAGAGAGAAACGGGACGCAAGATAAGTACCCGAGCTCCTCCGGTGAATGTAGACTGGGCTACCTTAGCCTCCCCGCCATAATCGGGCCACCACGGAACACATTATTCAGCCCGTAAATCAAACCCCCTCGGCTCGAGTTCACTTTCGATTAGTAGGTAGAATGGTCGAGGCGCACGAATTGCTGGTCTACTTCTTCCAGAGACGCCACGTTATCCACAAGTCAGCGGCTAAAGCCGTAGGTTCGGAACATGCCAAAATATCCCCGAACTTCAATTGCCTGTCGATCAGTATCCGAAAGTTGTCCAAAGCCGGTGATGTCTCCGGAAAGGAAATCGGCAGGAAACTCGGGCGCCCCTTGCTGCGTCGAGAAGGCTCCCGTTGTGGTAGATAGCTCCTCGTCGGATTTCCAGTGACCCCATAGAAAGTCTCCGCTCTGGCAGTGCGATTTCAGTCATCCTTTGTGATGTACTGGTGTCGGCGGCAAAATTGGTGATCTAATCCGTCGTCAATGCGTCAAATCCTGTCCACCCGCATTGCATACCGCGAGACATCCATCGGCAGTCGCTCTTCTCGGAGAAGCCGTCGCAGCTCTTCGACATCCTCCATTGTGATTGTGGTGTAAGCAGACAGTTCACTCAAGGCGACGGCTTGTCTTACGAAGTCGGGCGGTCGGGTGGTCAGCTGATGAGGATGGAGTGGGAAGGCGGTTCGGTCAATGAATAGGTAAGCTAGACGGTTATCGTTGGCCAGCTGGTCGATGATGCTGTGACAGCACATCCGGCGAGCCAAGGAAGAGATGGAGGAGCGATTTTCAAGTATCGGATGTCAAGACGGTGGATTGCTAGGGCCGCTCGTCGACAATGCCGTAATAGCATATCTGGCAGGTCAAGGAAGAGATGGAGGAGGGATTTTCAAATGTCGGATGTCAGGACCGCAGATTGCCGGCCTGGCAATTTCGAGAGTGCGTGAAGGGGTCACGTGGGGGTGCCGTCATAGCGGAGCCAGAGAAGGGAAAGCGCCTTGGCTTAAGTCCGCATTGTTTTTCGAAGCGTCATGTGCTGTAATACTACTATCCGCAGCCCGGTGAGGAACACTTTGCATCAGTTCACCCGCCTCCAGTCTTCTCCCCGCGACTTTTAGCACACCGACATCGACATCGACATCGACACCACATCCCGTATTGCCGTTCTCCCTGAGGAACGTCGTCGCGCGCTGTCTTTTGACTTCAGGCATCGGAATGCAAGATGCGAGAGAAGGAGAAGGTGATGGTGAGGATGTTTCCCCGGCGATGGATGCTGTGCTGCGAGGCGGATGGAACGAGAGATGGGATGCGGATGAGTTCGCCGTCGAGGTTGTCATTTGTAGAGTTTATGAGGATGGGGATAGGATGAGGGAGACAGTGAAGACCCCAGCCAGGCGCGTCACTCAATCCTCCGGATAAGGCAGAGAGGGCAAGCAATCAACACAGCCTCGGCGCGGGCGATTGAACGTCATTTTTGCGCAGCAGTACGCTGTAGGTTCCTGTGTCCCACATAAGGGACCAACGGCTCCCGAAGGTCGAGCAGCGGACGAGAAGCGACACCTCAGGCCGAACAGGATGCGCTGCCGCCTGGGCGGACGCCGAAACTACATCGTGCTAAAGATCTCCTCTGGGCGTCGAAGTGTGTCGGAGGAAGCTTTGGGCGGCGGATGTTACTCTGAAGACGGTAGAGATATGGAGGGCGGTGTCGATGCGTGCGCGAACGAAGGAAGATTCCGGCAATGGGTGGGGTCTGTGTTTCGCATTCGACATGTAGCGCAAAGCGGTGCTGCAGATGCACTCGGAGAGAGAGCTTCCGCCCTGCGATCGATGAGCTGGAGATTGGTTGGAGGGGGGTGAGTGGGGGTGGGGTAGGATGTGTTCGTCCGTTTGTTCTTCGTGATGGTGGAGGGGTGAGAGTGGGAATGTGGGACGTGGGCTTGAAGATGAGGGCTGTTGGTGAGTACGTGGGTGGCTTGGTTATGAGGCGGGGTCTGGGGGTTGTGGATAGAAGACGGTATTGACGGTGCGCTCAATTTAACTCAACTCAACTTATCTAATCGACATCGCAGGCAGACTTCGCGTATCTGATATCAACAATGCGAAGCGGACGGTTCTCGCGAACTAACGAGCCAATTATTTCGCTCGTGACGCATCTTCCTCCCAACGTCGTCTCCAGCTGATATCACCAATAAGAAATCAACCTAAATGCAACCCAAGCGCATACGAAGCGATTCATATGCCAATTAGCTCAAACGCCTCGATTCGCGAAGCTCCCTGCTCCTCCAGGCACAGTAAGGATCCCTCCGATAGATCGAGTTCGTCCTCCAACAGATGTCACACACTGCGTTCTCCGCCCTCTCTAGTAGTACCACCCCAATCGACTCCCACAACTACAGCACCGCCAGTAGCGCCTTCGCCGCAACCACAATCTTCCCCTACACCGGCTTCTCAAACGCCGCAGCAGTGGAATTATCACTCCGATAGACCACCGCTCACGGCCTCACTTGCAACCTCCTGCAACGCTGTCGACCTTGTCCGGAAGCGCCTTGAGCACAGCATCCCGTTGGACGGGCGGCGCAGTATCCTGCTTTTCCGTGCCGCGTTCGCCGTCGGCGCTGCGTAGTCTGGTTTCCGAATCGCGTCCCATCTGACGAATAGCCAGGCAACTCCCGCGTCCGCACCCTCGTCGTATTCCCTTTCCATGCATCGGCGTATGGGTTTGTCCGACTCTTTCTTCCGCTGGACTGGTTGCAGGCGCTGGGGAGATGTCTACGAGATGGTATCGGATTTTCCCGTTCTGGATGAATAGCTTGTGTATTCGGCCGCGGCCTGTGCAGGGGATTCGGCATGGATGTCGGGATGGGGAAGCTGCGTGTGGAGGAGGGTGCGGAGTGAGGTCCTGACTGGTGTCTCGCGGTTTGGCATCCGTGGGGTTACTGCTCTGGGAGAGGTCACGGCGCTTGGTGTGAAGGTCCGAGCCTGAACAGTGGTGGGGTGAGCTAAGCGGAATCGCGGGTGTTGTCGAATGTTCGTTCGTGTGTGGAAGTGAGTCGGTCCTCTTGGAGCTCATTATGGTGCTTCGTTTTCGAGTTATGCGATATTACTGAGAATTTAAGGCTCTAGGTCGAATCGAGTCATGTCCAGGCGGTAACGTCGCAAGATGGTGTGCTGTATGAGGCGCAGGCGAGGATGCGGCACAATTGATGAGGCCTAGCTTGTACACGTGAGTGTTGGATCTCCAACCGATGGGTGATTGGAAATGTGCAGCGTCTCTTGGAAAGTTCGGCTGAGCAGAGTATAAACGGGCATCCGGGAGATTAAGAGTGTTTGTAGTGTGCGGGTTCTTCTACTGCGTTTGCACGAGTGGCTTTATAGCTCCCGTGTGTGTCGGGAACCTGCAAACGGTTATTATCTTATTGCGCACGAGGTGCAAGATAAATCAGTAAAGCGTCTGAGTAGTGGCCTGGAAGCTTGGTCGTGTCTTCGATGCTTTTCGGCGTTCAGATAGCAGGGAGCATGTCTGGGCGATGCGGATGGGGATGAGGTCTGATCTTTTGTCGGGCTGTCGCATGAAGCAGACAAGAGACCCGGGAACAACGTACCTCTCCGCCAGATCATGCATTCTTGATCGGGATTAGATGGTGCGCGATGGGATGGGCAGAAGAGGGAAAGGTGCCAAGACCGCAGTCATGAATGCAGCAAGGTGCCCTGCGGACTCGTGTTACGGTCCTCATTTCCTACAAACGGGATTATGCTGAGCCCCCAGGTTCCGTGTGACGTTAGAGCGCAGTGGATGCTCCTTTTCCTATGCCGACATGAGCGTTTGTGCCTATTGCGGGTAGTGTCCCGTTCTTTCGTCTCCGTAACGGAAGAAGCTATTTGCACTTACTACAATGACGAATAATGAAAACTTAGAGGGACTCCTTAGGGTTGGAATGAGATGCCATCCGGAAGACATGTTTTAATAGATCGCATCGGTTTCGTGGTTCTAAGCTCCAACGAGAGGGGGATGTAGTGCGTGATGGGTGCGACCGAGCCGCGCTTGGCTACGCCTAACGGGGCGTGAATCCGCGCCTGCTCCTTCTGATCTGGTTCTGTGCTTTGCGGTCTCGTCGCCGTTCGTCGTCAAGCGGAAGCACCAATTCCGGTAGTTGTATGGATCCCGTAAACCGAATTACGGGGTCCTCCCAACAACGCGCACGAGTTATCATGCGGTTAGGTTTATTTTCCCCATATTGCATCTTGACAAGCGCAGCTGTCTTCGATACATAATTTTAAAAAAGTGCAGTATTCCGGCAGTCGGCGTCCTGCGCAAGGATATCTATCGTGAGGACCATAAACGGAGAGGGTGAATCGTAAATTCGAAGAACACAAGCACACGATTAGCCCAGGCTTTAGCTTCGCTGCTATTGAACCGGACATCGACAAGCCAGTGTATTACTAGCGTATTACTAACCGTGCTCTGGGGATTCAAAAACGTAACAAGACCTTCATATACCACTCTTCTCTCTTCTTTCCTTGGCTTCTTGGTTGGGTAGCGTATTAGATTGATGACGCGTATGCAATACCTGCTACATCGAGGTAAGTTTCTATCATGTTGTCAGGGTAAGACTTCCATTGTGTACCCAAACTATCGTGGATCTACAGCGGACAGACACGAAACGGAAATTTGAAACTGCGAGGGGAGACCAAAGGGGATAAGATTGGAGAGGTGAGGTTCGAGGGTATGCGACTCAGGTCTCAGAGCCAGTTCCTGTTGTAACGGACATCGAGCTGCTCTACGTTGTGATGAAGTGGTTTCGCAGGAAGCGAAGTCAGCTCCGGGAGCGCTTTGCTCCTCTTACCGAAATTTGGTGGGTGAAGATCGCGAACGGCAGAAAGTGGCTCATGGTGGAAGTGTGGTTGGGTTGGGGTGGGGCACCGAGGCGGGCTGAAGCTGAACTGGACGAGACGCAGAAGTCCACGATATGCTGGCTTGTTTCCGTAGTACTTGTTCCTCCGCGGAGACTCTTTTTTCGTGACCAGATCACCGGTCGAGAAGGAACTTGGCTCCTGGAGCAACCGTCTTCTTCCTGTTCATCTACGGTTCGGATTCTGCGATTCGTGTGCCGATACCTGCCCATATTGTACACGGCATTGGTGAGGAAGAGGCCTGATCAACGGTCGAGCCGATACCCAATCTTAGCGCCTCCAACGGTCCGTCTCCTACAACCCCTTGTTCAGATGGTCCTTTCCCTTCAACCCCTCCTTTTCAAACCCGACCTCGAAATCGCCGTCCGCTGTCTCCTAGTATGGCCGATACGTTCGTTTATTATATTCGAAACTGCCCAAATCCTCCAACAGTCTGCAGGTAGTCAGTATTCCGCATCGTGCGATGGTGCCATCGGCGTGTACCTAGAGCTCCACGTCGCGATGATCCGCATCGACGGTTGCAAAGGATAGGGATCCTTTGCTATTCTTTCATTAGTGTGCTTCTTATCGTCAGTACATTCGACAAAGGGTCGAGACCTGGCACACCGCAATGGAAGCGTTGGTTGGCAACCAACACGGTCTCTACTATTCCCTTCGTCTCTCGCCGCAACTTCTTCCACGCGCTTTCTCCCTCAAACTGGACTACGCATCTCCCGAATATTCATCGTGCCTGTTATCCTATCCCTCTCGCTTCCAAAGACTCTTGGCATTATGACTTCGTATTTCGGAACTCAATATCCCCCGAGGGCTCGTGACAGAGGTTTCGCAGGGACTTGTAGTCGGAGCCAAAGCTTGCGTTAACCTCAGAAGTGGACTCTTGGGATGAAGCCTCGCGCGAAGATGGTGCTGGATCGCCTTCTGCTTTCCGCTTGGGACGTGTTGTCGACGGCTTGAAGGTAGGAAGCATCGTGGTTGGTTGAGCCTTTTGGTGGTCGAGGATGGATTGCTGAGCGGTGGCAAACTGAAGGAAGCCGTCAAGGACCGTGTGCGGGATGCGGAGAAGGTGATCATTCTCCTCCAACTTCGGTCGCTCGTGCAGGGGTAGAAAGTCCGAAAGTTTTAGCTCTAGCGAGCCGTGTGGGTTGTTGACAAAGTCTTGGTCAAAGACGATCACTTCCATCCTCCTATAGTTCTTGCCATCCTCTTCAAATTCGGCGACCCGATAGAGACAGTAGCTGGCGTCCTTAGGCGGCTTGTTTGGGTCCTTGCGATGCGCCAGCGTCGCATACTCCAGATTGACGGTGATGACAGTATTGGAGCCGGCAGCGATGTGGCGCTCAGCGAGGTCATACAGATCATCGTTATTTACTTGTGAGTATGCAACTTCGAGTTGCACCAAGCGGAAAGGGCAGTCGATGAAAGCAAAGCCGGCATCTGCGCTGACCTTCCCTTCCGTATCATGGGCGTCGGCGCTGCGGGCACAGAAGATGGTGTCGACAAGTGTCTGGACTTGGGCGGGAGTCTTGCGGAACTCTTCCTTGATACGCGTCTCAAGCTTATCAATAAAAACGTCGTGCTTGAGTGTTGGCATTCGGAGTGAAAATATGCCACTACCGCTGTCGTCCTCCCCTGTATATCGCCAGTCCCACCGCAGCTTGTTGTTGAAGAATCCGTCTAGCGCACTGTCGGCTGCGATGATGTCTAGCAGACGGTGATATTGGCCGATGGAGAGGGGCACAGCACGCCAGTCCTCCTTGAGCGCGTCACCGTAGGCCTGTCGCTGGATAATGCGGAGGAGGGCGTCCGTAGGATTGTCGAGAGGTGAGAGCGGAGGTGTGGCGCCAGAGGAGGTGGTGGGGTTGAGAGGGCTGGGAGGCAGCAACGAAGAGGGAGACGCCGTTCGCGGGCTTCTCGGAGGCGTATGCGCTTCATCTGGGGATACACCTCGCCTTGTATTCATGGCGCCATGAACAGAAGTGAGAATTGGTGGTGTAGTGAGTGTTGAGTGTTTGACGAGAGTTCCGCTCTTCAGGCTGATGCCCCGAGCCTCAGACATCCGCCGGCCGCCACCACTCCACCAAAAGCGATTTGGATTCGCGTCGCAAGATTGAGACAGCCCGATTAAAGAATCGCGCAACCTGGCTTCATACGACAACGACTGTAAAGCTTAATCTACTATCGCTTCACATTTTCCGCGAAGTGGGGGATCTCACACCCCGCCTGCCTATCTGGGTCTAGCGAGGGGCAGTTCGCCAGAAGCGCCAGAACTGATGGGGCTCGTGCGCGCAGAAGTGCCCTGATTGGTGCAGGAGTGGCCGCTATCTACGTCACGCTCAGCCTCAGCCTCAGCCTCAGCCCACACCGGGGCATACATCACGCTGTTCGAACCCTCACGGCAGCTACCGCGACACGCTGCGCCGTCTAGAACCTTACACAAGGTTCTAGCCGAGCTGGGTATGGACGTAAACACAACCCCATCAGCGGCACCTCCTCGACAAACCCTCAACCGGCGGTTTTAGCGGCAGCGGGGTCACGAGCTGCGACCTCAACGTCGACATCGCATATTTGTCCTACACGCCGCCGGCGTCAGCTATTGCTCGATTCGGGACTTAAACCATGGCGAGAAACGCAAAAATGCCCGTCGCTGCTCGGCCGCTGCTCCAGCGCGTTGAGTCCCTCGCCCTCCAATCAACTGCCACCTCGCGGACACTCTACGCGGCATGGAAGGAGTTCCAGGGAGCGACAAAGCTCAAGCCATGTGCAGCCATGGCCATCATTGCGCTAGACGCCCAATCCGTCGTCTTCGGTGCCTGCGTAACGTTCAGCCGCGCCCGCACTGACTACTCTCGGTTGGATACGTCTAACTGGAAGCTATCCCAGAGCACCTTGCGCGAGGCCTTCGGCTGCCCTTCACTGATGAGCCGTGACTTCGTCAAAGCACTAGCTAACCTGGCAACTCGAGCTTCGCCCACCGTTTCATGGCAAGCTGCCTTTACCGCAATCAAGGCTGCTCAAGAGAATCGATTGGGAGGGCGTATACGCGGAACCTCGCAACAAACAGAGTGGGCTCCTTCCGATGTCAACCATGCCGCCAAGTCGCTGGGGTGCCCGCTGGACAAGAAGCGTTCCCTGGAAGAAGGATCCGCTTTTGATGCCGACGATGAAGAAGGCAATTCTCAGTTTAAGAAACAACGATACTCTGCCACTCCATCACTCACCTCAATTCCATCAGTGGAGACGGGCCGTCGAGCTCCCCCAACGCCACAGGCCTCCCCTGAGGAGGAGAATGTGTATGACGGTATCTGTGCCACTGCACTACCTCCGCCTGACTCGCCTGTTTCGGAGGTGGACCAGTTCGCCATACAATCGGAGCTACGACATAGCGGATTCAAGGCTGGCGATGACGATGACTCAGCAATCAAGACAGCCGATCACCAGCTACCCACAGCTAAGACTCCAGCAGCACAACATAGCGATACCATTCCGAGTCCAGATGTCGCTCTATTGGGCCTCACTACCTCGAACGGTCAAGCGCAGTCTCCATCTTCGCGTCCCGGCTCACCGCTAGCCGACATTACGGCTTCCTCCAAGCTCCAATCCGTCAATGTCCCGAGACGAAAAGCGAATCGTCCCAGTGCTCTCAGCGCTTCAGAGCATGATCCTGTCAAAGAGGCTGCCGCCGCGGACGCGGACGCGGACACCGGTACGCCCGACGTACCGCTGCACAACAAGGAAACTTCCACCACCACTCTGCTGCCCGACGCGGAAGTCATGGAGACTGGTCAAACGCCCGAGGTACTACCGCACAACAAGGACACCTCTGCCGCCCCTCTGCTGCCCGATGCGGAAGTCACGGACGCTGGCCAAATGCCCGAGGTTGCCGGCGATAGAGAAGCGAAAGAGCTCAGCGAGAAGCCAGACGACCGCGATAGAGGAGCAGACAAACCCTCCAACGGGCTTGAGGGGGCCCACGACGGTGCCCTCCCCAGCGAAGTGGACGAGGACGTCATCTTTGTAAAAGCAAACGAGCTATCACCAGTCGATTCCAAAACCGCTTTGTCAATGCCGGACGAAATCGGAAAGAGCCTCGACGGTACCCGCAACAACGGCCTGCTTACCAGCACATCCATTCACCATATCCTACGCCTTCTGCTCCCTTCCACCTTCAAGGACTTCGAAGTTCCAAGTCACGATGAATTGTTTGACTGGAAGAAGTGGTCACAGAACCCATTCCGAGAGGCTGATCCTGATACAACATACATTTGCGTTGTGCATATCAGCCCAAGGAATCACTGGGTGCTGCTCACTATATCATTCAAAACCAGGCAGGTGCGTGAGTACGATTCAATGTATCACCCGAAGAGCAACTTGTGCATGGTGGGGAAGCACATCGTGGCTCGGCTGGGCGGGGACTGGGACGACGGCTGGCAATACCACAGACCCGTCACCCCACAGCAGAAGGATGGCGCTTCGTGCGGTGTCTTTGCAATAGTCTGCGCTCTTTTCCGCGCGGCCGACATGGAGCTCCCTCTCACATTTGATGTCCAGCTTTGGCGCCTGGCCCTCAAGAGCATGATTGCAAGAGAGGAGTCTACTCGCACACAGAGCCACTCTTTCCTATTCCAGGGCTCGGAGCTCTTTCGAAAGCTCAACGAGGCTAGAGTGGTCCCCCAAGGCACAGATATCAGCGCCCGGTTGGAGTCCGCTACCAAGTTACATCAACAGTGGATGGATCAACTCGTCGAGGCAGGATCAGTATTCGACAAGTTGCATGCGATGTTCTCCGACCCCGTCGATACCTTGGCCGCCCAGCTCAAGGTAACAAGGGAATCTCTTGCTGAGCTGGTTAAAGTCATTCCTCCCTCCGCGAAGGTCTGCGCTAGGTCCAACGGCACACCTTGCGCCTGCCATCATGCTTCCTCAGAAGCAACTAATCCTGCGGCAGCAGCACATTCCTTTTACCTCCAGCTTCTGGCGCAGGAATCAGCTCATTTCTCAACGCTGAAGGCACAGCATGATGTCCTCACCAACGGGGCTGCGATGATGTCAAAGGGCATTGCTCTTGTAAAAATGTTGAGACAGGACGCTCAGAAGGGCCTGGCGAAGTTAGAGAACGATCTGGAGGCATGGCTGACGAAGGCCGAATCGGACGTAACGGCCGTGAAGAAGTATCTAATTGGGAAGTCAGGTCGGACAGGTCAGTCCTGAAGGGTATTACGAACGAAAGTAGATGCGCGGACAACGTCATGCGATGAGTTTCCGCATCTTCACAAGTCCATTATCAGCTAGAAGTAGTGAATAAGATCTCTCCAGAGATGCGATCAAACGACGAAGAACGTGCTGGACCTGTGCCATAATTCTAGCGTCATGTCTTTCTCCGCCCGATGGTGACGGTGAGGGTTGCAATTCCCGTGCTCGCAACGAGAATGGTATCATTAGAGAGAGGTATAGATTGAACTACTGGATTCTATCAGAACGACTTCACGACTTACTCCGCGAAGTACGTTTGGGTGGGTAGAAGCGGCGAGGGTGACCTCGTTCCCCTTCGCTCTGTAACTATGCTGACTGTTGTAGTTCTACGTTCTCTTCTCTCCCGAACGCTCACCAGTCGACTCCAGACGCGAACACCACGCTTGGCTTTGCCGGCGCCACTGCTGCCGTATGTCGATGAATATAAGTACTATCCTCCACTTGGCCTTCTCGATGCTTCTACGAACGCTTGTAGCTATCGGCGCGCCTACTCCAACCATAGGTTTCACAGCGGCGCATATGCACCCTCCGCAAGCACGCCCGGCCGATACCAGAACAAGAGACTTCATCCATTGGAGACGCGCTTTTGGGTGGATTCGACTTCATCTTGTCGCGGACAGGCCCCCCCGATCATTGCAAATACCCTTGCGGCCCATCGGACCTCTCCAGATCCCCAAATGCGATGCAGCGATACAATCTAGGGGTCCAGCAGCATTCGAGTGGACTCACAGGATATTAGTGCACGTGGGGGAGCGCATCCAAGCCGTTGCCGACCGCCGACTGCACCAGCTCGACCCCGCGCTCCACCACGAAGCAACACAGCTCGATGCCTACAACCTTCTACTACAAATCTCCAAGCCGCGGTCGCATAGCTTAACACTCGCAATGCGATCTGACTCACCCTTCAAACGCGAATAAAGCAGTATGCGATAATTGTGTATAGAGGTATATATTATATCCAACCGCGTTGATACATGACGCCCCGTGAAAGACCCATCTATCTGCCTGCCTGACAAGCCCTTCCAAAATCCCTCTTCTCTACCAACGCTCACGCTCAACAGCTCCAGCCCATCGCTTCCTCGAGTTGCATACTAGCGCCATGGCATGTCCGTCCCTCTCGCAAATATCGCCTGCTACGTCTGCATCACGTCTGCCGCCCGCCACTCTGCACGGCTCCTCGCCCGCCTTCATGTCCTCCAGAATGCCGTCGTCCAAAACACTAGGGCTGCCGCTTACAGCACCATCCCATTGAGGCCTGTCGACGTCTGCCTGCATGCGGAGATGGGCATCGAGATCGAGATCGAGACCGAGCGGCAGCGAAGGCAGCAAAGGCAGCGTGAACATATCGAGATCAGGTGCCGAAGGAGGAGGAGGAGGAGGAGAAGCCACGGCAACGGGCATGGTATGCTGGGACAGCGGATCCTTTCGACGCATATCTCCGATCCGAGAAGCCGCTCCCTCGGGGTTCTGGACGGTATCCTGGTACGGCTGCAAGGTCGGGCACACGCTGAGGAGAAAGCGGGAATGCAGATCGCGCAGATCGACGTTTTCGCGCTGCGTTTCGCACAGCCGCTTCTCGAGACGAAGACGGTGTTGCTGCAGAGCGAGATAGCGCGCACGGAGCTGCTCCAGGGAAAGATCTTCGACGGCGTCGGGGGCTACGTATGCGGGGAGGTTGTTTGTCGTGGTTGCGGGGGCAGTGGCCACATCGTCCTCATTTTCGGCGTGGAGGCTTGCGCTGAGGAACTCGATCTAGATGTCGACGGAGTGGCGGAGCTGTTTGGCGTTTTCGAGGGCGATGCGGTGAGGGTTCTGGGCTAGGGACCATGATGCGTTGGCGGCTTTTGCTGCGGCTGCTGATGTAGTAATGGTGGCGGAGGGGTGGGTGTGTGCTTCGACGTCGCTGAAGCGCACCGTTTTAGTTGGTTTGGCCGCCCCAGTAGATAAGCTAGAGCGTCTCTCGTGCGCTGCTGTCTTGGAGCTTGAATACATGGTAGTCACTAACGTCTATCTAGTGCTGCTGATGCCGCAGGATAAAGTGCGCAGGGAGGAGGCTGATAATGTACTGTACCGTACGAGAAGAGTGAGATGAGTTGAGATAGAGAAGAAATTCGCAGTGAAGAATGAAATGAAAAGGAAAAGCGAGCGATCAGACGTCATGAGGTGGAGCGTTTGCACCCAATCCCGGGATAAGACAAGATGGGACGAGACTGGAATAGCTTCCTGCCGCCGTTTGCTTCCCGTCTTCCCGTCTTGCCCGTCTTGCATTTCTACTCCGACGGGCCGGTTGCAAGAGTAGGTACTACGGTGAGAGATTGATGAAGTTAGACTTGGGGTTTGGAATAATGCGCGATAGGGGTGTATAGGGATAGGACGGGGAGAGGGTAGGGGGAATGAGTGATAAAGGTGAAGATGAAGATAAATATAAGAGCAGGAGAGCTCGGGCCACAAGCAACGACTCGTTGCTAGGACGCTTTGGCGGAGGCACACTGAAAGAGGAGTATGCTGGGCTCGGTATCGGAAGTAGCAGGGCCTTCTGAGCGGTAGTCGTTTGGCGTCGATGTGGCGGCACGGGCGGATTGGTATGCCGCGTGGAAGATGTGAGTTGTATTCACGACTAGACTGGCAGAGTGACCGTATTGTCGTCTCTTTGCGCAGGCGATATGCTCGCTGTGCAAGTCGGATTTATGTTCGGCGGCGCTGGGGGGTTGGTCAGTTTGTTCCAAGAGCTCTGTTCTCCGTGGTCGATCGACATGGTCGCGGAAGGAGGGGCGGGCAGTTGGTAAAGCATTCTGCATTGGCCGTCCAAGGTATGTGAACGATGGTATTCCTAAAGAATCGACTCACTGCAGCATCCTCGATAGCAACGCCTTCATCCTGGCGCTCATGGGATGCCCGCCGTGGCAAGCAACGGCGCCCTCTTCATGTTCGTATTCACAGCGTCTACAAGCTCGGAGGCAGTCGGACCCAACGTTCGGCGAACCAGCAGCGCGGCAAAATACTCACATCTTCGCAATGCAATCTCCGAAACCTCCTCGCCTCCGCATTCCGATCCACCTGCAGGCCCATTCGCCACACCGTCCCCGACGAGTCTGTGGCAGAACGAACGCGTCATTGTAGCGTGGATAGCGCTTGTAGATTCTACACTGGTCCAGCGAGCACTTGTACCAGTAAGATTGTAAGATTCAGCACGAGCTTCACAGACTAACGACAAGCCCTCCAGAATCGGCTCCAGTCAGATGACATGCCTGATGAACCGATACGAAGAACAAGGCTGCGGCCTTGAAGGCCGCCCTAGCTTGCGTTTCTGGATTGTAACGTTGACATCAGTCGCGTTCTCCCGCACTTTTCTTTACCGCAATGGCGTGCTTCTTTCAGGAAGCAGCCGGGGCCGTTGTCGGCCTCAGAGCGCAGGGCGTGTCCTCGGTCGACAGCTTTATCGCCAGCATCATCGGGATGGCCGCAGGTTACGCGCATGTTCTTGCCTATGGACAGGTGGAGGACATGCACATGCTGCATACTGCGGGAATCTCTGGGCACATACTCACGGTGATGTTCGCGGTTACTCTCGAGAACAGTGACGTTAATCTCGGGGTCGATGGCTATGTAGGAGAACCTCTCGGTCAGCTTCTCTCTCCACTCATGAATTCTGCCCGGACTCAAGCTCATAATTACCTTTCTCGTCATCGTGACCCTAGTCATTTCGTTGCTCAACAGATCAGCAGATGTAGGAAATGTTGGCCCAGTCGCCGTTGTTGAAGGCCCGGGCCCTGAGTCTCGCGAATCCCGAATATACGGCGCGTTTTCCCTTGTTCTTCCTAGTAGACCTGGAACACCTTGGGCTGGCGGGCTTGAATTCCGGCACTGTCGACGAAATCGCCGTTAAGCTCTAGCAGAAACGCAAGCTCATCAGGCAACTCAACCGGCGCATATACGCTCGCATTCGATACTTTACATCTTGGCATTGCCCTGGGAGTAGCAGCAAACGGGGCAGAGAAGTACTGGAACACGGCGAGCTCGGAATATGCGGCGTATTCAAATGTCGCGGAGGGCCTGTCCTTCCACACGCCTCCTTTCTTGTCGTTCTCCATGTATGCGTTGCAGATCCTGAATTCCCTTCCACACCAAGCTTATAGCTATGCTTAAGCTTTCGACATAGTCAAGCTCCTGCTGGTTACTAGGTGCTTGATTTCCTCCAAGATGAGATTGACGGTGACCAACAGGGAGATCGAAAGCGAGGGTACGTACGTGGACAGCATGTCGGTGTATTACTTGATCACGATAAGGTTCTGTAGTCTAAAGTTCTCCAAGAGGGTGGAGGAGCCCAAGCAGTACTTTCAACATTGCAGTGCTGACCATTGCCTTCGCCGCGGGGACTGGCCCAGCCCAACACGGCCACTAGCATGCGAACGCGGATCGGCCGAAGTTGAAGCCGTTGTGCATGTCCACGAAATCGGGACACATCGACGTGACTACCTCGTACGTCGCTCCCACCGACCGCCTCCGTGGATCCGAGCATCAAGAGCTTGATCTCGTAGTCGTTCCTGTTACGTTGCCAGGTGGTCTGCCATGTAATCGAGCCGCTTGATAAGCAACTCTAGGTCGCCGCGAGGAAATGATCGGGTGGTCAATCGTAGTGGTGTCTATCATCGAGGCCGTCGGCGGGGTCGCGTTGACGAGTTCCGAGAGGCTTATAATCATGGTCTTCTTCGCGTCTTCGAGCACGAGAACTAACTCGCTCATCTGCGACGACTCAACAGAGTCTATGGTTGGGGTAGTAGCTAAGTAGAACCTCTCGCTTATGTGCAGCGACGTAGGTGGATCAAGACGGTAATTAGGTACATCGTAGGGACGAGAAAGGTTGAAACGACAACAGACGCGTCCACAACTGTAGGCTCGATGCTACTAGGAGACATGAGCATAGCCACACTATATCCCTTAGTGGGACCCAAACATTACTGGGGCAGGTTCATCCTTTAAATTTCCCTTGTAGGCATCCCCACGACTAGGACTAAAGAATATGCTCGACGTGGACAACGAAATGCTGTTTGGAACCCTGAGGTCCCTCAGGGACGAGCAGAAGAGAGACTTTATGTAGAAGGTTGAGAGGATGCCTGGAGAAGTAGCCACTCGTAATCATCTTCTACGGCAAGAGCGAGTACGAGGGCAAGGGCGAGTACTGCGAGAACATTACCAGACTACTCACGACGTTAGCCGAGCGGACGGCGATCGATCTGGTAGGAAAGAAGTCCAAGTTCTCTTGAAAATGGCCGACCTACACTTCGAGGACGACAACGGCCCCAGCTACTCCCTGATGGAGTTCACATTCGTGACTAGTTCTATAGCTATAAGTCTCCTCTTCGACTCCTTCCTGGCGGCGTCCCCGTTAATATTTACCCTCGGCACCACTTACGCTGAGAAGATAAGGGGTGCCGTAGCCGCCGCCGCGAAGAGAACCCCGTTCAAGAAGATCAGCATCAGCGTCGACGGAACCTACAAGGCCTTTATAATAACGGCCAAGAAAAGGCATACGGCCTTGAATTAGACTGCGAAGAACACCAGTGGATAGAAGCTGCGAAGCAACTGAAAAACCGGAGGTGTCCTTGGAGTGCAACGTCAGAGGACGGCTCTTTTTCCATACACTGCTGCTGTTATCTTCTTGCGGGACTTATAATACACATAATGGATACAGAAGGCTAGTCGCGACTTCAATCGCGCTAGAAATAACCTTTCTTCTGCCCGCCATCGCAGCTATTATTACCAGATTCCAGGACTGAATCCGGATGCTCTCCAAAGTATCCAATTGCTGAGCGCCGCTAACTAAGTGTAGCAACCGGGGAATGTTGATGTTGCCCGATCAAGGGAGAATACTGCTCGGCGACCATGTCCCGCGGCACGGATATCAAGTTGCCGCTCAATTATCCACGCAGTCCTTACGTGCGTAAGCTACGGGCGACATAATCTTCCCTAGCGAACTTCAAGCGCCAAACGCAGACGAGGCTGTTCGTATTGCCGTTATTCCACGTGTTGGGCGCGCACGTTTACATTCTTGCTATCGCGAAGGGTTTACAGTCATTCATGCAAAGGGTTCGGACATCTCTGAAGTAACTACTCACAGCAGAATCCATGGAGCTGCGGTAAGTGCAGCACCATGTCTTTTATCAATGTCGAAGCTACTCTAGAACGAGCCTAGCTCCGGTGTCGCGTACTTCAGCGCCCAAAGACCGCCTTATCCAAGGTCTACGACCAAGCAGATGAATCTCGGACGCCGTGCTACTGCTCGAGGACGGTCGCATCTCGGACTACAACTTCTAGAAGAAGTTGACTCTCCACCCTGTTCTTCGTCTGCGCCACGGTGTCCGCATGTTCCTTTCAAAACCACAATTTCAAATGGGCGTCAGCGCTCCCATGCGTGAGACTGGATGGGCGGCCTGCCGCCTGCTTCTCGCTGGTGCGCGGGTGCACGGCGGCTCTTCTAGAAGCCGCGAGAAGACGTTTAAACTCTGCGTATTTAGACGCGAAACATTCGGAGTACACCCCTAGCATAATTGACTCTCTCAGTGCGGCATCAAGCGGATTGGGAGCGCAGTAATATTGCGAAGTAGCACCAGGAGACTTTCCAAGCGGCAGTCGGAGGGGAAGAAACGGAACAAGCATTGATCCAACATGTCAATCGTCAAAGTGCTTTTTTTCAACGAAGACTGGGCCAGCCTCCACGGTCGTTGCATCTCTATACTCTCTTTTGCTCCTGAGTAGCGAAGCACAGACTTCTGGGGATGGTGCCTTTTAAGAAGTAGTCATGAGCACGGCGCAGAATCGGTGCCGCTAGCTTATTAGGGCTAGAGGATGACCCCTCTTTATCACTCACCTTCCACGCAAGCTCTCTAAAACTCTGCCGACTGCGACGCAATATCTTGCCTAGCTCCTGCAACTCCCTCAAGCCGTTCATGTAGTGGGGGATGTTGGCGAGCATGTGGCTGGATGGGAAGAGGGCTTCCATCTTGGCGTTGACGGCGCCCGTATCCGTAAAGAAGCTGTTTATCTCGCTTTACACCTTACTGTCCGCGAGCGGCAAAGGTTCCGGTGAAAAAAAGTGCCTATCGTTCGAGTGGTGTCCCCAAATCGTTGCATTCAGCTTTCCGGTGCTAGAATTCCGTCGGTCGTCTCAATAGATGTGCGTACTAGAAGCGGGAGGGAAAACATGACAGAGGCGAGGAAGTATAAAGAATTAACGCTTATCGCCCAGGCGGACACGTCCAGTACCAACTACAAGAGAAGAGAAGGTACTCAGCGGCGGATGGTTGCGTTAATATCCCAGTGGCCGGGGAAGTCATCGCGCGTACTGTACTCCACTTTGGCATCCATCTCTCCAGGCTATATTAATTCGGCCCTTTTCTTCCTTCGTTCCTTTCTTTCTTATCTCCTCCCAGATTTTTGACACTCCCCTCTGCCCAATTATGTCTGCGCCAATGTGGACGATACTGGCGAAGGGAGAGAATCTAGGCGTGTGAAGTGGGAAGGTAGAGAGGAAGACGTTATCCAAGCATAGTTCTCGAAGAAGTCGCAGAAATTTGCCGTCGGTGCTAGATACGATTCATGATAGCTGCTTTGTGACTGTCGATTTGGTCACTAATTTCTGAACCCTGGTCCCGCACATCCAAAACCGAAAGTGCACCGATGGATTGTAATACAGAGCGAAGGTGCCAAGGGAGGAGGTGACGCTTGCATCGTGCATGCCGAATGGGATCATCAGCTGCATGGCATGTCCATGCTGTGGCAGCAGACGTGTCCAGAGTGGTACACTAAGAGATGCGCTGGGTGATTGAGGGCCCGGAGATGAAGGGCTGGATGCCCGCTGGGTTGCTTCGCGTCCATCTTTCGCATTCGTCCGCGGCGCTGTGGCCGACGTCGACCTCAACGACAATCCTAATGCGGTCCGGGATAACCGCTACGTCTCGCAGGACGGCCTTAAGGTCATGTTTAAGGATACGTCGCTTAAGTTCACTCCGTGGTTTGAGCCCGTCTCGATCGTGCTACCCTGTCGCCGCTTCTTGCGTTCACCAATAATGCCGCTAGTAGCGAGCTTAAGCCTCTTCGGTACCAACTTGGCCCACTGTACCTATACATAGTGAATTCTTCTTAAATTCGTCCAAGGCCATTGTCGTCCCAGATTCCGATGTCGATGAACCGTGGTCCTCAATGGAAGTAGGGGACAGATTCTATCCGGAGCAAAAGGATCCAATCCTTCTGCTCTTTCAGTTATGACGCCTTATATATCCGGTAACAGATTCTCATGCTGGTGAGCTTTTACCTTATCTTCCTTGTCGTTAGCAAGGTCGTCTACTATACAATCGGAATCCAACGGAGTTCATGTAACGCTCGTCGCGATACACCCTACTCCTTCCGCCGACGCAATGCCCGTTCTCTGGTAGAATGCTTCAAGATGTCCTCGGCATTGATAACATGCCGGAAGAGCGCTCAAGTATTCTAGAAACGAGAAACGATGTCGTCAAGCGCTGAGTAGAACGGAGATGGATGGGGGGATGTAGATGTAGACGTGGATTTCGAGCAGCGAGTCCTCATCTATCGCGCGCGCGTGCAACCGAAAATCCGTAGAAATCTTGACTTATTCGAGAATGTTCGTAGCGTGAAGGTCAGAAAATCGTGAATTAATCGACGACGGCGCGTTGAGCGTCGAATAGCTGTTAGGTAGACTCGAAGCCGAGAAAATCCGTGTCCTGGGCGATACTGAGTGGTCCGTCGGATACTTGATAAGCTACTCCCCTGCCTAATCACTACGGCGTCGAAATCTTCGCGCGCGACGGACGCCGACGTGGCTTTTCATCCGCGGCAGAGCTGTAATTTGAGCTGAACAAACTATCTTCACGCGCATCAGTCTTTCCGAATATGCTTTCTCCGCCTCGTCGAGGACATCGCGCAGGCGGACTCAGCCAGGATCGTTATCTTTTCCGGCGGCCATCGAGCCGCCCCGTGACGGCGCGACTAGTCCCTCACCCTGCCAGATCGACGGGGTGTCGAGTATCCTGCGCGCTACCGGGGAGCAGGCGGCAATGCTGGAGTTATCCTATCGCAATCAACGCCCCGTACGGTCTCAGCGCGCCATCGCTAGATAGCTTCTGCAGGTGCAGGCCTCGAGACGGCCGCGTGTGCTAGGTCCGTTGATGACATATCTGTCGATTTGCCCGAGCCTGGGAGCAGCAGCGTAGACAACGTCGGTGGAGATGAGGAGGGCTCTGGGTTAGGTTTAGGGTTTATGGAGGGCCCGACCGACACTACCATGAAGTTTCACAGACCTGCTCTACGCGAATACAGGAAGGTTTGCGCCTTCAAAGCCGACTGGAGACACCTTCATGACAACGAATGCGACTGCTAAACTGTAAGCAACATCTACTTGGGCAGCGCCATCGGCTCGCACCGGTCCGGATGCGCGGTCCGGGACGCTCGCACGCACTTGCGACTGCGGTCTCTATTGGCCGGAGTGGTCGGTGCAAGGCGCCCATCGGGATTGAACGAGGCGTTTGCAGCCTGCTCAATCAATCCGCAACTGCACAACACGACGACGCGGTGGAATTTATTCGCAAAAACATCAGGTCCTCATCATCTGAGCCTTGCGACGATATTTCCGCTTCTCTAGCTTTAATATTCGTAGTGTTGGGGGTGGAAATGAACCTGTCGACCTGAGGCTTAGGGCAAGGGGGAGGGAACCTTTGATCTGGGTTTTCGTCTTCGGTACTTGCGGCGGGAGCTGCGAGATCGATTATCAACTGCACGACACAACGCATCCGAAATAATGCAATAAAACTCCAGGGCCCAATGACCAAAGCTCTTTCACGACAATCCCGTGTTTCAGATTTTTAAAATTCGTCGTGTGTGGCAAGGATGCCAAAGCAGCGCCTTTCTGTCGGCGGGAGCGGTTGCAGCATGCTTCACGACTGCACAACGACGCATTGAAAATAATCTGACCAAAATTCGGCCCCTGAAAATAAGAGCTTTTCCACGATAGTCCCGCTTCTCGGATTTCTAAAATTTGTTATGTGTGTTAAGAACGCTAAAGCGGCGCATTTCTAACCCCGGGCTGAGTTTTGGGGGAGTTCAGGTCTTAGCCTCATTCAGATAAGCGTGCTTCGTCGTCGATCTCCAGCCCTAGAGACGCCTTCTCACTCCCCCGCTGCCTTCTTTCTCAACCGCCACATCAACAGCTCTCACGCCATGAACCTCGCCTATCTCCAATTTCAGAACACTCCTATGTATGCTTCGTTGATTTCGACCCGCCCTTCGCGCGGGGCCCAGAGCTGAGTTGGTGTGGGACGCTTCGACTGTCTCCACGGCGGTGTCTTCGGTCGGGGTCATGGCGGCGTCTTTGGCGGTGGCCGTTCGAGTTTGAGGCTCGATGGACAAGAGGGTCTCGCATGGTGCGTGAGGTGGAGTGTGAGGTCGCTCAGAAGCTGTACTCATGCTTTTGGTAGCACCCGGGCACCATCATCATATCCCCAGATGCCGAAGACAGCCGCCGCCACCTACAAATTACGGCCCAAAGCCAAAGCGAGACGGGTCGGTCAGACAGAATGCGCCATACATCATTCAGGGGTGCGAACAGGAGCTCGCGGTTATCAAACCAGGGGTTCTAGAGCCGCCGAACCCTCCCCCGAACTTGAACCGACATTGACATGGTCTTGTTGTCGCCCTCTGCCCAGGTAAGACTCTTATACTAACGTCCGCGCCATGTAGCACGCATTTCGAGAAATTCGGCCTTGCCGCATCACAACTCGATGGACGCATTCCACCTTCATCACGGCGAATAAAATCACGTCATCCGGTTAAGCTGCGTTCGTCGACACGCTCGCATATCTTACCGACCGATTCTTGTTCAGCCAAGATCTTCCCATGGTTCGAAATTACTTTACCGCTCAACACACAACTCGTCTCGTATTGTCCGCTGTCTCGGCGCGTGATTCAGTCGGGGCAGCTCACAGGGCGGGCACGCTGCGGAAAATCCTTCAATGCCGCGGCAAGCCCGCTCCCCCACACCCAATCGCATTCGCATGGCCAATTTCAATGAGGCGCACGCGACATATACCGATGAGGAACAATCGCCGTCGTGTGGCTCAGGCCGACAAGCGTAGCGGCGAGAGGTGGGACAGTAGAGGAGGGACAGAAGGAGAGACAAGAGGAGGGACAGCGCAGGTAGAATAGAGGAGGAAGGGACAGACGGCGATGATATCCTCGAGCCCGCCAGCCTTACGTTTCTGAAGCCACCTCACATCATAGCTTAACAGTCGTCACGGTATGTAACCTAGTACTCTAGAAACGTGGATGTCGAATACTGATTCCATTTCGTTATTGTGCTTTCTTATCTGCCCAACTGTCTTCGTGTCAAGTTTGGATTGGGACTTGATGCCCGCCTGGACCGTCCTGACTTTGGTAAGTTGGGCGGCGAATCGCAGTGAACATATCACAGCCGCGCGAACCGGAGCACGCCTTGATACCCAAAGTGCCCATCAAGAGTAATCAGAACAACAATTTCCTCCGAGCTTTGGCTCACACGATCAACCATCTCAAGCTCCCACCTTTGTCTTCGTCTTCGGCCGTAATTATAACCTCCAGCCTTTCTGGACATGAGGCGCCAGTACCCAATCACGAAGGACCTTCGACTACTACTCAGGACTTCATCTCCCGCACACGGATGGCTAAGTATTGGAACCACCCCACCATGCAGCTCTTTGACCACGACATTGTGGTTGCCGATCAATAGACACCTAAACCAAACGCCCTAAACAAATATCTGCAGGGTAATGCTCCTCGACGTTCACGAACGAAAGCCCGTCTTGAAATGTCTCTGCATGCGAACATCACTGGCCGATTCCTGGGCACGGGCTGGAAGACCGGAGGCGGTCCCGACTTGCGGTCAAGGTGCGCGGCATCTTCTCTCACTTGAGGCGTGAGGGATGGGTTGCTGCGACGGACATACTTCCAACCTCCAAAAACTGCCGCCGCCAGCGAAAGTTGCTCACCCACACTCTCTTGGAACGGTTCTCCGGGAGCACCGAAGTCGCAAACGCGAACACCTGGGGATCATCCTCGGCCTACTCGCGGTCAAACATCCGGCTAGACGAAGCGCAGCGTTTGGCTGAAGCAACGAGACAGCGATGTCCCGCATGTGCCGGAGCTCTCGGCGCCGTTGAACGTGAACCCACAGTTTGCGCATCTCGTGAACCTAAATCTGGTGTCTGCCTTTTTGTCCTCCCTGCCGCAACGCTCGAACGTCGGAAGCTTTTCCAATAGCACAGGTACGTATCTCGGCGACGACCGGGAGGTGGTGGAGAGCCTTCGCCTCCCAATCACTACGTTGCCAACAATAACTTACACCGCCAAAACTAGAGTCGCAGCAGCTTTTTCGCTGTTCCGTAGCAGCAGATAGGATACGTGAGGATGTGCGCAGGAGATTTGGGAGACTGATAATGGCATTCAAGGGGAGTTCTTCTCATCCATGGATATCATATCTTCACGTGCTAATGCATCCCAGGACTTTCACTACATGCATGGATGTACTCTCAAGCTATATGTTAATATTCGACAGGTCAGACCTCTAACTTGTCTTCATGCCTTCTTTCAGAAGGTAGGCGTTTCTTAAATACTTACGTCTCCAACACTACGTTCATTTAGTTATAATGTCTTTCCTATTCTTCTTCTGTTCCGCATGCGACATTTTGCAGAGCTTGCGTTAAACACCGGGCGTCATCTCACCATCACAAAAACCGGGACACTTTAGGCTCCATTCACTCTCCGAAGATCATAATCTAGCCATTCAATCCTTCAGCGGGGTGACACTTCAACCGCTAAGCATCCACACACCCCGTCTCCTTCCAGGCAGCCAAGAAAGCGGACGACCCTACCTAGTATTGTTGGACTTGGGGATCAATCATCTCGGATCTCCTATTCCCGGAAGCCATCTCCAAACGAGAAGCGAGGACGAAGCTTCGACGTACTAAGCTGTTTCTACTCCAGGAACTTCAGAGATGTGATGGTTTAGAGTGGACGAATGATCCCGCTCCCATCGGCGACCCCAGTGGATGGGGCGGACACTGCGCGAAGGACGAGACGCTTGAATCCGGTTTCCGGAATAGTGATGTACGGGCTAATGGAGGTGTAACGTCGTCTAGAGTGAAAGGAACGGAGACCGCGAGCTATCTGATGTTCCCTGGTGTTGATCGCTCTGATCGCTGGGCTGTTCACATCTCGCCGCCCTCAGTGTTGTCAGGGCCTGTATTCGCCATGGCGGAGGCGAAGATACAAGTCCTGTGACTGTATATTATATTGTCTTTCACAGCTAGCCGGTGCTATGGTAACTGTTCGCACTTTACTTTCTCATCACCCATCCGGAGAACTGGAGATGAAGTAGCTTTCCCTTACTCTTGGTCTTGCGCTCGCTGCGCCTTTCTTCCCGCGTCTACTATATCTGATTCAGATGCGCGACGCCATTCCCTTCTGCTTTCTGCATTTCTTCTGCGTTTTTAATTGCGAGTTAATGACCGTGTTGCGTGGGGGACGGGACTTGACTTGACTTGGCTTGACTTGACTGCTGGGATTCTTTGCTGGCTTGCTCGGCTACGCGGCATGTCAGCTACGATATCGGACTCCTGAGATGCGAAGGAGGATGGGATGTGGATGTTTAAACGACGGATGGAGTTACGACGTTCTACATCTCGCGCGCCACCTGTGGCGCGGGAGAGGAATCTTTCGATAGCAGAGTGCTAGTTGTTGACTTAGGTGCTGGCAATGTGAGATTCTGCGGCAGCAAGGTTCTGGAAAATACTATTACTTTCGCACGTACTCTCCGGGGCTTATACAAGGACTTGACGCAGCGTAGCTTGATTCGAAGTCAACTCAGTGTTAGGAGCGCGACCGCGTCCGTCTGAGTTCTTCATCACAGCGTCAAGGATTCTTGCGCTGCGCGCCCTTCACCTCGGTGTTTCTAGCCACGAAGTTCATGCGTGGGCACACGGTACCGTTGTTCTACAGGTAGGTAGGTAGGAAGGAAATGCCGCACGATCTGAGGCGTCTTTGTCGGCCACGAGGGAGGCGTAGCACCGCGTCGTCGTCTTCTGCGCCGGCGAGGAAACTACAAATATAACACCCTCGTTCGACGTCGCGTGTGTGGGGGGATTCCGAAGTCTGATTCAACCTCGGCCGGCATTTGCAACAACGCCCTGGCCCTCTGCAATGACTAACAGGTAGAACATCTGATACTTTGTATTGGTGGCTGCTTGTAGCTCGCCTTTCGGGCTTTTGCCTACCTTTCGACCTTGGAGTGCCGCTCGGGAGTAAGATTGAGGGTAACACAGTCCAGTTGTCCTAACGCCTTGAGCATGCGGGTTTCCGGACAAAGGAATGCAAGGCCTATCTCTGGAAACTCGCTGTAACTATTGTTGCAGCATGTATTAAGACAGATGCAGGTGTGCAATGAACGGCTGCTAAAAACAGCGCTGCAACGCCGGAAGCAACAACGGAAGCTTCTCTAATATGCAAACCTACCCTAATATACTTTCTTATAGTAGTAAAAGCTACTTGTATCTTTTGCACACTTTCTATGCGTTGTGTGCTAATCCCGAAGACCTTATACGATGCATGGGTTTGCGGAGAAGCACGTGAGTAACTGACACCGGAAACACCACTAGTAGCCCCTCTAATGTGCAAACCTATCCTAATATGCTTTACTATAGTAGTAAGAGCTATCCATATCTTTTGCACACTTTCTGTGCATTATACGATGATTCCGAAGGCTTTACACTTACGATGCGGTTCGTGGAGAAGCACACGAGCGACTGACTATTCCGCATGCCGGAAACAACAACAGGAGCCTCCACAAGGTGCAAACCCATTCTAGTATACCCTAGTATAGTAGTAAGAGCCACCCACATTTTTGGCATATTTCTATGCATCATGCGATGATTCCGATGGCCTCGTACTTACGACGCATGAGTTTGCGGGGAAGCATGCGAGCGACCGACTATTCCTCTTTGGTAACATGCCGAGGTTGCACACCCTACGCTGCGCCGATGCTGCTCCTCTCTGCTCTATTTTCACATCTGTCGACATGGGGCATGCGACGAGCTTTTTGACGTTCTTCTTGTGCGATCGATCGTCATCAAAACTCTGCTGCACTTCGACATTGGGTACCTGCACTGGCATGTAGCGGTGCCGCGAAGAGATTTGCCCCAACCACGCCCGGAATCCTTTATCGGCAACACTCCAGCCAACCCACCATCCTGCTCTAGTTAGGAGTGATGTCGTGATTCAACGCGATCCGCACGGTGAAGCTGTCTGCTCCGGTGATGCGATACGTTGTAGGCGCTCATTGATCCATGCTGTTTCCCGGCGCAGGCGAGCCTTTCCGATCGATTGATTTTCTCCTGTTCCGACCTATTAGCCCATAGGGATTCTATATTTTCCGACTGTTGGCCAAGTGACGATGAAACGCGAACCTGTTCGATGCCGATGAGGATGGCGGACGCCTTTACTCACAGCGGGTATTCCTCCTACATCTCTTCCGCTGCCACAAAGCGGCACCTGCCATTATTTGTAGCCCTCAGGAACGCGAACCAGCCATTGTCGTACTAACAGGACGATGATTTGAATGGGGGCCGAACCCTTGACATGCTATGCGTCCGCCTCTTATTCGCATTCCTGCTATCAAGGACTGGTATGGTATATCGCTCCGCAACAATATTCACCGCTGGCCGCCGACACGGCTATTCTCCACGACGAGGACTGGATACATTGAGGTGGGGGCGAGCACGCCGTCGTTCGTCTAGGTCTTCATGTCGTATTTTCGTGGAACTGGAATTTGCCCGTGCGGGTCGCCGTTTCGAGGATGGTGGCTCCATGTCGACGGATAACGCTACCCTCACCACCTAGCAAAGTCCATGGTCTTGTATTCCCCCCATGTTGCGCATGCAATTACGACGGGATTCCGCCAGGCGCGATAACACCAGCTAATCCCGCGGGCACTTTGGACGAGACCATTTTGGTTGTATACTGAGGGGATGAAATGGTCAGATGATCGTGCCGATCTTGTACTCTGGCCGATGGGATTGTGCATCGAGACGAGCATATGCTTCCGACCGAAGACAGCAACCCGGTCAGGGTCTTGGAGGAGTACACAGTCAGTGAGAGGAACGGATTTATGAACCAGAATGCCAAGGAGGACGCCAGCTGGATCAAGCAGTCGAAAGTCGTGTGAAGAAGTCATCCTTCTTTTCTCGTGTTCTCGAGAACTGCATCGGATCCGAGCTGGTTGCCTGCTTTTTGCGCGGCGACGAGAACCTAGCCCGACTTGCTCCGTAGCGCACCCGGACGAGCGCCCTTTCTCGAAAGATGTGTCGTTGCGAACGTCTTCGTCGTCCGCCGACTCCAGGGGCCCCCTCTCCTTGTCACACCACACCCGCTCTCGTCGCCGGATTGCAGGCATCGCCCTGGGCCAGTCCCGCTGCCACTGGTATGGTTGCCGGCCAACACCATTATTGCTCGTTCCCAGCTGCCTCGACTCATCCTTACCGCCTCTCACCTCGGCCGGCGACTGCCCTTGGTCTGCTCCGTTGTCATCGTGGAATTCTGCAAGCGGCGCAGTGGTGGAAGATATAAGAGAGAAGCGGAATTTGCGTGTTGACAGATGACGGGGACTCCCTCCAGCTCCGGTACAACGGAGCGATCAATGGCGATCATCCCTAGTCCCCGTCCGCCTCTATCGCCTCTATCTCTCGGTATTCATCGGCATGGTGCTTGCCCTCCCATTCGCCTACCACCCACACCTTCGTGCTAGAGGAGATGTTCTCAAGATGACCATGAATTCCTAGATGGCAGACATGCTCAAGTGCCAGGCGTTCGTACTTACCTTCGAAATTCCAGTTTGCAGTGGATTGCTGGGAGCTCCCTCAGCCCCGATATAATAAACATATCAGAGACGTTTGGACTTGCCAACGCGACGCCACCCGGCAAGTCCATGACTGCAAATAAAACGGCGGGTCCACCGGAAAGAAGTGAGATAACAGCAGGGCTATAACAAAGGCCAGCATCAGACACGACAAGATGAGCATGTTGCTTCTTAGGGAATAAAAGCCGCAGCCACCGTTCCCGGTCCTATCCCATCCCGGACACGCCCAGGCCCACGAAGCCACCCAAGGGATTCCGACACATCCACGTCCACTTTATCACGCCTCTGCGCCCGGGAACGATGATGCGGAGTGGCCACGCGTTCCAAGTAAGAGCAGGAGGGCATCTCCTTAATCGCATACTAGCTCGAAACATCACCGCACTCTGCTTCGCACGGTCCAATATGGAGAAACGCACCATGGTGGCCAACAAACAACTGAAACAGTTTATCGGCATGTGTGCCACGCTTCCAACTCAGCCGGCGGTTGGGCACAGCGCTGTCCGCGTAACCGTCCGCTTCACTCCTCGCCTTACGAGCTTCTAAGAAGTCTACGATATCCTTATCCCTTGGGCCCAGCCTCAGTCTTCGATATGGACGAGTCCAAGAAGAAGTTCATCGGCCTTCCGGGATTAGATTTCATGACGTATTAGATCTCTGATGGACGGTATGCATCAATACATTACTGTCCTCTTCCATTATCTATCGGCGTTTTCATAGTGTTGCGCAGAATCCTTATCGGTCTCTTCAACTGTTCGGCGGCATTCTTTCCTCTAGGCATAGAGGTTACGATGAGTGTCGGGGCGGTGGGCGTTTTGGGATGGTCGTTCTTCAGCGTCGTACCTACTATGGAACAGTGCTGCCCACACCCCTTGCTTCTAAACCCATATACTTCGCATTCGCAGCAGCTTTCCTCGCACCATCCCACAATCAGGACAAACCCGCTTAGGACGTCAGTCGATTCAAACCCTAGCTGCGGAAGGAAGAGACCCGTCAGGGCCATCAACGCCGGTGATCCGTCTGCGAGTACGAGCATTTCATTGTATTGCTGTGGCGAAGGAGGAGAGTCACCAATCAGGGCTATCAACGTCAACCCATCTGCGAGAATGAGCAGACGATAGAGATCGACCCAGCCGGTCAGTGGAAATGATATGGGGTTCAAATGCCGCTTTCTTGATCCCACCATTCCTGGAGCTCCCGTTCTTTTTGGATTTCTTGGAGGAGCCTTGCTTCCGTCGTCGCAGTTCTGCATTGTGCACAAGCGACGGCCTCGGCCCCGGTTCCTGCTTCGTCGCCTCCGCGGCGGTGCTCGGCGGCCGCTTCGCATCTTCCTTGACGATCTTCGTGGCCGCAGCTTGCACAGTCCTCACCGATTGACAAGACACGCAGAACAGGAAAAAGTAAAAGCTCTTCCAGTGCTGCTTGTTGGGCAGGAAAGCGGCGGTGTTCCCGGGGCTCTCGTCCACGGTCTGTTCGATTGCGTCGTATGTCATGTCGGCGTAGAAGATATTTCTAGCGCCCTTTCTACAGCCTTCCGGAGAGCCTTGGAACTACGATCTTGGAGCTACGATCTTGGAACAATTACGTCGTTCCGCCGTCTCTTCCATCCCCTGCTCTTCACCCTTCGGTTTCTGATTCTTGGCAGTACGGGTGCCGATTGGGTCAACCCGCGCCGCGGCGGCTTCGCTCTCGGCCCTGATCTCGGTCATGCTCCCCTTCTCAAGATATAAGCTGTGTTTGTCCTTCCTCCCACGCGTGTTTAATTGTTTGCACCTCCCCTTGTCCGTGTCATCCCCGGCCCGTCTTACCAGACTCAAGCACATCCGCCTTTTTCACCGTCTTGATCTCTAGCTGAGAATTTGGATCGTTCGCGGGCTGTTTCTTTGGTATCTTCTAGCTCCTGATCGATGCGTCGCTTCTGGCACAGGAGAAGACGTGGAGAAATTCTCGCGCCGGGCGGTAAAGGTGATGAGGGAGTACAATGACCGGGGGAGGAGATGGAGGGAGGGGGGTTTGCTCGGGCCACAAGTCATGATTCTTTGGTAAGGTAAGAAGTTTTGGGGGTTTTTTGGTCTCGAGCCGTTACGCAACATGATTCATATGCGATGCGATGCGCATGGGATGCAATGCAGAGTTAGAAAACCGTTTAACCTGGGTCGTTGGGTGGTCTTTTACGCAGTTGGGAAGACGTTCCTTGAAGTCGACCCAACCAAACCTAGGCCAGGAAATATCATCACTCTTTTCGTACCGCGCTTTGGAACTCGTGTCGGAATCCGACGAGACGATCCCCTTTTCACAGAATGTGGAGAAGGTGCTCGGAAAAGTGGGGGAAGGTGTCCTGAGCAAATACCCAAACTGATTTCCAGACCAGGACCTCTAAATAGTTACGCTTTCCCCTTTAAGGGGTGAAGGAGGGAGAGGAGGGGTGGAGCAATTTCGCTTTTGCATCTACGTGCGGGGACCAGACAGTCGAGCTCGGTCCGTCTGGAGACTCAGCTTTTCCGTGTAACCGCTGTGCGTGAGAACATCCTCTTGGAATTTCCCACCCATTGTATTTTGCAGCTCGACCAGACGACGATGCAAGGGACGGAGGCATGTTCCTCGCCTGCGTGGAATTGGTTTCTCTCGCGGACTGAATAGCTTGGGACTTCTCTCCGGGGGACTCTCGGTAGCTTGATGATTGCCCGCAGCGATCGCTGCCTGGTGGTGAAACGTCGGCACCAGAACGTAAAGCATCCGGGAGATCGCATGGAGAGCCAAACGGCTCGTGGTTCCATGTCCGAATCAGAGCGCGGAGAGGCGCGACAAGTTCACGTGAACGAAACGACGTTCTTGCGAGCGACTCTGGCATGCGGTGCACGCGGTAAGCTTTCTTTCCGGCAATAACGTATGCGAAGCCTGCAGCGGGAAAGAGATCGCACCGTACGGCAAGCGTGACATCGCGTTCGAGCTTCGCCACGACGCGTTCAACTGCCGAAAAACGCAGACGGCAACGTGCAACTCTTCCTCACCGCTATGCGCACGAAAGAGGAGGTAGCGCGGCGGTAATGTACGAATGACAATGAAAATGAGATGGCGCTGTGGTGATGAGTTGAACTCAGGATGAGGAACACGGAGGAAATTCCACGCTTTACCCGAACAGGAATAGGCGGACCCACTACCTCATCTACCACGTCTCGAATCCTGATCCTCCAGAAGCCTTGTGGTGAAGAAAGGTTCGCATTTACGGCTTCGAGGCTGCTTGGTAAGTAGATGCAAGCTCTGGATAAACAAAGCGACCTGAATTGGAAGTCTCGATAGGCGCTTTTCCGGTCACTCGCGTTGAGTGGCGGCGCTCTTTATATGTCAAGTCGGGCCGGGCATTGCTGGAGAGTAATTGGTTAGGTAGTATGTAGGGAGAGGAATAAATAAACATGCTTGAGTGGAAGGGAAGATAGACCCCTCACGAGGCGCGATGTATTTCAGATGTGGCGCAGAGTGGCTAGTGTGCTGTGTTCGCAAGTCCGACCAATCAGATACCAGCGTGTTCAGTCCCTTATCGCCGGCATGTGAACGAGAAGAAGCGGAGGGAGAAGAAGCGTAAGCCATTCATATTATTCAAATGAGAAATTGTCACGCTTATCCTGAACGCTCCACGAGGCGACCCCGAGAGGAGCCGTCCATTCTATCTATCAGCATTATCATCATGGTCATCTATCATGAGTCGTCCATGGATGTCGTCCATCATCAGCGTCCATCAACGTCGTCCATCATCAGCATCCATCATCAGCGTACATTATCACCATCCCGCCACTCTTCATCCCAATCCCGGAAACTTGACCCATCCTCCCTCCTCAACCCCCACCTCTGCCGCAACCTCCTCTATGGTCGTTGTCTCATTAAACTTGCCCACCAACTCCCACAGCAAGCCATGCAGTGCACGATTCAGCTTTTCCGCCTTGTCCACAACGCCACTCTTCTTCAAATGGCGAAAGGCGTCCTTCGACGCGCCCGACGCCTCGCCACCCTTGGAGCACTGCTTCAACTTGTGCGGTGCCACAGCGCCGTCGAGTAGTAGGTAGACGAGCGTGCCCAGCGACGTGTGGCGCGCGATGAAGGCGTACTTGGAGCCATGGTCCACCGTGGTCTTGACCTGGTCGAGGAACTTTGTCTTCGGCATGATGCTCACCGCAGACTTGGTTCGCTTCTTGTGGTCTTTGAGGAGCACCATGTACTTATCCCACAGATGCTCACCGACGCGCTCGTCGACCGTTGCCATGCGGAGCCGCGCCTCGCTGACCCACTCAGCGGGATTGGGATGCTGCGCGATGTACAGAAAGAGGCAGAGCAGCATGCGGACGATGCTGGCCTGGCAGTCAAGCGTGTCAGTCTTGCTGATAAGGGTGACCACCGTGTTGAGGTAGGCAGCGTTAGCGAGATCGACGGACGTCTTGCTGTTGATGGGAATGTTGGTATTCAGATCGAGCTGGTTGGAGAGGAGGGTGTCGAGGGTAGGGTTGGCGATGAGGGATTTGGTGAAGGCGTCGAGCTTGGGCAGGCTGTTGGGCTTGAGTTTGAGCATGCGCTTGTAGAAATAGTCGGAGTTGGGCGGCTTAGGTGGACCACGCCAAGACTTAAGCAGCTTCTCAAGGGCGCGGATTGTAGCAGCATCGGCGGCAAAATCGGTCATGCCGTAAAGTTGACCAGCACGGACTTGAACCTGTTCGATCTCCTGGAAAAGTTAGCGCGTAAAAGGAGGCGATGCCGCAATTGGAGACTTACGGTTGGCGGCATGCGGACCAAGCCAACAAGCTGGTCCAAAATGGTGTTGACTTGAAATCGCTCGTCTCCTCCGGCATTATCAAGGCCCACATCCGCATCCTCGCCTTCGGCGTTGACATCATCATGTGGCTCTCCGTCTAGAACGCTATGGAATCGGCCATCGCGTGTGCGTGCCGTTTCTGGCGGCGTAGCCAAGTTATCGAACTGATTGTGTCGCGAAGTGGTTGGAGTCAAAGATGGCCCGGTGCCTCCTTGATGGTGAAGCTGGTTGCGAGGTACTGAAGCCGGCATATCAATGCTGAATCCAGTAGGACTCGGAAGAGTAGAGGGGCCGGAGAATGGAGCCGGTGGTCTGCTGGCAACAATATTGCTGCTATACTCCCCTGGTCCACGTGGATAACCGGAAAATGTAGCCTGTCCTCCATCCAGGTGTGCCGCTGGATCACTGTGACTTCTTCCGTGTGCGGACTGGTTTCTAGGAAACGGTGGTCCATCATGATCACCGAAGTCAGTGCTATTCGTTGGGGCGGAAATGCTGAATCCGGTAGGGCTCGGGGGGCTGCATGCTTGATAACTTTCGACAGAATTGTAGACATCTCTGTAGCTTCGGCCGTGTCGAACCTGGCCTGCGGAGATAGTGGAATAATCTCGAGGAGACGTGTACGAAGGAATGGGAGCCGCCAGTCGACTGAAGGGCGCAGCAAATGTATTGGGTTCTTCATCGTACCGCTGTATCTTCCTTGCCGTCTGCTCCCGATCCGAATTGTCGAACAATCGCTTGCCTAAGACACTAGGTGTGTTGCTCATAGCATAGCGATCGAAGGAGCCTCGAGTGAGTGTACTGGTGCTGGTGGTGGCGAGAGAGTTTGATCGTGCACGATGGGGGCGAGGCATGATACGGTCGAAATGCGGATGCCAAATAGGCATTGGGGCTTGGATGGGCTACATAAATTAGCGTCGTGGAATTTAATAAGCTAAATTGAAGGGTGAGAGACTTACCGATCCAGGAGGACCATTTGGCTGGCCATCATCACGATAATGGGAGTACCCGGAATCATCAAACGGCGACAAGAGTCGGTTTTCCGCATGGTACGCAGAGTCGTCGAAAGGCGAAAGGCTCTGGGGGCCATTGTGTGCCATGCTTCAGAGAGCCGTCTTGCACGATCAACAATTGGGAAAAGGCGACAAAAGCTGGTGGAAACGTGCCTCTGCCCCAGATCGTGAACAGCCAGGAGCAGGGACGGGAATCACAACAAGGAGGTAAGCTCCATGTGATGACCGGCGGAAAGGACCGAAAAGGGAACAGGAGGCGATTGCCATCATATACCGCAGCTTGTCGTTGAAGCACGGGCAGAACAGCGCAAGAATTGAGGAGGTTGGGGGACAGCAGCGTCCAGGTAGTGAGAGTTCGCTCTGGGTACATAGGAGGTGGACGCACGAGCCGCAGGAACCAGATTGCCGGCCTCGCTCTTCCTAAGCGGCATAGAAGCCGATAGCGGAGAGTTCCATGAAGGAATCCAGATGACTACGGAGCGCCGTCACAGGTAAGCATTGCGGCCTGTTCGTCCTCATGAAGTGTCACTGAAGGTCGGACGTCGGAGTCCACTCTACCCTCGGCAGGGTAGGGCCCATCTGCTGGAAGTTCCGCCCCGTATCTCGCAAAGACCTCAACTTTCATCGGAGATTGCGTATCCCCACCGGCCAGCCATGTCTCGAAGAACAGGATATTTGCCCCACCGTCCAGCCACGCGTCGAAAACATGGTGCCCTCCCACCCATGATACGCGGTGAAAGAGGAAGGCTAGCTGTGGTGAAACCTGAAACACGCCACAGGCGACTCTTTTCGCGCACTCAACGTACGGTCCGCCCATCCGAAATCTTCAAGCGTGCTTGCGGTGAAAGGCATCGAGCGTAACAGTGCCTTTGGCGAGAGAATATACGCGCGCAAGGGGTCAGTACGGAGAAGATCCCTTGGACGATCGAAGCACCGAGCGTAGATTTTCGTTTGCGGCGGTTCCTTTTTTCTCGCTGGAGCCTGATCCTTTGTCGCAGCGCACTCAAGCTCGGTCCGCGTGACTCCAAGATGTGGCCGATTGCTCGCCCCCTCACCACGCCAAAGAGCCCGAGCCCGAGCGCCAGATCATGGCCACTCTTCTTCGCAGGCAGTGCACGGCGGCGTCCACAAAGCAGGGCTGACCGAAGAACCACTCAGGCGGAGTAGCGTGACGATCGGCGTGTAAACCTGCCACAACCCCCGGCTCTTGGCTATACTTTCACCCTCATCCCCCCGCGTATGGTAAAGGTCTTGCGTACCCGCCTCGCATGCACTCGCCAAGAAGGGGGCAAAGAAAGAGAAACAGGACTAGAGCGAAATCGGTCTGTGCTTGTGACTGGGACCACCTCAAAACTGGGTGCGAAGGAAAAGAAACTGGATGTGGACAAAGGAAAGTCAGACACAGGCTGAGCGAGTGAGGGCGAGCGAGCGGTATTTGAAAGGGAGTGAAACTAGCGCGTTCCCAACATGCGGCTGGGAAAAGCCACGCCGTACCACGTTACATTCTGGAATGGCAGGCACATCCACGTGTCATCAAATGCCCTTTAGCGATTCGCGGAAGCGCTCGGAACGTTGCATACGGAAGGAAGTTGAGAACTTTGTGGCTTTCGAACCGCCTTAATCCCAGCTCGTGCTTTCTGCGTGGGAAAGCCACCGCTGCCGTGGCGGCGGACATGGATACGGATCCGGTTGCTTCATTTCTTCTAGTTGAAAGATGGCGGTCAAAGAAAGAGAGTTACAGCCGGGTTGCAATCGGCGCTCGGTAAAAGTGAGGTGCGTAATGTAATTACGATTACGTAAACTGAGGCTCAGGTGTGGCTCCCGCACATGTCGAGACGACATCAGACCAGCTCCCGCAACGAATCTTGCAGTAAAGGCTTGCGGAAAAGCCGCAACACGAGGCTTTAGAAATTTAAGCTTTATCATATTGCTCACACACGGCAGTAGAAGCGTATCCCATGTGTAAAAAGAAGATTGTAAAATATGCTGCCCAAACTCGCATCGCACCTTAGTCCGCGCCTCGAGGTCCGCACCTCGCATGAGGTCGGGGACTTACCACCTCACGTATTGAGCAGGCAATCATCAATCACATAGTTGTAATAATGGGCATCTTAGCTCTTGTTAGCTATTCTATTCTAGATTATATCCTGGTCCGATAACAAAGAAATAAAAGAAAACCGCTCTGCTACTCCCGCCTGAACTCCACGTCGAATAAGGACGAAATAACCGGTAATATCAGTGCGGGTAAGAGTTATCCTTGTATACAGAAAAGACAGGAAAGAAGACAACCCCTGCCAAGAGCCTAGGTAGCCATATCACCATGGGGCACTACATTCCTATCATCATCCAACTCCCCGCACAACATCCCCGTCTCCTCCGCACTAAGCCCTAGGCGGTGACAGAGAACCACGCAGGCCGCCCTATCACCATAGGGCGCTCTATTCCCGTCATCGTCCAACTGCCCGCACAACATCCCCGTCTCCTCCGCACTAAGGCCCATGTCCTGAAATTGAACTAGGCAGCTCGCCCATTCTATCTTCGTTTTCTTCCTGTCTGTCTCCCTCTCTTGCTCCCTGAACATCTCGTCTTGGTACTCTCGGCGAGTATACTGCACATCTCTCGCCTCCGCATAGCCCGTCGCTAGCCACGTATCCTGCGTAGCCCTCGAGACCGTTCCAATATCGTAATCCGCAACAGAGGCTTTTAAGGTGAAACCCATGCCATAGATACGGTACAGGATAAAGAATGGGTTCTTGGAGGAGTGGAGGTGCGGGTCTCCCCACTGAGGGTGCTTTCGAGGGGGGGGTGAGAGGTAGGCCTTGAGCGTGTGTGCGAGACTGTCGAAGCAGAGACATGTGTCCGCCAGCTCATAATCACTCTTTGGAAGCGGGAACAAGGCGTCATGGAGGAAGAAAGGCGTGACAGCGTGCTTGAGCGACGAGTGGAGAAGATATCCGGCAGTGCACTTGCATGACGGATGCAAGTGTGGGAGCGTACTGTTAAGGAACGGAGGCGGCAGTGCCGGAGGCGCAACGGTAGCATCGTATTGAAAGGCCCCCAAATCCACGTCGGATAAGTCGTCTCCGTGGGCCTCGAGGAAGTTCCTGAGTTGTTCATTTATCTGAGCCCAATCTTTGTCGAAGATGGATGTTAGACCAAGCACGGCCATTGTGCCGGTAATGGTGGCATTGCGGAGCCTGTACTCGTGTTGAACGTCGAGGTAGAGGTTTGCGATATCATCCATGTGCGCCTTGTCAACCTTGCATTTGACACGCCCGTTCAACCGATTGGGTTGACGACAGTGCCGTTGAGCCTTGTCTGGATGCCAGCATCGATTGAGATTCCGGATTTGTGCCCGGACGACGGGTTCTGGCACGCTCCATGAGGGAAAGAGACGGGGTGGTAGGCCAAGGACCGGATTGAGATCGTCAGATTTGTAGTACAGGAAATAGGGCTTGCAATCGGGACTGTACTTTTCTGGAAACTGTTAACATGTGCGATTGGGTGTTGATAAAGGCATACCGAGAGCGGGCGCGGTCCGCTGATTGTAGGCTTGCAGATTGATGCTGAGGTAGAGGCTTAAGAGCCCAGTGAGGATAAGTATTGACTTGAACCTCCGCTGCCATGCATTCACAACGCAAGCAATGCCTCTTAGCTGCTGAATGTATGCCCCATGCTTGATGTATTCCCGGAATCGCGCCGACACAGAAGCTTGTTTTTGTTTCGGAGGACTGTACTGGAGATCTTCGGAGAGAGGACTGTGTTGGAACTCTTCGGAGAGAGGACAGTCGCAGCCGACAATGGAGCGCTCTCGAGCTGTGAGCCCCTGGTGCCATGGTAGCGCGTCCTTTCCGCACTTCGTTGGCGGCGCCGAGCGCAATGGGGGTTCAACATCGTAGTCTATGCTTGTTAAATAGATCCGCCCACCAGTGGTTTGGAATGACATACCCTGGGGAGAATCAAGATCGGTGTCGTAGTCATCCCGACAAATTTTGCGACGTGAGGCCATGGCTGAACTCCGATACTTGCTGGCGATGGCGATGATGAGATGTGAGCGAAGTTGGAGAGGGGGTTGGCCTAATTTTCTACCTGACGACGACAAAGGAACATGAATGCGCAACGCATATTACACAGACCGCCTTAGCGACAATAAAGAAACGTGGACGCGCTACAGATTATTTTACGCAGCCACCGCTTAGCGACAATAAAGAAACATAAACGCGCTACAGGTCATGTGGTTACACAGAGAAACATGGATTCGCTACGGGTCATATTACACAAACCCTCACCGCCTCCATGGCATGGCAGAGTGCCTCCTGTCTTGAAGCTTATGCCTCCAGGCTTGAAGCTCATGCCTCCTGTCTTGAAGCTCATGCCTCACAAAGAAGTGCAAAAGGTGTCGATGTGCCGTCCGAAAATGCCTTTCTCCCGCCAGACGCTCTATTCGTTTATCTGCTCGATAATTCTTACCACATTTTTCGGCCCTCCAGATCGTTCTTGGCACATTCCATTCACAAGCTTCTCACCATGGCGGCCGCTGGGCTTGGTGCTGACCCGGTAAATGATCGGCCCCCCCGGCGACGTGGTATACCCGATATTGGTGATCCTCCGGCCAGCTGTGGAGGAGACGACGACAACGACGGTGACGATAGTAACGGTTCCGGTTCGGGCCCCGGCTGTTTTGGCAGCTGCACTTTCCGAGAGTTCTTTGTGGTGCTGTGCATCATCGCGGTCGCTTTCGTTGGTATCATGGGGGCACATCCACGTGCAGGTGCTCGCGTTCCAGACATAAACGTGACGGTGCAACAGCCTGATGTCGTCAGCACTGCCATCATGTACACGCCGCCGCTCTGGCAGTCCAACCACACGATCCCGCACTCCCTTGGATGGCCCGGCCTCCTCAACGACGAGCTCGGCGCCATGGAAAAGAACTCACTGTACTGGTCGCGCATTCTGTGGGCCACGCGCACTGATGGCATCTTTGGAAGACCGGCCCTCTATCCTGCTCTGCAAGAACTTCAGGCTTCCTGCAATGACACACGCAAGCCCGTCAACGACTTGGTCTCGGCCTGGAATGGATACCAAACCCTGACGGGCCGCGGCAACGAAGGCGCCGTGCGCTCGATCCGCGGCATCAGCCGCCAGATCTGGCACCGGTACGACCCAGAGCGCGCAGACAGACTCGCAAATGCGCAAATCTGCAAAGCGGCTTCCGACGCGCGGAACGCCATTCCCTTTGTCGCCGAAGCCGCCCAGGCCCTTCACACGTCTGTATCCTCCGTCTCCTTATCCCTCGAAGCGGTCGCGAAGGCCACATACCTGTGGTTCGACAGAGACAACATTGGAACGCCCGACACGAAGCGGCTCGCGAAATGGGCCTACCAGGCCATGACAGCAAGCGGCCTGGCAGACTACCGGCAGACGCTCTTCGACCAGGCGGACGTGAACGGCAAACGGCAGATGATGGCGGTGTATATGGACGTTGCTACGGCGAGCCTCTCGATGCACCAGTCTCTACTCGTAGTGTCAGCATTCCGCGAAAAAGTCGTCTGGATCGACAACTATTACTACGGGGTCCAGGTAGCGCGAAAGTGCGGCGAGATGGACGAGGCGGCGCAGACGGAGCCCGAGGCGAGAGATGGGGTTGCCGTGTTGCATGGACGGTTCACGGCCGGGCTGAGCGCGGAGGAGGTGGTGGCGGATATGGATACATGGGGGGTGCAGATGACCGAGGTAACGCTGAACGGATTGCGATGAATTGGCAGGCGGGCGATGGTGGACGGGGATGGTGTTGTTGATAGTTTTCGCACTTTCCCACCGACTCCAAGGTCAAAGCAGGGGGAAAACGGCGCAGCAAGGAACAGTCAGATATTTCTCATATCTTTAATCGCATCCGTTGAAAATTCGAAGAGGAAACCTTGAAAGGAAGTTCCCTAGGGCTGCAGGGACGTGCCCAGGTGCCAAGCTTTCGCCATATCAGACCGGCCGCATTGGGAATAAGTAAGTCACCAACGCCATCGCATGAGCCATCGCACCAGCTTCTGCGCCCCGTCGCCACCGTTATTGCACCACTCCATCACCCTCGCCAATAGCCTCCGTGGCACATCGCTGTTGAACCACCCCGTCGCCCGCGCCAGTAGCCTCCGCGTCGCGTCGCCGTCGAGCCCGCCCATTGCCCACGCGAGAAACGCGAGAACGCATCCCCCCGCGACAAAGAGACTCCAGAAGAGAACCCACATCCACCACGTTCGGCGCTGGCGCCGCCGAAACCTCTCCCACGCGCGTACATGTTGCTCGTCGTTGGAGATGCGAGGCGGGCATAATGGCGGGCGCTGGCGATGGCCGCCATGATTGCTGCGGCTATGGCTGTTGCCCGCATTCGCAGTGGCAGGCTTGCGGCCCCACCAGATACCGAACGATAGCTTTCCGTCTAGCCAGGCCATGATGGAACGGTTGTGGGATGAGGTATACTTGCGGTTGGGCCGTTGCAGATGCAGAAGGGTATATGCGGAAAGCTGGAATGCGGGAGGTGAGCACAAGCACGACGCACCAAGAAGCACCTGGAAGGCGACAAAGCTTTCACGAATGGCTCCAAACCGCCCGCTTTTGTTTCCCTGTCAAGCAACAGGTCACCGGCTGCAGGCCCCCGGCCTTTTCACTTCCGCCGCACCATCATTCACCCGCCGGTTCCCCTCCCATCGCTCTATTTCTTCGCTCAGGCTCCAACCCCCCATCTCCTCACAACTCGGGCGAGAGCGTTGAGGGCCACCGTCGATCGCAACCCACGCCCAGCACACCACGCAACGCCGACATCCTCCAGAGCATCATGTCGTGGCGGTCCTGGTTGTGGCCCTTCTCATCACCAGCCCTCTCTGCCGTCGAGCGCAATACCATCATCGCCGAGTATTCCGAGCGCATTACCCAGAGCCAACACGCCCTCGCTTCCGCACAAACCGCTTGGAACCGCGCTCGAAAAGAGGCTGGCGATGCCTCCGAAGCGGGCAACGATACCCAGGCCAAGTCCATCCTGGCAGCCGCACAGGAGCACAAAGCCGCCATCCTCACCCAGACACGCATCCACGGCGTCCTAACGGCTACGCGCGAACAGCTAGCCGTGCAGCGCGACAAAGCCGAGATCGAAGAGACGATAAAGCAGGCGAACAAGACGCTTCGAGAGTGGAATGTCGCAGCGAGTCTGGCAAATACACCACAGGAGGTCGGAGAATTTGGCGAAACCCTTGCAGTGGCGCGCGGCTTGCAGACCCAGTTCGAGAGGGAGTTCGAACAGCTAGGACTGGGCTCTGGGGACCGGCGAGATTCGCTTGACAGGGAGTTAGACGATATTCGGTCGGAGCGGGTGGTGGAGAGGCTTGCGGACCCGGCGATGCGGGTGCCAAAGGAGACCGGGGAGCGGGACCTGGCTAGGTTGACGGCGGAGGTCGACGGGGCATGGGAGGAGCATCGCGAAGAGAGGAGGGAGGGTTGAAAGTGGTGGGAATGGAGAATAGTCGTGAGTGACTGGGTGGGTGTTGAGAGTCTGTGCAGGGGCCCGGAACAGATTAAGGCGGTTGGCAAAGGTCTTCACTTTCGCCTGCATTCAGGCTTCCGGCCCCGCTCCAGAGTATGTAGGTTCATCTCAAGGATTGCCACCGTAGTAGAGCACCACGAACAATTCACCACCTGATGTCACTCTCCTCACAAAAGCCGCTGTATCCGTATCCGTACTCGTTTCTTCGTCGTCGCTGATGCTTTCCTCCCCAGAATCCTCCAGACGGACCCAGAGCTGGACCCAGAGCTCGCACCCGCCACGCTTCCGGAAGCTTGGATCCAACCCATATGACAGCTTTACTCCGAGAACCAACTTGGTCCAATGTATGGATTCCGAGCGCGGTCTTGCTCCTTCCTCGTTTTACACGCATCGCTATCGCGGCCAGCGCAACCAAGCATTGCCATCATTCGCAATCGGGCATTTTGGCGAAGGCTCGCTTACCCCGCCGCAAATGACGCCATGATGCGAGGTGGAAAGATGAAAGAGAAGATCGACCGCTGGCTCTTTTTCCTGTTACTGGAATCCTCGTCTACTCTTCGTCGAGCTACCGGGAGCCTTTCGATCGCTATGGGCTTCACGCCGGTGCTCATGACTCCGCCCCCCGGAATGTACGCCGGGATTTGGATGCGGGGAAGAGATGTAAGGACTTGGATGTTTAAGTTGGGGCATGGGCGCAACTTAGCCAACGTTCTCAACGAACAGAAGCCAAGAACACACCACCTGCCCACCACCCCCACCCGCACCGGCGATAGAAAGTAACCATACCCCCTGAAGCCACTCTTGCCGGCGACATTGCCCGATATCCATGTGGAAGCTTTTATCGGCATATATGCGAGTTTGGGACTGTGGACGCAAGCTCCCTTTGGCACACATGTACACCGGCGCAGGATGGCTCTTCACGAGCGATCTCCTTTTACGACATTCTTCTACACCTGCATGTCGACCGGGATTCTCACGCATACAACTACACTGGTGCCAAAAACAAATTTTTTCCGAGCGATCTTCTTTTATAGTACTCTTCTATGCCCGCAGGTCAACCGGGATCCTCGTTTGATCTGGACGGATGACTGACGTGGGTGACACCGAATCTCTAGCGTCCGAAAATCTTCTACGACGACCCTTTCACCTCCAACAACGACCCTCAATCGTACGCATTCCTAGCTGAAGCCAGTTACGAATCGCGGCACGGAATACGAATGCTAAGCTCCCTGCGCAACAACGCTGCTCCCGTGCGGTGTTTCTCCGCAATTTGATAAGCTTGTTCGATCCTCTGTGTGGTCCGCTATCCCAAGACGGCTTGCCAACGCAAACTTGCGCGCAAACCTGCTTGATTCACCGGACTTTCAAGGAGAAGTGTTTGCAAGGGATGTTTCCATCTTTCTATTCGCATACGGTGGCTGCCGAAACGGTGAGGTCAGGCAGATTTTATATGATCTTCACCAGCTAACTGGGTGGTAGACACGCGTTCGTTTCCGCAGCCGCATATCATGGATGGCAACAGCAACAGCAACGACAACGACAACGCCCACCATGATCACTCCCGCTCCATCGCCAATGTTCCCGCCGCTCCAGACTCCACCACGCACACCATCCACGCTGCTGCACCTCTCGACGACCCCAACACAGCGACACCCACCACCTCCTCCGCGGCTCCGAACTCCTCCCCCTCATCAAGCTTCCTGGTCGAAACCTACAGCAGCATCTGCACCCTCTACCGCACGGAGCACAGGTCGCGTCTCCACTGGGAAGCAGAAGCCAAGCAACTCCAGCTCGCACACAAGACAGAGAGGTTGCGGTGGGAGGGGGTGGAGGTGGGGCTGCGGGGCGACGTTGATCGGCTAGAAAGGAGGGTGCGGAGGTGGGAACGGGAGGATGAGGCGAGGAAAAGACGGGTCGTGGAAGGGGTACGTGGGTTTCTTCTCTTTGTCCTCACTCTCCGGTATCATATGTTGATTTCGGGACCGCTCTATGCACTTTATGCGGCGGCTTCCTTTCTTTTCGCCCCAGGAGCGGAAACGGAAGAATCTCCCCCTCCCCTTCCTCAAGTTGCTCTCCTTCACACTTTGAAGAATTTCGCCCGCCCTGCAACGAAACGAAACGGGGCATCCTCCCCCAAAATCACATTCTACGTGCGGAACAGCACATTCACAGAACCCGAAACTCATACAGTTTAATGCTAACTTCACTCCTCAGGCTCAGGCAGGCATATCAGTATTGAAAAAGCAACTCCAGACCAAGGACGCGCTGATCGCCAGGCTCGAAGCAGCGCTTAGTGAGCTCTCGAGGAGGGAGGAGCCCGAGTCCGAGCCCAAAGAACTCAGAGTTACCACAACGCAACGACTGGAAAGAGAAGGCGGAGCGGGAAGGGATCAACCGGGAAAGGATCAACGACGGCCTGCTGACTGCGTCGAGCGAGCTTCCACCGGTGAGGCAGACAGGGGATCGCAGGGTGATGCTGGAGTTGAGAATAAGGTTGCTGGACGGGCATCACGGGATCGGGGAAGCATGCAACGGGGGCAAGAGGAGGACCTGAGTACGGCGAAAGAGCAGAAAGAGGTGGCTGTTGAAACCTCGTCAAAAGGCGGCAGGAACGCATCATCGCACCTTGCGCATTTGCGGGAGGAGCTCATGGCGGAGAAGATGGCTGCCTTGGCGGAATTGCAGGACAAGTTTAATGCAGAGAAGGCGTTGGCGGTCACGGGATTACTGCGGCAGTTTGAGGATGAGAAAGAGGAGGCTCTCCTGGGATTGCGAGAGCGGCTCGACGAGAAAGCGGCTGCGCTTTCACAATTGCAAGAGAGGCTCGATGCCGAGAAAGCTGGTCGAGTAACCGATATTCAAGACCACATCGGCACAACCCAGAAGCTGCAAGAACAAAACGAAACGCTGACGAAAGAGCTCATCGCTGAGAAGGCCAAGACATCGTCCACCGCATTCGATCTGAAGCAGAGCAAATCTGCCATTCGAGACCTGCAAGCAAAGACCGAGGCAGTCACGGCGCTCGAGACCAAGCTGAACGAAACGGAATCCGACATCTCCAGGTTAAATGAAGTCCTCAGACAACGAGACGCCGATGTGGAGAAGTGCGAGTCCACTATTCGATCTCTACAGGACAACCTGGAAGCGCAGCGCCGGGATATCGAAGCAAAGGAGGCAAAACGGAAATCGCTGGAGGAAGCACTGAGCTTTGCGAGGGCTAGAAATGCCGACGATGATGAGGAATTGCAGGAGTTGCGGCGCAAGCTACGAGATTCTTCCGAATGGAAAGACGAGCGAGACGATCTAGTGGGCCGACTTCAAACTGTCCAGGACAACTTGAACGAAGTCCACCGAGAGCGCGACGACCATGCGCAAACTATCAAATGCCTTCATGAAGACCTGAGGGCTGAGAAGGATCAATATCAAGCCCTTCAGAATGAACTCGCCACTGAGAAAGATCGGTACCAAGCCCTCCAGGACGAATTCGCCGCTGAGAAAGAGCAGCACCAGGCCCTTCAGAATGAGATCACTGCGCTGGGAAAGCGCCTAGAGCATGAAAATTCCACCATCAAGAGTCTTCGAAATGATCTTCAAGCCAACCACAGTCAGCTGCAGATTGCACGGGAGAAGTCAGCTCATGTGGAGAAGAAGATCCGCGCCATACTGGGAACCCAAGCCAGCTCCCAAAAGTTCCAAACCACGGACCCTTCGAGGAGTTTAGAAGCTGCAGAAACGGACGACGTCGAGAGCCTTTTGGGCAAGTTGCAGAACGAGAGAAGCTGCCATTCGGCCGACCATTCTACCATCGACGACCTGCAAAACGATAAGGATAAAGTCACGCAGAGGCTGAGAACCATTGAAGAAGAGAATGACACCCGGGCGACCACCATTCAAACGCTTGAGACCAAAGCTGGCGAGACCGAAAAGAGGCTCAAAGACCAAGAAACGCAACTGACCCGCGCCAAGCAAGAACTGGAAGACGCGCTGCGAAAGCTTAAAGAAGCCTACCTCCTCCTCAAGAATTCATACAACACCACCTGCGCCCTTGTACTGCTCTTCGATGACGCGACGTGGGTGCTCCAGATGTGGGTCAATACCTTCATATCGCTCGACTCCGGCGGTGCCACCGCCGCCGAGCAGAACAAGAAAGACCCAAAGAGGAATCAAGCACGGCAAGAGGAGGAAGAAGTCCGAAATAAGGCCATCTACTGCATGCTTCTCCGGCTGCGCCGCATGGTAGATGTATTCGCGAACAGCAGCCTGCTTGTTCCTGACCCCGTCGAGCCATTGCCTCCCAATTCCATCGACGACCCTCCATGCACCGACACATCGGGCATCAACCACATATCGCAGCAGGCCAAGACATCGCCGTTTCCCTTCATGTCCACACCACTTCAGCTTCCGATCACTTGGCTTGCCCCACCGCGCCGCGAAAATGAATCCGCCTGGGTCTGCTCCCCAGCCGTCGCCGCCATAAAGCGTGATATCGCCACCGCGGATGATGAGCAGATAGGCAGTTGGGTTGCATGGGGCCCTGGTGCGGGCGAGTCCATGAAGGTGAGTGTGAAGGATGAAGGGCAGGAGGTGGAGGTTGGGTCATTGGATCTCAGTGAGGCGAGGAGGGGGATGAAGGTGGAGAGTGGAAGGGTGGTTTTTGGGGAGAAGGTGGCACTTTGTCAGTAGCGAGCAGGAGAGGTCGGATAGGTGCTGGATGTTGTGTGAGAGGTGGACGGCTTAGGATTCTCTGGCATAACGTAAGTGCATACAAGCTGCTAAAAATAGAAACGGGATAGTTTCGAAGTAGACGAATGTGTGAATGACGATGGGACTGAGCATGCGGTGTAAATGTCTGGTAAGAAACAAAGGCAGGTGATGGCGGGTGATGGCGGGTGATGTCGTTCGAGGGGGAAGAATTGCACGGAAAGCCAAACAGGAAAGGGATGTAGAATCTCGAATTTGATAGATGCACAAAATGGGAAGCGAAAACAGGGAAAGGAGCGTTGATATTGAAAAGAGCGACCTATCTGATGTGCGGGAACAAGACATACAAAACTCTGGAGACTATTAGCCTCCACCCAAAAGACTGACCATTGGTGAGAAAGCAACGAGATAAAAGGGCTGATTAGGATATGGCCAGATAGGAAGAGCTCGGAAGGGGTGCGATACGATTCGATCCAATAACGACGGAATGCAGTGAATGCGTGAGTGCGAGGTGGCTTGATGAAGACCAGTGGACGTTAAGGTCGGGATGGAGAGCTGGACTGGGAAAGTACCGGGGAGATTCGCTGCGGCTGTGCATGTTGATGCGGTATTGATGGATCCACAGAGCTTATCCAGAACCCGGCTTTTCGGATGCGATAGGACAGGCTGCAATGTGATGCGGGTGCGTATCGGGGCATATTCGGGCCGTATGTAGGGTGCGAGGTGATGTGAGAGACTTGGCGGTGCCATCTCAGAACGCACGGTATCCGTCCCCGTACTGCGCGCCGTTACCAGAACCCGATGCGGCCATGGCTTTCAAGAGTGCAGCGAGGATAGCAAGGATGAGAAGCGCAAGGATGAGAAGCACAAGAGTAATGCTGTCGCCGGCGTCGGGGTTCTCGGCCTTCCTGAAGCGGCCGGTATCCGGGTCGCGCGGCTGGGAGCGCCAGTGGTCGGACATTGTTGGAAGAATTGGGAATGGGTGTGGGTGTGTTGGGGTTGGATCGAGTTGGTGGGAACGCGATGAGTGAAGTTGGCTGTGAGGATGTGATTTGGAGCTTGATTGTGTAGCTTGAAGAAGAAGAAAAGGTTGAAAGGTGCGCGAGAACCGGTATTTCTTAAGTAGAGCAATTGGCTTGGGTCGGGAAATGAGAAGCAACACTGTGTTAGACACGAATAGAGACTGGGAAGAGACATTGAGGATGTTCGAGCGAGACATCGAAGAGAGCCACGTTGAAACGAACAGAGAGGCGGAGCGTGAAATGGAAGCCTATGAGAGCAGATGCAGGCGAAACACCAAAACAATGGGAATCGGGGCCGTGGAAAGTCGTGGATGCAGATTTCCACCTTGTTTCCACTTGCAACGAATACATTCTGCTTCTTCGTTGCACTGTTATACAGCTGAGTCATGGCGAGCTTACCGGGGCTTAAGATATTTCCCACCACAACGCCTTTTGCCGCGATTAAGATTTCATCACGTTTGAGTAGGCCCGGAGAGCTACGGGCTATGTTCTTAAATCGAGCTTTCTTTAATATTGATGCTGCGCTGTTTTCTGAAATGGTGTCAGCAGCCCGGCACCAGGCTTAGTCACCCACCCCGCTTCGCTTATGGGTACGAAGTACTCCAACCTCACCATCGATGCTCTTCTACTTCCCATCTCTTCACATCTTCACATATGGACTATCTGCTTTGCACGAACTCCCTCCTTCGACTGTCCGCCGGGTTTCCCCAATAGGGAACTCCAATAGGGGACTCTCTGATCCAGATCACTATCATCTTTGACTGCTCGCCGGCACCCAAACGCCGTTGCGCCAACGGCCCCGAAAGCCAGGACCACAGCTCTCCTGCTCCCTTTCTCCCCTCCCCTCTCCTTCCTCTACTGCGACGCGCTCCAAAGCGAAATGCGGCGCCCGCCGGATTCCCGTTGCCTCTCTTCCACGCCTCGAGAGTATCCGCAGTCCCGACTACTGCACCTTTTCGCCGATATCCTTGCACAGTACCATCTGCCGAAAGGCGAAAAGGTATCGAATTTGTTGTTCAAGAAAGAGGGAGAAGAGCCTGGCACTTCTTCAATGACGGGTGAATAGCAGGTCACACGCCCCCTTCATCGCCGTCGTGGCCTCCGCGCCGACAAGAGTAGAAATGGATGCCACCTAGGCGAAGGAGCACAGCGAGAGAAGCCACGGGGTCATTCAGATGGATATTACAGCCGGCAAGAGAACGGCAAGATGGCGCCTGCTTTCCTTCCGTACCCAGTGAAGGATCAGTCGTGGCAGCCCTCACTTGAGCACGACAAAACTATTCACCTTTGGCGGCTCGTCCGCCGATGCAGAAGGTACTTGACACATCAGCCTCCTCTGCGTCATCCACGCTCACAACTCCATACAGTACACAATCGCAACATCCCGCTATGAGTACGCCGCTGCTACGCCGCGACTGGTTCAATCCTGCCTTGAATTCATCCCACAATGCTGCGTTCCGCAATACACCTGGGAGCCTATCGGTCAACAATGTGCCATCGACAAGTTCATCCAGGAATGCACACGGCAAAGCTATATCGCCCAAGAACCGGTCTGGCAACGCAGTCAATGTCTACGCCAACTTGCCACCGCGCAATAGCAACAACAATGTGCCCACAACACCCAGCCCGCAGCCGCCGACGCCGCCACTAGCAAAAGCCTCAGCAGCGTTAACACCGCTAATCCCCACGAACGCGCGACTTGATCTGCATCTGCGGCCGTAGAATGGACAGCCTGTTCTACTTTCGCCTGCACATCGCGCAGCCCGGCCACAGCGAGGATCAGCGAAGCTATCGCTATCAGATTCCGGCGAGTCAGCTGCTGAAGGAACAAGGGCCTGCCGTTGCTCGAGCCACGTACTTGGGGGTCGCGGCTCGGTGCTGGCGTGCGCGCGAAGTGGATTGGCGAATGCGGGGTCCGGCGGTAGTTGTGTCGGTCTTGCTCGTCGTGTGGGTGCTGTGGATGATGGTCCAGCCGGTTGGCGAGTAGATGGCGGTGGGGGAGCCAAGGAAACCGAACGCCGCTGCGTGCCATACCGAACGAACACCCCGTAGACTAGGCCCTCGCCATCGAACTTTACGCGGCACGCTCACGCGCCTTCCGCATGGGGGCAATCCTCTCCTCTCGCTTTTTCATGGCATCCTGTTTGCCGTGAAGCTTCTTCCAGTTACCGTAGGCGGCGGCTAGGCGCGTCTTCATGGTGCTTGGGGGCCCCAGAACATCGCCTCCCGGCACCCTGACACGTGTCTTTCGCGCCAGCGTGCATATTTGTCCTTCTCTTCTCATACTATGAAGTCCCATCCACGGTATATCCGGCAATCGTTCGCTCTTTGGTTCATTTCTAGCGATGCGAAGCGAAAACATGTCAGCCGTTGCGTGTGCTGGTCAATACGACCAGAAATGCTCCTAGTAAAGGGAAAGGAGGGACTGCAAGGGGGAATCGTTAAGGTGAGAGCCATCGCGCGAGATCCCGTATTTCTGCTATTTCTTAATGTACTCCTCTGATATGTTTCGATAGTGCTTTAGGTCGCCGGAGCGATCGAGCAGGTCCGCGAGCTCGCTGAAAGCCTCAATGCCGATTTCCTGACTTTTAGTATGACCTTTCAACTCCCTGGGCTGCTGGGGCAATGTCTCCGCAATCCGGGTTCCGGTCTCTCTTCCTCGCCCCGTCTTCATCTCCATCTTGCCTTCCTGCGACTTCAACTCCCGCTCCGTTGAGAAGTAGTTGGGAATGCGCCATCTGGCTGCGCACGCAGAAATACTTATTCAGCCTAAGTTTGTCTATATTACGTATTCATATTTGGCCCTTCAGGGCAGCGCAGCTCAAGCGACGTGTGCAGGATAGGAAGGGAAATCTGTGATCGCCAGAGAATCGCCAGCAGGCACCTGTTTACTAGCGCAGTGGAGACGGCGCGATGTTTGGTGGCCAAATCGCAGGCGTAGCGAATGGCAACCCGAATCCGTGTTTCCTACTGGGGAATAAGCATCGCGAATGTGTCTGCTTAGCCTCTTTATATCTATTCATCTAGGCGTCTCCCTTTCTTTTACGTCACATAGCTGTGAAAATTAACATATACTATCGTCTACGTTTATATTGTCTCGTCTCTCCTACTCTCCTTCATGCTGGCCTTTCAACGACTCTCGGAATGCAGCTCTGATGAAACAAGCCTTTCAATCATACATACACGAGCCCCCTACATCCTAATACCCTACACAGGACAGCCTCTTCTCTGCTCAACACGATCGGAGGCTTTCCATTCCGGAATGGTAGGAGAAGTGGCCTTAGGCGCGGGTATCTCAGAATGCTATTTCTATTTAGGAATAGGCTTCTTTTCTGGCCGTAACATATTTATGGATAGCTCGGCCCACACAGAGAAAGGGTCATAACACATCGATCTTCTTACATTTTGTCAGGCACCTCCCCCTCAAGGCTGAGAGAACGAGACAAACGGCCAATGGTCGATGATCCTCGACAACGTCGGCACGATGTCAAGACCTCCCTATTACGAAAGCGCAAGCAAGATGAGCTGTCCAAAGCCCCGTCGACATTGCTCGCTAGTAGCTGGATCTCCCTCAGCGACGAAAGAGATCGAGATGCCAGACCATGAGACCCCAGGTTTAAGAAGGGAGGAAAGATAGCTTAACACTTGCTGCTTCGCCGGAAAGGAGATCGAAATTGGCGGTATAGTCTTTATGAGTCGATTATGGCGCAGCAGTCTTCCGCATCACTTAGTCTCCCAATACTAACACCACTCCGTCATGCAAGTCTTGCTGAACGGAAGCGCTTTGCCAACTCAATGCATTGCTTTCCCGCTACCTGATATTTCAGTCTAAGTACGATCATAATCTCGTCGTTCTCCACCTGCCAGCAGCTATAGGGTACCTCTATTCGCCCAGGTTTGCCAGCTTACAGATGCTCCGAAACTCCGCGGAAGTATCGTTTTGGGACTAGCACCAGCCTTCAGTATTCACCACACCTCTCTACCTACCTCTCTATCTACCACTCAATCTAAATCCTCAGCCTGAGCAATTTAACAACGCGCGTAAGAGTGATACTTCCCCGCAGGCAGAAGGATGCCGCCTGCGAAATACATACAAGGTATTTGCGGTATCTCTAGTAGCTTGCGGGAGCAGAGTCTTGGTGAAGATGGAAACGGTCGAAGACTTGACGGCAACTTTGCCTGAATTAGGAATCTGTCTGGCGACAAATGCTAGCTTGCTTGTAAAACAGTGCGCATTCGTGCTAGAGGCACAGAACATCGTCATCGTTGCTCCAAGTAGACTTGGGGTAGGCATGGAGCTGATGGAGTCCGGAGCTACCGTCGTTCTCTGCACGGGTGAGCCGATCCCGTAGTTGGCGTGAGAGGCAGCGCAGAAACGACGATACTCTGAAGGATTTGTTGAAGAAACGATTGTTGCCCGGCACTTCTTGCCTGCAGCTGATGAGCGAGCTGGGCAGAAGTTGATTTCAGCTCCATTCTGGGCTTTACTGCAGCTTTGTCGTTGTCTTCAGCTTCCGGCCTGGGTTCCCAGCCTTGTCGAACGGCGGCATTGCGAACGGCATCATGGACCGACCTCTCGGGCACTACCAATACAACTGCGCTGAACTCAGCAGGTATGCGAATAGCTTTCCGATGTGGCAGGCGCAGGGCCCGCCGTCGTCGCGCGCGCGAGTTTGATGTCTGATATTTTTGCAAGTCGGCGTCTCAGATGATTAGTCACTAGCGCTCTTGACCAGGAACGCCAAAAAAGTCAGATGGCGCTGCAATGCCGGTTGGCTGGAAAAGAGCAGATGGTTATAATGGTAGAAGTTGTGTTTTGCGAGTCTGCAGTACACTCTCGAGCCGGCAAAGCTGTTCGTCCAGCGTCTTCGCCCACATCAGAGGGCACAAAGGAGCTCGGTAATGGCTGCCAAATGGTGTAGCTGAGGGTTATGTGACTTGTGGCTTTGTATACGTAACTCGCGAAGAAGGGCGGGCTGTTTAGCCACTTATGGCACCGACTGCCCAATAACATTGGCTGAAATTAGTTTTATATCTTCGCACGATTTCAAAATATCTACGCAGAGGGGCCTTGTCAAGAGCAAAAAGCACCTTTTTGCATGTGCGGGGTAAGGTAAAGGATCAGCGCCTTGCATCCACGTTCTCCCCCACATGTTCGCCACCAAATGCAGGGTCTCGCTTATCGACAAAGCTTATTTACAGTTCGTGAACCCCTCGCAGATCTCAACATCCGGCACCAAAGTCGAAAGATTTTTAACCGTCTTCTTATTTCTAGTTCTTGGTCTCATTGTTGCGGAGATCTCCTATTCCCGTGCCAACGGCGGTCTTCCTCCAATCTTGTCCATCGCTTCACTTCTTTGCTCGCCTTATCGCCGCCATGCCCTATTGCCGACGCTGTCTTGGGCTGCGCGGACGCTTTTCGAAAGTTGAAAGCCAACTCTCACCGCGATCGACGGCTGTGGAGGTGCGATATCGGGTGCTAGAATATCCGAAAGCTCTCCGAAGGATCTCCAGCAAGGTCTTCCTAATGGTGAGCTGCTAAAACTGTTTTGCAGTTCTCCAGCAACTAACTAGAATGAACAGCATCTGCGATCGGCAATGGCGTGACAGTCCCGTGGGATAGGGTCTCGATTTCATCGTCAGAAGAGGATGACGACGGTGACGTCAAAGATGTAACGGAGCTGAAGCAAACTTGCAACTTACATCGCAACACGATCCGCTACCTTCTGCGGATATCTACAGCATGGTAATTCAGAAGCCCGCACTACGCGATAAGTTCATCAAAGCGGGCAGCTTCGATTAATCCTTCCGTCAACCATGCATGAGACGAGCAACACACCAGAGATAGATAGATTGATTTCTCTCGTTTTAAGTCACCAACCTATAGAGGTTATGCCGACTACGCCTACGCACAAAAGGACTCAAAAGACGCCAATATTAAGAGAAGAGAACAGGGTATCACAGAACCACAGGCAAGTGGCATGAATATGAATGGCATGAGTCGACAGAAACACAAGAGATAAGATCCCAAAAGTTCCAGAGTGAAGGGGATAACTGGGTCGACTTAGGGAAGCTATCTCTCAGCCATCAGCAATCCCTGGCATATCTCAAAACTTATCATGGGCGAATTGCGAGACTTTCAGTCTCCAATGTACGTTCGGTGAAGATACCGGAAGCGGAACCGCGGTGTCTTCTCCGCCGACGGTGGGAGTATCCGAGACTTCCTATGCTGAAACAATTGCTGCCGAAAACGCATCCTTCGTTCCAAACATGCTGGAGGCCGCTTAGGGTAGAGCCGTATCTGCGTGTCGTGCTCGTCTTGTTTTATAATTACCAGCAGTCTCATAGCAGATCGCAATAATAGAAGTAGGTGTTCTGTCCGCTTTATGTTGTCAAGGAAGCCGCTCTTACTAACCTCGATCTTTGGAGACATGTCCTCGCCGATCCTCAGCCGTATATTTGCCTCTATTGTAAACGCGTATCTGCTACTGAGAATGCGTATCTGCTAAGGAGACATTCGATGCTATAGCTGGATCGAGCGTGAAGCCTGAGTCACTTCCCCCTCGAAAAGCTAGAAACGAAATGTGAATTTGGATGCAAGCAGACATTTTATTCAAAAACGCACATGCACGACGGACGACTTTGCAGAAGTGCATGTACATACACGGAGTCAAGAACCACACTGATGACCCACCCTCTAGCCTCGAGCGAGCATTCAAGCTCAACAGAAAATATCCCAAGCAGCTATCGTCTCTCTTTCTATCTACCACAACAAACCCAGCTCAACTCAGGTCACTTCACCGGTAGGCACTGCACCGCGAACATATCGTGTCGCACGGAAAGCACTCAGAGCAGCGAGCCAGCTACATCCCTCCCTCTTCCCCATCCATCCATCCATCCATCCGTCCACCCATTCCTAAAGATAGCTAGCCCTATCGCCCTCAATATCTTCCACCCTTTCCACAAATCCCTAGAACAACGGCAGCAACGACAAGAAAAACGAGCCTCCATATCCTCCATAGGACAAGGTAGTCTAGTAAGTAGTAGTAACGCCGCATCCGAAAAGCCCAAGACGCAAGACCGGACCTCAGAGGCGATCTGGCAATTCGAGATGGGCGATTGATAGGGTAGCGTGGAGTCCTTCAGTGCCTTTCACACACACACACACACACACACACACACACACACACACACACACACACACACACACAGACAGCCGATACCCTCCAATCCCATCCCATCCGCAGCCTTCCTCCGCAAACCGCCCCGCAGCAAAGCTGCCAGCCAGCCAGCCGGCTACCTACCTCCACCATCCTCCTAAAACGAGGGCGTCCGGGCTACACGGCACGGCACAGCATGGCACGGTACAGGGCACACTTCCCCTGAGGAACGTACGACGACGACGAAGTAGATTAAACTAAACTAAATCAAATTGGATAAGATGGGAAGAACCAAACCAACCAACCAACCAACTAACTAGCGAGAACTAGCTGCACCCTCCCCCCCTTCGTTGATACATCGCCGAACAAACGAGCGAGCGGAGACGAAACAGCCCTGCCCGCCTGCTCGGCAATATAGCTAATACTACAAGAAAGAGTGGAGGAAGCAGGACGGAGCGAAGTTCAGCAAAGTAGATTGGATTGGATTGGACTGGATTGGAAGAGGGAAACCGCCGAGCGCTGGTTGTTGGCCGGGTAGGTGTGCGAACAGCACAGCACAGCACAGTACAGCACAGCACAGCATAGTACAGAACAGTACAGTAGCTAAACCCATATACTACACTACTACACTAACCTCTTTTCCCAGGCTAGCATATACCCCTGCGCATCGTTCTTTCTTCTACACCACACCACACCACACCACACGAACATGAACAGGAACGAACAAACGAGGCGAAGAAGAAGCGAGTGAAGAAGCGAATGAAGAAGCGAGTGAAGAAGCGAGTGAAGAAAGAAGTTTCACAGCTCTATCTCTCACTCTCTCTCTTTCGATCGATTGATCGATCGATCGAGAGACCACGCACAGAAGGAAGGGAGGATAAGGGAAGCTAAGGACCTAAGGAAAGAAAGAAAGCTAGGAAAGAATGCACAATGAATGAATGAAGAAATAAATAAATGGCTTTTCTAGAAACGGGGAGGGCTGTAGCACACTAGCTGGCTGGCTGGCTAACTACCTAGCGGACCAGCTGGCTATCGTGTCTTTTTCTACTGTCTTTATACTGACTGCGTAGTGGCAGCGTCCTTGACATTGGTATCGGTACCACCGACTTCAATAGCAGTCTTCCCTTCTTGCTCCTCCCCCTCTCGGTCCTCCCCCTCTCCGTTACTACCCTGCACATCCACATCCACGTCTAAGGCATCGCCCTCCCTCAGCCCCCTCAAAGAAGCACACAAGCGCTCCAAGTCGGCAATCACGCCGCTACTTTCCCCGCCCTCTCCGCCCTCTCCGCCCTCACCACCGTCCCCAATCTCCCCACCGTCCCCACCATCCCAGCCCACCTTTCCGCTCACCCATTCTTTCCCACCCTCCCCGCCGCCCGCACCCCCCTCCTTCAACCTCCTAATAACCGCAAGAAGCGTCTCCTCGCTCTCCTCCAGCTGAAAATCGTACCCATCCACCTCGTCCGCGAGCTTCTTTGTGTCCGCGCGAGTACGCTCAAAGCGTGTCTGCGCTTTTTCGAGCGCGGCGTTGAGCGTGTTGAGCTCTTTGGAGAGCTCTGCTACGACAGCGAGGTTGGCGAAGAATGCTGCTGCTTGTTGTTGCGCCTCCGTATCGGTATTAGGATTAGTAGTGGCGGAGAATGATTCGAGTTTGAGCACTGACAGCTCGGCTGAGAGCGCGGCGATCTGGCGGTCCTGATCCTGCATCTTGGCTGCGTGCTGCACCTGCATGCTCTGGAGGTGCGCCTTGTGCAGGATGCCCGCCTTGTCCAGCTCTTCCTCCAGGCGGCTCGATTTGTCAATCAGTTCGGCCTTCTTCCCTTCCAGGATGGCGACCTGCTCGGCGAGGTCAGCGACAAAGCGCTGCTCTTGCTCCTTGATGGCGCTGACTTCGTCCTTGGCGACTTGGAGATGCTCCTGCAGGAATTGGGTCTGGGTTGGCGCCTGTTGGCGTGCCTTGTCCAGGTCGGATCTAAGCGCCTCGACGGTGGTTTCGAGGTCGCAGACTTGCTGCTGCAGGGAGTGGTTCTCGGCCTCGCCCTGCGACACCCTGGCTTGCTGCTGGGATACTTCAGGCGCCATGGATGTCACTTCGCGGATGGCGACCGACAACGTCGAGCCAGACAGGCGCTCGGGAAGCGGGGAACTTCTCAACGCGACCAGCTGCTTCTGGAACTTCCCCCAAGTATTGTCTATGTGGGTTTTGAGCGTCTGAACGATGATGGTCCGTTGCTGCTCGAGCAGGTCTTTGTTGGAACCCGCAATGAAAGAGTCGAAGCGGTTGGCCATGTTGCTCACTCCGCTCTGGTGTTCCAGGACCTCGTCCCGGACCTCGTTCATCAAGTCCAGCAGCTCTCGATGGCCGGAGCCGATAGTTTGGGCTAGGACCTCATTACCATTCTGAATTGCCTGCTTGACATTCTGCTGCAAGCGACCGAGCTCCGCCGTCGTGTGCTCGTTCACGGCCCTCCGGTCGGCCAGCGTATTCCGCCCGAGGCGATCCATTCCGTCCTGCGTGTGCCGTTGCATGCCCTGCATCTTATAGTCCAGACGACTCTCGGAAAGCTTTACCTGCTGGACTACCGTCCGAGCTGCGGAGCTGGTCAGGCGATCACCATCGGCCTGCCCCCGCCGCAGGGCCTCCAGATGCAGTTCCAGCCGCGCCAATCGTCGCTGAGTGAACTCATTGGCGTCCTCGTTGTCTCGATGCAGCTGGTATAGGCCCCGGTCGAGATGGACGATGCCGTCGTGCACGCCGCGGACGAGGTCGTATGTGTCCTCGCCTTCTTCGTGAATCTTATACATCGCCTGCTGTATGTGCTGTTGCCATTCATGGACTTGGCTGTCCCGGGGGGCTGGCGATTGAGGGGGCGGTTGACTGGCTTCGGGGAGAGAAGGTATTGGTTGCCACGATATTGGCCGTCCCGCCACGAGTGGCTCCGGATCCTGCCCCCTTCTCTTCCACAAGCTATCCAATTCCTCCCTGAAACCGGGTATCTTGCCACACTGGCGCTGTCCTTGTGGATGCGTCCAGAGCCACGCCAGATAGCGGATATCGTCTTGTGCTATCATGTCCACCGTCTTGCCTCTGTGCTTCCCGTGCGGGAAGACGAGGGCATTGCATTGTTGTGGCTGCCGAGCTTCTCCATCTCGACCTTGTTGCCGTTGTCGAGCTTCTTGCTGAGATTGCTCGTGGCGAGTGAACCAGTCACGCTTCGCTGGCGGCGGCCCGGGGGGTGGAGCTCGACGGGCTCTGTTGGCGGCAGGGGTTACGAGGGGCTCCATGGAGGGTGGAAGAATGCAAGCGTATGACGGGTCTCGGAGATGAAAGTAGGCACGATGAAGCCCGAAGATGGTGATGGCTGCGAGCGCCTTCCCACCGCGCCTTCCCACCGCGCCTTCATGTTACACCGGCGGGGTATCCACGTCCGAGCACAACAAACACAGACATGTCTCAGCCTCTGTCCAAAGGCAGCCATGGCGTCGGGCGAGCAGGACAGCGATGTCGTCCTGTTATTAAACGGCATACTCCACCAGTCTCTTGCACACCTCAGCGACGACGCTGCCCTCGCCGCGCATCCTTTCGACCAGCGACGCGAGCTCTCTCCCCATCGGCAGCCTCCTCTTACGCTGCCCGCGAGCGAGAGGGCCCCTTCTCCCAGCCCGCAAGGCACGCCAGCCGATCTTCTCGACCTCGCCCACAAGCACTGGCGGTGCGGCGAGCCGGTACTTGCGCCTCCTCGTTGTCCACATCCGCCGCCCAAGACGCACGACGCAGTGTATCCGCCGCCCACCGCCCTCCCCGATCGATCGACGCAGCGCTCCCTCTCGTACACGGACGAAGTTCTGGGACAACTGCACGGCGGAATCGAGGTATACGTCAGCTGGGGAACGAAGGCAGGGACGCTACAAACAGTGCGGGCAGATAAGGACAGCCTCACCTTTGGCGGCTCAGGGCAGCGCATCCCGCTCTCGTCGACGGCCGTGGTCAAGGTAGCGAGCCCCCGGGCGGCGGTGCAGCAGGGCTGGTTCAAGCACAGCATCTCGGTGATAGCGCGCGAGGGCGAGTCGGACGCGCTGTCGCAGCCGCTGCTCCTGACGCCATCCGACGAGGTGCAGTTCCGGCGCATGCATGTCGCTTTGCGAGCGGCCGGGCAGCGGGCGCGGAGGGCATGAGATGGAGCCCAGGGCGTTCACCATGGCGCAGCTGTACATGCTGGTGGAGGATGTGTATGCGCGAGCGCGCAGCGAGGTCGAAGCCGAGTACGCCGATCGCATTGAGCGCCTGGAGAGCACCGTCGCAGCGCTACGGGTGCGCATTTGGCAGCAGGAGGCGAGGGCAGACGTCGACAAGAGAGGCGCCGTGCACATCTGGCTGCGATTCCGGCCGCCGCCGCTGGAGACGCAGGCGCCGCTGGGGTGGAGCGCAACGCGGACGCGTGTGACTGTGGGCGCTGGGGAGGAATACCGGGTGCACCGCGTCTTTGGGCGTGCGCTAGAAGAAGGCGAGGGGAACGAGATCGATGTCAGCGGAGCAACCAACGACGACGTCGGCGCCGAGTGGGACAGCTTCGTGGCCGCCAACTCTACTGATGGGCGTTCTGCGCTACTCTGCGCGCATGGCCAGACCGGCGCCGGCAAGACGGAGACGCTGATCGGCCAGCCCAGCGCCCGCTGCAGTCCAGGAAGCCCCCGGCAGAGCGCCTACGCCACGATCGACTTCGACGACCGCTCCGAGGGCGGCAGACGCATTGGCCTCGTCCCGCGCACCGTCCTGCGGCTCCGCGCCCTGGGCTTCGCCGTCGCCGTCCTTGCCGTGCAAATCTACGCATCCGGGTTCTTCGACGTTGCGGGCGACGCAGCAGGCCGGGGCCAGGGCGAGGAGCTCGAGCTGGAGACCACCGACCGCGCCACCGCCAGCCAGACGGTGCGCTTCCGCTACCGCAACACCGACCTCGGAATCGCCCATCCCGCGTACACGCCCATTGAGAACGAGCAGCAGCTGCGCGACTGGCTGGTGCGCGTCGACTTTGGCCGCATCCAGGCTGACACGGCGCCAGGCCCCGCACAAGCATCCGCCGCGGGCGTGCTCGAGTTCAACCACACGTCGTCGCGCTCGCACCTGATCGTCCACATCACCGGCGTCCCGTCCTCCGCCTCCGCCTCCGCCTCCGCCTCGACCGACTCCTCCCCCTCCTCCTCGAAGCACCTCCGCCCCAGCTTCTGGATCGCAGACCTCGCCGGCAACGAGAAGCCGCGCAAGGCCAGCCCGAACACGGAGCGCGAGAAGCGCATCCAGAAGGAAGCCAGAGACATCAACAGCGGCCTGTCCAGCCTCAAGCACATCATCCAGGCGATCCACCGTGTAGCCAAAAAGCCGCTTGCCGCGCGGGACGATGCGTGGGATAAGCAGCGCATCAAGATCCGCCGGAACCATGTACGTATGCCGTTTCTTGTGGCTGCCATGCTGTGCTAGAGTCTGAGCTGACCATGTCGCCCAGGAACTTCTCGTCCGCGCGCTCGCCCCGGCTTTGGATGTCTTGTGGGCGACGAAGCCGCGCGTAGTCTGGCTGGGCATGATCGTCAACGAGGCACAGCATGCGAAGCGAGGGCTCAGCACGATCAAGATGAGCGACGAGCTGACGAGGGGATAGATGGATGGCTGGTACTACCTAGCTCCCTATACCTTGTTTGCTTTCTTGTCTTTTCTAAACCAAAAAGAAATCCAGCACAACATGCCTTTTCTCTTCCCAACCTTCCGACACAGATCCCTGCGTGCATCTCCATCCCTCCCTCTTGCGATAGGGAATTCTCCGTATCTAAGGGCTCGCCGTACGAGTAAGTAAGATTAGCTGTCCTATTGTACGCACTCGCGAAGGCCTCCAGGGTAGCTGTTGCGCACGTCGTTCTATCCGGAGAATTCCACACCGTGAGAGCCTCCCCTCCCGCAACCGTTGAACAACCTCCCTCCCCTCCAATCAAACCAAAAGAATCCCCCCACAAATCCCTTCCTCCCCTTCCCCTTCCCCTTTCCCCTTCATCTCGCCCCCGGCCTCCCCAACCCCTCCCTCCTCCACCTCCCCCACCACTCCGCATCCCTCCCTCCCCTACCTCTCGCCTCCCCCACGCGGCCCCCATAAACCCACATCCGCACCCCCACCACCAGCGACGCCGCAGCCAGTGCCAGACACACGGCGAGCACGCCGCGCGCCGGCACCGTGGCGAGCGCGAAGTGCGTTGTCAGCGTGAGCAGCGCGAGGGAGGTTAGTGTGAGGAGGGCGGCGGAGAGGAGGAGCGTGGGAGGGGGGTGCGGCATTGTGCGGTTGGAGGGTAGTAGGGTGGAGACAGCGGGGGCTTCGTTTGTGCGGTTCCTTTCTGAACGTTGGCTGTCTGTCTGCCTAGGCTGCTGCTGCTGGCGTCCCCTTTCCGCTTCCGAAGCCGTGAAAGTGGTGAGTGAGGAGGCGGGTGAATGTATTCAATACCTCAGCTCAGCTCAGATCAGATCAGATCAGATCAGATAGATGGCAGGCACGAAACGAGGCGTGTGGAGTCGCCCGTGTCTGTAGACTACGGCTCGGAATGAAAACGCTGCTCGTTTCGTCCCGCGTCGTGCCGTGCCGTGCGGTTCAGTTCACAGTTCGCAGCCGGGCTGCAAAGGGAAGAAAGGGCGTTGTGTTGCGTGCGTGCGTGCGGTTGTTTTAGTAAGCGGAGGGAGTAGGTGGATGCCGTTTGTTCGTTCGGAGCGCAATATGATGAAGAAGAGGAAGCCAGTTGCGTGGAGAGCGGGGAGATGGCTTGCCTGCGTGGTGTGTAGTGGGGTGTGTAGTGTGGTGTTTGGATGGAGAAAATGGAGGCGGAAACGCGGGTGTTGAGGTGATCTGATCGGTTCGGTCGGTCGGGGGGTTGGGGAAGAAGAGGAGGAGAAGCCAGCTGGGAGACGGTTGGCTGGCTGGTCGTGATCTGATCTGAGCTCGAGATAGTACGCTTCTTGCCTGGCTTTTTCGTGCGTTTCTTCGCTTTGTGTCGAACGAGGCCGAGGTACTGGGTCGCTTTGACTGGGAACTGGAAATCGAAAACCGGAAACTAGGAATCAAAAAGAAGAACAGTCCGCGTATTGTCGTTTCTGCGGTATATGCAGCTTCTTCGGAACGATGTGTGTATTTCCAGCCGAGATATCGTCTGTAGAGCTTGCGGTTGTTTCTTTGCTTTGTAGTGGTAACACTAACTACTGCTTATGTAACGAGGATAACGGACGGCTAGTAGTAGCAGGCTCTTGCTGTAAAATATTCTCTAGATTTAAGGACCCGTATAGGTACAAGGTCGTACGTCTAACTGTACGTGTCACTGTACCGACCTGTGGAGGTCTCCAGGGTGCCCGTTGACGCTTTCTTTCTCGTGAGATGATAGGTTGGTGATGGGGAAGATTGTTGAAATGCGAGATTTGTAGAGACTGTTGCGTTTCGTGCGGGTTGGAAATGTGCGGTGTATATGTGGGGTTCTAAGATTGGAAACGGGCGCGTTGTACTAGATTGGGAAAGATTTACGTGGCTTTATAGCAGCCATGGAGGTATGCATAGGATTTCCGTCTGCGGCTTCTGATGATTGAATTATGTTTTTTTACGTGTCTACGCAGTGATACGAATGTGGAAGAGTTTGCGGTATTTATTCCGTGTGCGCGGCTCCTACGAGATCAGATTCACCCTAAACGATCGCGAGGTCGCAGCGGTATTTCTACAATCGCCAGACGCAACCATCAACTGTCTAAATTCTAACTACTAATTCCTCTACCACATCATCCCAAACTCCACCCAATATCCAATCACCGTAAGATCCACGCTGAGAACGAATCGCTCGAACTGGTTGGGAGCTACAAACCTACGCCATCCCCTTCCCCTTCTTCCTCCCCAGCATCTTAATCTTCTCCCTCAACTCAGTGTTCTCCCTCCTCAACACGCGCACTTGCTCGACATACTTCGCTATAACAGCCACCGCCAGCGACGTATTTCCCTTCTTCTCCCTCTTCTCCTTCCCATACGCTTCCGCAACCCCCTTATCTAGCAAGTCAATCCCATCCCGTACAACATCAAGAACGTTTCCTCCTTCCTTTTGCTCTGCGCTTTCTTTCTCCCCCTCTTTCTCCCCCTTTCCCGCATCTCTGGTATCCCCACAGTCATCAACCCACTTCCCAAAATACTCCCTCACCGCTTCCAGCACCTCGCCCAGCCGCTCCACCATACCCCGCGCCACACGCAGCTCCTCCTCTGCATCGCGGAGCCGCGCTACGAAGCTCTCGGCGCGCTCGTTGGCGGCTTGCTGCTGCGCGAGGATCGAGTCGAGCGTTTCTTGGAAGGGGAAGAAGTCGCTCGGAAGGTCGGTGTAGCTGTGGCTCGGGCCTTGGTAGGGAGTGACGCTTTCGAGGGCCATGACGAGGCGGTAGGGTGGGGGTGGTGGTGGTTGCTGGGCTGAGGAGGTGGCGGCAGTGGGGGCGGTAGCATTGGTGGGCGTGAGGAACGTTTCGAGAGCGGTGATGGGTGAAGGGGTGGTGGAAGGTTTGGCGTGCGCTTCTGATGTGGGCTTGGAAGATGGATCTTGAGGCTCGAGGGCGCTGGAGAGCTCCTGCTTCTCGTTGTTGTCGTTGGGGGTGGCAGGAGCTGGAAGTGGATGTTCTGGTGCCGGCGGTGTTGATGGGCGCCGCGAAATCTCCTCACAGCCTTCAAGCGAGGCATTCTCCGCTGATGTGCGCATGGTGATGTCTTCGCGGGTGGGGGGCATATCCAAGGCCCTGGAAGCTGCAGATAAGGTAACACAGTGCGTGTATCGAGAGGAGGGTGTTGAAGACCTGGCGAAGTGATGTCTCGGCTGTGTGTGCGTGCTGGGTGTGAATGATGAGCCGAACCGGGAGCGATCTTCGGGCAGTGAAGGTTTTGAAGCTGCTGGGGGATTCTCCTGCTCGCATCGAGTGGAACGTATCGTAATCTTTGGGAGTTCCTGCGCACAGTAAGTAAACACCTGCCCGCGTTTCGATTCCCACGGGCATTCGGTCTCCGCTCGCTGGGTGGACAAACGGGGAGAACACGCAGCTCAACTTATCACCATGTAATTAAATTCTAGCATATGAAATCGCACACCTACTGCAGAGCCTTCCCGTCTAGACAGCGGTCCTTGCGTATCTCACGCGGGTAGGGAAATACCCGTCTCGCAGACACTTCTCTCGTCGTCACGATGTGGGTCGGCGGTGAGGCGGGACAGCCGTCGAATCCCGTCTGTTACTGGATGGTGATGCAAGGACACCCTCTTTTCGGCTAGGAAGTGCAAAGGCCGACTGCGGTTTGCGAGTGTGAGACGGTGAAGCTCCCGACGGGTTTGAAACCTCTTTCCTGCAGCGTCCCGTTTTTCACTGTCCACGTACACCGTGAGGCTATTTCGGGAACCTTGGAACCCTCAACAGCAGGCTAATTGCTCGGCACCTCGTCGAGCTCTGGAAATAGACTTCATTCGCGCTGATCAATGGTGCTCGGGCTGACGGGATGATCTTGAGGATAGTGTTGATGGATGGAAAGCGTAATAGAGGCGATGCCGTTGAGGTTGACCCGCGTTATTTGATGGCTGGGTTTTGCTGGATATTGAGGGTTTGAGAAGGGTTCGGATCGGCAGAAAAGTCGCTGGTATAATTTTTGCTCGTTGCGATATTCGCCGTTGTCGTCTGCCCTGTGCTGGCGGTTACAGGGGAAGACACTACTGCAAATAAAGCTACTACACAGAGGAAAGCCGGGCTTGGGCGGAGTAGTCGAGCAACTGCTTGAAGATGTGGACTCTGAGATGCGTGCTCAATTGGGGATTATCTCTCTCGCTTTCTCGCTCTCGTAGTAGGGAGCATGGTGCACAGTCACGCACAGTTCCAGGTCCTCAGCTCAATGTGACTAAGAATGAGACTTCCCATGAGAGGCGACATACTCAATGCGAGCGTTTTCAGTTCGAATCTGTCAATCTACATAGCTACCCCCGCCGCCATGTATGCGCGCCCAAATCTCGATGCAGAACTTGCCTCAATGTTCCATACGGCAATTACCTCCCAGCCTGCACTATTCCATCTTCCGGAGGTCATATCACCACCCGCCAAGCACGCCACTCACAGAGGGCTCAAGACTATAGTCCAGTCCACCTCCTCCAGAAACCACCCCTTCTGCAGCTCCCTCACTCTCCGAAACCAATTCCTCAACTCCGCCGACTCCACTCTAAAATTCCAATACTCCTCCATGCGCATCCGCTTCCCATCATATAGTATGACGGCCCTTCCTTTGTTGTCCCAGCCCAGAATCTCCCAATCCATCAAGCGCAGCATAACCGTCCGCATCATCCACCACACCGCAACGCCCGACTCCTGCGCCATAGTCGCGCTCCAGCTCGCCCGCGGCACCTCGTCCACCTCGTGCCACTCCCACTGCTGCTGCTCCTCCTCCAGCTCGTATATCTCCTGCAGCAAGCCCATAGCGAACTCCTGCTGGGCCTGCCCGGCCGGCTCGTGCGTCGTCGGGTCGAAATGCCACGCCGTGCGGCTTCGCGGGCAGAGCACGAGCAGCGACCAGAAGTATCCGCCTGTGACACTGCAGTCGGGAGTCTCGCGCGCGACGGGCATCAGGACGAAGTCGTACTTGGGCGATGCTTTGCTGAAGCTTACGCTGAAGCATTCTGCGCCTTTCCCGACGCCGCCCACGTCTGAAAGCGTGCCGGAGCCGAGGGGAAGCAGCATCTGCACGCTCGGCGGGCCCTGTGTGCTTCGGTCGGCGGGGGGGTTTTCGCGGCGCATTTCGGCGGGACGCAGAACGTGGTTCTGCAGCTTGTTGCAGAAGGCGCGGAACATGTGCCAGGTGTAGTGACCGCCCTCTTCGATGGCTGCGATGTCACATGGGGCCATGGGAACGCCGAGGACATAGCCGCGGACGGGGCACAGGTCTGGACTGGCAGCGTAAACGTGTGCGGGAGGTGGGAGGTGTCTTGAGCTTGAGGCGTGCTGATGCTGCCATACCCGTGGGCGTGGAGCTGGCTGCCGGATGAGGTTGCCTGGAGGTGAGCCGGAGGTGTCTGCCCGCCTCGTAAGTCTGCCGGTGCTCGGGGGCGGCGGAGAGTAGAGACCGAAGTCATCATTCTCCTCGCCAGCTTGCTGTGCTCCCGAATAGTTGTAATTGACCATGGCGATGTGAGTGTACAGAGTGAGAAGAGGAGGAAGTAGCACAAAAAAATGGCCGGGCGGCGAAATTTGTTCATTTGCTCGCAAACATCTCGTGTGACACAAGAGCAAGCCCCACCTGATACGGCAACTACCTTGGGAGCTCCATGATACATGACTATCAAATGCTCAGCCGATCAAGTAACTGCGCAATCGAGACTCATATGCCACTTCAATCTGCATGTGTGCCTCGTGCGTTCTCGCCTCCGCCTCTAGCGAAGTTCGAATTCCTTGAATTGTTGCTCCAGAGTGTAGATTCGGTTTTCATGATCGTTGAGCCGAGCGTCATGTGCCGAGTGAGCCTCCGCAAGACTGAACAAAGACGCGTCTGCGAGGTTGTGACGCTGGTGCGAGGATAGAGCCGCAGATGTCAAGATGCCCGTATCGTAGTCGTGACGGGAATTGTCTTGTGCTGCAGTTGTGAGGAGACGAGCTGACTGGCGGGCTTCACCGATTTGTCGCGTACGGCTATTGGTCACATGCTGGCCCCAAACAGCGCTTCCTGGGGCCGGATCGAAGGCCAACAGAGTATCTTCGAAGTCTTCCACAGGAGCAGAATGACTTGGGGCGCTTCGGCGTGACGCAGGAGCGAGAACAGGGCCGCTCAGGGTCCTGCTTCCGTGGCGGATGCTGGCCCTTGGGGGCGCTGGAGAAGCCTGCAGGCCCAATGTGAGATACTTCGGATATACAAATGGGCTCAATAGCTTACTGTAACGGGAACGCTGCGTTCCCGCGAGGCTGTGGGGAGTGTCGGAGCCGTAGACGCAGATGCAGACGCCAAACGCGAGGCTGAGCGTCCAACGCCCACAGACGGTGACTCGACGGTCACGCGCATACCAGATCTCTCGCCAGAATCCTCCTCTTCCTCTTTGTCATCACTTTCGTCGCTATCATCTCCCTGCTCAGCAGTCTCGAGGAAAGTCGGTTTGCAGGCGGTTTCCGCATGCCTCTCCGGGTCACAGTGCATATCACATCGCTCCAAGATGTTAGGATTGCCCTTTGGACCGGGACGGGGGTGTTTGATGTGCCCTCCGCTCCTCTGGCATTGCCGTTTGTCCTTTGTAATGCCGGTACAGTGGGTGGCTCGGCGAGGCGCCATTATCGGTGGTGCGGTGATGCAGAATTAAAAAAGACAGAGCGTAGACTGACAGAAGCCAAAAATCGGCGAGAGACCAGACGGTAGCCGTTCTTTTGTGGTGAGCCGGGCCTCAGCCTAGCATCGCAGGCACTCAAAGAGGCCGTCGCTCTGAACGAAGGGGCAGCCAGGTACCGGCAACGCGGACTGGTGCCACTCCTGATTCACCGCCCTTATGAAGGTCGAGCTGGGCGCCCGGGCGACTGCATGCGCTCAATTCCGGGTGCGGTCATGGTAGCACCAATTCTGCGCCTTTCCAAGATTGCGCTGTCTCGCCTCGCCTGGCCGGTTGTTCGTGTGAGGCGAAAAGCAACGTCGAAAAAGCCGTCTGGATCAGGGGCAAGGCGAAGAAAGTAGAAAGTGCGCGGAAGAAGGATGTGGTTGAAACATGTCCATACCTGGAGAGAGACGTGACGTCGCTTCGGGACGCTGTGCCGCTTTAGGACGATCGGCGATCCGAAGCCTCCCACCAAAGCATCGAGCAACATCAACGGATGCTAGACAGCGATGCCACCGATACAGCTGGAACTCACATTACCACGACACGGCTTCAAGGCTAATTCCCCGTACCGAATGGCTGGAACGCCGACATTGATGGACGCCTCACACGCGCCAACCGTGGACCCATGCTTCGCTTTCTTGCAGACGGCGTTTCCCTCTCTGCCATGTGCACATTTCCCGCAGGATTGACTGCCATTACGATTTTCTTCCGTCCTCCCACGCCTCGAATCGCATGAGCACACTCACGTCAGGATGAACCGGCAAGAGCAAGTAGATCCACGTCCACATTGACATTCTCAACTAACCGCCTACACATCAGCCGCGTCAACTACCCGTTGCTCGGGCAGACCAGTCCAAGTCGCCAGACTGGCGGCAGGGGCAAGAAACCCTCCGGCATCCGCATCGCAAACCAACCAGCCGCCCGTCAATCCATGCCCGGTACCTTCCCACCCCACGACCAACCTCATCACGGGATCCCATCCTACGGCGGCGGTAACCCCTACACCTCGCATCAGCCACCGGGAACCACATACGATCCTGCACCAACTGGAGGCCCATACATCTCAGACCAACCTCCGGGAACCACTTACGGACCCAGCCCCTCCTATACATCACCGGGACACCAGCGCGGTCCTTCCGGCGCTCATCCTCCGCTTCCGATCAGCAACCCGTATGCACAACCAGTAGATGTCCCTGAGCGCCTCGAATCCCTCCGCCTCTCCGCCGACGACAGCACAGACGAATCCTTCGCCAAACTCCTGCACACGCTGACCCATCCCAACTCCCTCGCGGACATCCTTCCGCCCGCCCTCTCCACCCTCCAGCTCAACCACGTCCACACATCGCAGGAGCTCCACACCCAACTCGCCACCTTCCTTTCCAACGACAACAATGGCATCCGCGCGAGCAGCACCCAGCGCTTGGAGCTTCTGACGTCAGCCGTGGTACATTGCATCGAGAGGCTGAATACCACTGACCAGTGCTTGGAACGTGTTGCCGAAGCGGTCAGGATCGTGGGTCAGAGCATGGGAGCACGGCTTGCGAGGATCGAGGACGAGTGGGGTCTTCCGGGCTCGGAGGAGGGTGGACAGCAGCAGCAGGAGCAGGAGCAGCAACAGCAGAAGCGAGGCTTTCTCGATAGGATTTGGCATCGGGAAGTGTGAGGGACTCTGATAGTTTCGTACTGCCTCGGGACTACCGATCGGTCCGGTTGCAGTTTTCCCTACATCTTTTTCTACGGACACATCCAAGGGTGGCCAGCGGTGGCGGCCAATGGGATTACGCTGGGGTGTGGCGAGGACAGCGAAACTTCCCTTGCATCTCTACTCCCTTTTCCCTCGTACGTTGTGCCGCCTTTGTACTATATATCCAAGTCGACATTCATTCGCGTTGGCATCCTGCGTGGTTCTAAATTCCAATGCTGGGACTTTAATGTTTGTTGACGTGCCCTATCTTTTCAGATCCTCTGGTTGATGGACAGCGCTTGAAGCTACGATCCTCTTTCTGAACGGCGTATTCCAGCAAGCTTAACCATCGGGCCGAATTCCGCTAGGAGTGAGTCCGAAGGTGCTGTAGTATCGCGCAGCAATGCCGAAGGAAGGAGAATGTCCAGGGTTGTGTCGGGGTCTACGAGTGGTGGGCGGACGAGCAGTGGGGAAAGTGCCACCCGCGGCCATTCTGATAACGTATTCGGGATCAGTAAGCCTCGCTTCTCTCTCTTCCCACATCTCCTTTCTGACTTCTCATTTCACAATGCCGTCCCCCTAAATACCACAGCTTGATTCAACGCACGACGTTGCGCGGGCATATATCATCCAACTCAGACGGCGCTTTGGCCTCGTCCGGGAAGGCCTCAAATTCCGCCGCGAGCGGACAGCGTCACTTCCGCTTCGCTCATCGATAAGAAGAGCTCCCCTTTACGTGACGTCCAACGAGTTAACGACAACGGGTCAGGATAGAGGGAAGCCCTCTGGATTCCCGACGCCAACGACGGGAACGGCGGCAGCGAGAACAAAACGCTAAACAGCGTTGCCCTCGCCATGGCGAGTAACGCCGGCGCCATCAAATTCGCCGAGGACTTCAACGCGCAGACGCACCCCAACAGCATGTACTACAGCCCTGGCGGGCAGCACGTCGACAAGCCAGAGTCGGGGGAGTGACTGGCTCACATTACATCGCTACGTGCGAGTCCTTCCCAGAGTCGGCTCAGAACCATCAGCAAGTGCTCTCGCACCTTGACGTAGACTCCGGATACCCGTTCTACAAAGCGGCTTGACGCGTTGGCCGTTTGAAGTTTGCCATCTCTTTCACAATGTCATTGTTTGCAATCTCTTTCCCAGTTATTGTTTGCAATCGTTTGCAATCTCTCTCACAATGTTATGATTTACAATCTCTTCCACAATGTTATCGTTTTCAGCTGGTCATGCTGCACAAACATCCCTTCTTTAGCACAATCTAACCTCACAATCCGCCACTCCTTACAACGTATAGCTTAGCCCCCCAAGGAGGCACTCCCGTTGCTCCATCTCCCTCTTCACAGTGCACATACCGCCAACCCTAAACTCTCCTCCTCTTTCATCTCTCTCGGAACTCTCCGGCCCTCTTCATATCTGTATATACACAAAACCCATTGTACGCTGATATATACGTTCTTTACCCCACTTTTTGTGCCGATATATAATTATGCTGCCATATGCTGCCATTCCTGGGGGAACAGAACACACCCAGAGAAGCAGTGAATAGCAAAGACTGGATCTTTCGCCTGCTGCCTTTCAACCGAGTAAGTCTATTCTCTAATCTCGAAGCCGGACTCGCATCTGACTAGCCAAAATGGCAGAAAATCAGCATGATCAACACTCCGCTCCTGAGTGCTCGCAGATTGTCAGCCAGGTTTCCGAACTCTGTTCAAAATACCAGACCGAATACCGCGCCCGTGTCGACGCTGAATTAGCTCTCAAGACCCAAGCTACGCAGCACAAGACGGCGACGCTAAAACTTGAGTGTCAGGTAGAGGACTTGCAGGATGACGTGCGATCAGTACAGTCGGCGAACCGCTTGAAGGGTCTGCGCGAGAGGCAGCTAAATGTGGAGATTGGGCAGCTAATTCTGGCGAAAGAAGAGGTAGAAGGGAAGGCGGGGCGGCTAAACGAGGAGGCTGAGCTGCTGAAAAAGAATGCTGAGCAGTCGGAACGGAAAGCAGCGGCCTTGCGTCAGGACCTAAAGGATAAGGAAGGGGAGGTAAAGCAATTAGAAGCCAAATTGGCGCACGAGAAAAATAGCCATGCAGGAACTCAAGCCGATGTATACAGCCAAAAGGGCTTTATCAAGGAGCTGGACCGGGCCTTGGAGGCAAAAGACACCATTATCCAGACGCTGGAGGAGAACTTGGCGCTCGAGAAGGATCGCCATACAGAAACTAAAGCCGCTCTTTGCACCCAAACGGAGAATATCCAGCGGCTGCAGCAGGCCTTGGCGGACGAGAAGAAGAGCTGTACAGCAACTCAAGCGACTCTATCTGCCCAAGAGAAGCTCGTCCAGCAGCTGCAGCAGGCTTTGGCGGACGAGAAGAAGAGCTGTACAGCAACTCGAGAGACTCTATCCGCCCAAGAGAAGCTCGTCCAGCAGCTGCAGGAGGCCTTAGCAGATAAGACCGCTAAGGCTAGACAGCTGGCCGAGCGCGCTGAAGATCAAGCTCTTGCCCGTTTTCCTTCCCAATTGGCTCTTGTTACTAGTGGAGCCGGCATTCCCATTCAGCCTAGCCCAACCAGCATGCGCCCCCCCCGGCGACGTGGTATACCCGATATTGGCGATCCTCCGGCTGACTATAAAGCATGCGACGACGACAAGGAGACCGGTCCAGAGTCCAACGACGAACGCGCCCAAGCCCAACCAGATCTTGTTGCAAAGCCAGCAAATGATCGCCCACCTCGGCGACGCGGTATACCTGATATTGGCGATCCTCCGGCTGACTATCAAGTATGCGACGACGACGACGACGACAACCTCGAAGCTATGGAACAAGCCATCCTCGCCAAGGTTGAAGCGTCTCAGGAAGCCGTCATTGCCGCGCTTACGCTTGCTCTAACGGAGCAGACATCTGCTTTCTCAGACATGATCGAAAAGCGTGGTTTAGGCGATGCTGGTACTCATTCCGATATCCAGTCTGGTGCCGATGCTGGGCCTAGTATGGATGCTCCTGCTGCTGGTTCAGGCATGGAGACGGAAAAAGAGAGCACAGATGAGTTAATTGCTGTGATCCAAGACGCGATTCGGACGGCGTTCACTGAGGTACGGGGGCAGAAGAAGAGCCGGTTTAGGGAGAAGGTGCTGGCATTGGCTGGGAAGCGGTAATTCATTCGCTTCGGTGCCCTTGGGAAAGCCTTGGATGGGTTCTAGACTTTTCAGGGTGTAGTAAGATCATGGCGGCGCGCCCCGGAGGATGTAAGTTGGTCTGATCTTGCTTTCCGAATATAGTTATGGAATAGAAGGTTATATTATATAGAGGATACCTGTATGGAAGTAGGAAGAAAGTGAATTTGAGCATCCGCAACAAGGAGTACGCAACTTTTCATTAAATGTGAGCAGCCGCTGAATCAGAGCCCCAACGCTGACTCACATGTTTAAGACCTGAAACCTCAACTTACAATGCAGGGTACGTCTGTACACAGTGCCCGCCACTGGCCTCCGCCTTATTCCAAAATAATCAACGGTTCAAAACTAATTCCCCAAAACTCCGATCCGCACTATCTCCTAAACATTCTTCCTACCTTCGCCTTTCCTATTCACTCTCTGCCCTCTTCGCCGTCTCTCTGCCTTCTTCTTGTCGCAGTATTCCGCACCAACCCCAATGAAGTAGACTTCAGTGAAGACTCATACGCGGAAATGAATAATAGAGCACTATTGTACAGCGCTGCGTTGATCACAGGGCTTCACGAAAGCCCACCTTATCAAGAATCGACGAGCTCTCGATGACCGCTATACGCCTCCAAGTTATTCGCGATTACAGTACCACCGTCGTTTCTATCGGCACGAGGAAGCTCGTCTTGAATATGCAATATTCCTGGATAAGATACTGCAGAATCAAGGAAGCTGAGAACAAGAAGTGAGCCTAGGACCACGAAGACAGCCAGGTGCTCAACGACAGAACGTTATCTGTCTTGAGGAGTTCACCGCGGGTTAAGAGGATATACGTCGTTTTGAGGACACAGGTCGCCTTTCGAGAGGATAGTTTGCAGGTAAGAGATAGCTCTTCCAAGAGGGCTTTGCGGACCGCAGTTGCGCACTAGTCAGTTTCGTAATCGCTCGACGTGCAAGTGGTAGGGATGCATTGCCCGGAATTGCGAAGTTGAGATTGCGCGGCGCAGGTGCTCAATATCGTGTAGAAGCGAAGTAGACGCGTCCCCATCGAACTGTACTGATCTCCGCCATAGAGAGACATTCTCTACCTGGGAAGTGTAGGCCTTTCAAAGGCGCGCGGCTTATGGGAAGTCTACCTTTCTAACGCGGGCCTTCGCCATGATGGCAGCAGGTCGAAGTGCGCGCGATGGAGCGCCCCAAAACCTACCTTCTCCGCGAAGCTCCATCCACTCTAGCCTGATCATCTCCCTCGCGGGTTGCGTACACATACAGCGGCGCCGGCGCTATATGGTGTGCGTTGGAGTGCGCCTGCTCTTGCCGCATACCCTGCCTCCTCCCCCTATTCACCGCAGTCGCTCCACTTTGCATACGGTCCTTCTGATATGGCAAATCGTTGAGCCGATATATCAGTCACGGGAAAGGGGGAGAGCGGACATCAGCCTCACTCCTGCAGAAAAACTATTTAGAATGCTGCTATTTCTAATCAAGGGCTCGCCGAGAGTGCCTCCGCCAGCCCGTAATATCGTTCATGTCAACTCCTTTCTCATTTTATATCTTTTTACAAGGGAAACACCCCCTTTTTCTCTCCCAGGGGACCCTATATTTAAGTTCTGTGTGCATAAACTCGTTGTGGCTACTGGCCCGCCCTTTTCCTGGCACCCGGAGCAGCGGCGGAACTTGGCAATGTGAGAGACGAGAGTGCTCTACAGCAAAACCCAGCCAGCGCTATTTATGTTTCAGGGAAATGAGATCAAGCAGGCTTTTGCGGTAGGGAACTCTCCGGATTTAAGGGCTCGTCGTACATGCCTGTAGAGGTAACTTTATATAGTATTGTACCAAGGTACGCACCTGCAAAGGCCTCCAGGGTGGCCGTTACGCACGTCGTCATAGCTGGAGAATTCCATACCGCGAGAGGCAGGGTCTGGGCAAGCACTAGTAGCGATTTACGTCACCAGGACTCTCGGGTCGTATCCACGTTGCACTCACAACTGCGTACTAGCAGGCTACCAAAGACTGATAAACTGGGGATACGTGAAGGGAGTCTCTGCTATGTGCTTCGTCAGTCAAGATATAAAGGGATTCTACACGAACTTATCTAGGTATCAAACGCATTTAATCCGAAAAAGTACCCTTCATGTCCCGCCATCTAAACCAAAGGCCGAGGTGATCCAGGCGTATAATCCGAAGGGTGTTGGAGAGGGTGTGTTACATCGTCTCTTAACAAGTCGCCGCTTGCTTTGGGAAGCTGCAGTGATGCCTTGTGCGACGCAAAAACAGAACCACGGGACATTTTCGCAACAACCCATGAGACGGAAGCCGGCTCCTTCTCCCTTCTCAACACGCTCAGATCCATCGCTCACCTGGGCGCATAGTCTCGTAGACTCAACACTATAACCACACACCCATGTACTCTGCGATCTGCTGGATGTGGTGGTTGGAAGAGGGATCATGAAGCTCAGCAACAACTATGCTCCACGACTTCTTGCGTGAGCCCTGTCTTCCCTTCTGGAGACCTCATCACGGCTGATGAATCAGCGAACCCACGCCGAGACGAGAAGAGATGGAAAGGATGGGTAAAAAATAGGAAGCGAAGAACGGGTGATGCCTGATACATTTCGAGAAATACACTCGAGTTCAAGCGGATACCAAGGGTGGGGTTTTGGGCGCGATTTGTTGCTGGTAAGGGAAAGGGTATAGAGGAGGGGGCGAGAGGGACCTGGCTGGTCTTCTGCGGCTGCGAAGCTTTACTCCTGCGCTGCGTGCGTGCTGGCTTGGACTGCAGTACCCTCTCTCCGCGTTAGAGGAAGAAGAGTCTAGGGTAGAGGACCTAGAAGACGAGAGTGATGGCGGTACAGAGGTGGCGGAGGAGGTGAGTGTTAAGGTTGTGGAGTTGTTTGATTTTGACGGGGCGAGGCTGCGGCGTGTACCTTGCTTCGGCCTCACCTTCGTTTGTTGGCCCTCGGCGTGACGGCCTGGTTCCCCAGAGATTCTCCGCACACGTAGTTACAGTCGCATAGTAGCCATAGTAGGAGGGTCTCCTTGCCTCTCTTGCCCACCAGGAACAGCGTCGGCCCCTCCCCAGTATCCCTCCTCCTGGAGTTCTTCAGTCCCTCGTCCCAGATCAGATTCGAACCTAAACCTCTCGAGATACCTTCCAGTGCGGCGTGGACAAGGAAGGACACAAGAATACGGCCCGAGTACCCCTCGTTGCTTGTCTGCGGTATCTTGTGATCAATTCTGACTACCCGCTCCCACACCTATGGACAGTGCCGAACGCTTATAGCGGTAACTTCGAACCGAGACCGTGGCGGGCGCGTCGTGTAACGAACATCGTGCCTGTCGCGCATCAACTAATTACCGACTGCCGCCGTTGGAAGTTACACCGCAGGCATATTTCGTTAAACACAGCGTGACGGTACTGGGGTGGTCGAAACTCGCGTCACTCGATTTCCGCGAGAGCTTTTGGAGGCGCCAAGTCAAGGATTAGAAAGACCGTGCTTGCGGGAGGTTTGATATTACGCCTTAGGCGAGCGTCTGTTCGCTGGGATGAAAGATGAAGGAGGATTCATTGAGGGAGCGCTTGAGAGCCATGTCGTTTCCGCCCTTCTTGCAGCTGCTTTGCTGTCGGAACTGCCGACCCATGAGCCGCGGTTTCTTGCTGTCGCCACATTCGCACCCGCGGCGTACTTACGCCCAAATTCTCTCTACACCCTCTGTTTCCTACAGGGCCTCTGCAAAGTTGGGGAAACAATGCCAGCCCACGGGGGAGTACAAGGGCCGGCGACCGAGGATCAGATAACTATTTAAACTTCGGACTTCGGATCTCCGATTCTGGCCTCATTGTCACCATAGTGCTTGCTCGGCACATCGGCGTAGAAGCCGTTGATGGGGCCATATCCCTCCGATCATGCAGTTGATAGCATGTCTTTTGAACTGTGTGGTGTCTACACGACCGCAAGGACGAACTTTTCCGGCAGGTGTTTGCGTTTCTCGGCCATAGTCCGTTTTGGGTTCGGAGGTGCGAGCGGGGCGGGGATGGCGGGTGAAGGATGGCTGGGAATGGAGTTTAGGTTCAGCGTCGAGGGCGTCGTGGCGATGGTGATCCAAGTGGTGAGCCGGAGCGAGAGCTTCAAGTGGCGTCAGCGAAGGACTATTCGTTTTGGCTCAACCAGGTAGAAAATCGTGTCGGTCGCTGAACTGTTGACGATGACTTGTGGCGTCATTCTGACTTCTTCCTCTTAGAACTGGCGCTGACGTCACTTCTTTGCGAGTGCTCACGTACAGTTCCGCGTTTGGTATTCGGCGTTGCCCGAAGCTGACGAGTCCTGTGTAAAATGCTACGGCCGGCGAGATGGATAGTCTTCAGCAAGTATGGAAAACGGCATGTTTGAGAAACCCACGAATGAGCGTCTGCGTGCTCTAGTGTAGGAAGCAGCGCCGGGTAGGCATTGGTGTCAAGGAAGACCTTGCGTTTGATTAACCCTATTCGGGACTGTGCCAAGTAAGGTTGGGAGAAGATAATGGACTAAGATGCCGGGGATCTCCTCGGTGGCTAGCCAACATCGTCGACCGGCAGGACAACGCCATCTACTCCTCGCCAACATTCGAGCCAGCGGTAACGCAGAAAACCCGTACGATATTGCCTAGTATGAGCGGACCATGGATGCCCTCTCTCGGAAACGCCGCTCCTGCGCTCGTACAAGCCGTAGATGTTCTTAACCATTATGACGGAATTTTTTTCAACCCTAATCGATCGTATCCTGAGGAAATGTTCGCCGGCATCGGTAGACAAGGCTTGTGCTGTGAAGACTGTGGGAGAAGCAACTCGAAGCTAACATCCTTCGGTTGCGGCGGCTTGGTGAACCGCAGCGTAGCGTGACCGGTAGATGTAAGGTGAATGGCGCGGGACCAAACTCGGAAAAACCAGGACAGAAACAAGAGGGCCTATGGCGCCGGAACATTGGAGAATTGCGGATTTGCAGGCTCGGTATCTCTGGAGACTGAGCTGAAGCATGCAAGACCATTTCAGATATGAGTGTGGTCAGATTCTGCCGTCACTCACCCTCCCGAGGTCGGCGATTTGCCTGATCTGGAGCGTGCTGGCGATTCTGGCCACCTAAGAGGACGAGACTGCTAGCCCGGACCTGCCGATAACGGCTACAAGGGTTGTTATAGATGGTTCGACGCCGGTCGCGATAATGTGTTGCTTCTAAAGGCGCGCTGGTTGTATGAAAAGTTCGGCGTCCGCATCCATATTGGTATAGCGCATCCTGGAGGCCTCCGAAAGCCTTGGAAGCCACTCGAGTGCCATTGGTGCCGCATGAGCAGCATCAAAGGGCCGAATATGTAAATAGAACCGCCGGCGTTTCCTTACTGGGTTCTCGCATCTCTTCGTTGCTCGCCTTCGTTCTCCTTAAAAACACCAGGCGCGGTCGCGAACTTGGACTTGGCGCGGATCTTCTTACTGTAGAGGTACACCCGTCTTACCAGAAACCGCGGTGTTCTTCTCTAACAAAAATGTCGGAGGTGCAGATCTGGGCTCGGGCAAACAATCGCAATCTGACAAGATGAACTCCAAGCTCACTGACGTAAGTAGGGCCGGTATATGTAATGGCCGAGAGCCAATGACGCTGACAGAACTTAGCGGCAGTGATTCCTGAGTTACGTTTCCTTGGGGTCATGTTGGAGACGCTGCTGCTTCGTTTGGAGCATAGTAGATAGCGAAAATAAGCGATCGGCGTTAGACTGCATAAACGCAGCCCCGAATTTGCGCCGGCTGTACAGGGACACTAGGCTACTTCGGTTCACCTAATTTTGCGTAATAGACAGACTGACAACGCATGTGGATTCGAGAGAAATCATTAGCTGGGAAGAGCCGAGCCACATGGATGAGAACATGTTCGATCATCCCCCCAGCAAGAAGCCGCCATGCGAGCCCCAGCATCAGCATCGCTGATAGATTCCACCGAGAAGATGCTCACATGTTGTGGCAGATGAAGTAGAATACGCGAAGGAGAAGTTCTTGAAGACGTTCGACCGGACTACATGGGCCATGATAGAGAATTTCAGTCTGCCTTTCAAGATCAATCCCGAGATGGCGAGCCTTTAGTTCCTATGAAAGATTCAAAGACGTTCGTAATGTGCTGTCTCTAGACTTCTCTGAGCCGGAGCTGGAAAGAGCGCTGCAAGGCGTGCGCGCCTCTTCGAATTCCGCAAGAGTCCGCCGCATTTTGATAGACAGTGCGTGCTCCGTCAGGAAACAAGTCATGCCTAAGCCAAAGGCAGGAACAGCCCCAAGGTATCGTGCGACCTGTCAGGACCGTCGCTGCTTGGATATGTCAGTTACGAGGGTGGAGTGGTGCTGGCTACGCTCCTGTCCTCAACTACCATACTGCCCACATTGCCTGCAAGTTCTCCGAGCTTCCCGAAGGCGTCCGGATTCAAGCTTAATTCTCCTAAATGTATCGGATATAACAGACTCAGGGAGGTTAGCGGGGAAAATAAGCTTACAGGGGAAGATCGACGTGGGTGGAAAGGTCGTCGGCAGTGTATAAGAGCCCGAAAGCCTCGGGCTGTGCTCTTCAACACCGAATGAATCCGATGCGACTCCTTTCGGTGCCGCATTCTACCAGGAGGTGGCATCAAGGGATTGTTAAAGAAGATGGCTAGCTCGTTCCGTGGAGCTGACATGTTGAGAAGGGGAGAGAAGCTGGCGAGACCTTAGAGTAGAGATCCCCGAGAGCCTCACGCCCGTCTCAACCTGACTTTCGGCTCTTCCTTCCAAGTCGTGAGACCACTTCTTTTATGTTCACTGGTGACGTGCCTGAATGGGGCGAGGAGAGAATGAGGACGGTGACCTCGCTGTATCTAAAGAGCGTCGCGATTCCGGGCACATGACGGAGGTTATTTATAGGGTTATCTAGAATGCTGGGAGTCTTCGATGGACTAAGCTGGATAGAATGGATGTGAGTCTTCTATCTATGCTATACGTGCTGCTGGAATCGGCTGAGTGGAAGTATATCTGGGTGGAGATTGGATTAGATTGGAGAGTTGCTGACACTTCGCGTAATTCCGAATCGGATACCGAGGTGGAGCACAAGGTCGCCCGTTCTAAAAAGACCGTATCAGGCCCATAAGGGTCATTCCGAACGACAAGGCAGCCAGGCACGGCTTGGTTTGACCGGAGTATCCAGCTCTTGACTCGCTCTGGGAGATTCAGGGTATAAAGCATTGGTTATGAAATTGTCAACCAAGGAGAAGGCGAGATGCAGAGGAATTGGGGGCCAAGAGCGAGCCGAATAAGAAAGCTGGGAAAACTTGTGATCTACTAGGGCGGAGAGATAGGGGAGATACTAAGATTCTGCACACTTAGCCGAAAATTGGCGAACGCAGATTGCTCCCGGACGCCGAAAAGCCGCTGTATCATAGGTCGAGAAAGTAGTCGGAACGGAGAATGCGATGTTTGAAGGCCAAAATAGGGTATTGCGTCCCGCAAACGGAGATTGATGCTCTGAGTTGCCCGATGTCGTAACCCAAACGTGACTGAGCAAGATTCGCTGTGAGAAGATGGATATTGGCTGTATCCAGAAACGATAGCAGGGACGGCCTCCACCCTTTCCAGGCTGTATACTCAGGATCCAGCAATGCTACTGATCTAGCATTTAGGAGCGTATATTATGACTGAGGTATGAGAAAAGCCGACCATTCAAGTCGCAATGCTGTCATCCACCACCAATTTGAAAAATTCTTGCCAGCCCACGTCCGCCGTCACATGCACCAGTATTCCTCAACCCATACCTTTTCATGATGCCATGAACTCATTCACTGGGTTGCTGGTGCTGGACTTCTCACGTTGCGGATTGCCGCTGTGTAGATTGGGGCACCGAACGAGGTGAAGGAGTGCGGAGTGAGGCGGGCGCGCAACGGGACTATGGCGAGTGAGAGGGCTCAATATAGATAGAGATACAGCTATACCTGTGATGTCTCCGCTGCGCTGCGGCGGCCTCGAAACGAGAAAAATTTGATCGATCGTCGATCGATCTTGGCGAAGGGATGCAACGAAGGGAGCTAAGATGGGTGGGCTGACTTTAGCGCAGTGAAACGCATGTGGGTTTTTGGCTTTGTAGTTAGTGGGGTCAGCCTTGATTGGGATATGAAGCGAGGAACACAGCTATATCCATATCCCCGCCCAGGGCCATTGAAGTCCAGAATGCCGGGAGAGTGATGGTGTTGACTCAAATCTTGTAATACGGCGAACGAGACCGTGATGGTCTAAGTCTACCGAAGACATCGTTGATCCAAAGGCGAAGGAACGGGAAGAACGGGACTACGATTGCATCTAAGGTGGGCAGAGACTGCGGACACGTGAAGCAGTCTCAAGACGGGGTCGTCGAAGCGAGGCCGTCGCTCACAGCTGGCGAACCTGGAAGATAGTGAGATACGGAATTTTAGAACGTATCTGGTTGCCATAGGTATTAGTAGCGTGGTCGCATACCTAAGTGAGTTGGTAGTGCATGGGAGACGAAGGTGAATCTTTCGCACTAATTAACAGGATACCCGGCATTGAAGGGAAAGTGGGGAGAGAACTATCACTGGCACCGAAGTTATGCACAAAGCCGGCACTTAATACTCACCAGAACAGAGGACTGTCATTCCAAGAAGAGGCGCGGCTGGGTAACAGATTAGCATGCTACCTCACAAAGACGGGCGGGCAAGGATAGCGTTGCTTACACGAAGAGTATCGGTGGACACGCGTGAGGGACAATCGGACTTTGGGCTCAGTCCTCGAGGGTATCGTCCATGTCGCAACTAGAGGAACATGAGGAAGCTAATAGGAGCAAGGACAGAAACGGAAGAAACTACACGAAACGAGCAGCGGCGCACAGGGCGGCGCACAGGGCGGTAGCATCGGAACGTCAAAGACATCGACGATAAACATAACGTAGCACCAAGACTGTCACGGTTAGCGGCCTATCCTACTCTGGTCTTCGGAATCCATACAGTATCAAAAGCTGCCTCCTCGAAAAAAGATCGAGGACTCACAAATCCTTCCCACATTTTCATATCCCACCCCGAACCGCGGAAACGGCCACATACGGTCGAAGGTCTTTCCCTGCAAGCAATTTGCAACCCTCCTATATCTACCCGTCCGCCCTATACGGTCGGAAACGGTAGCGGCATTGTCGCTGGGGTGGTCGGAGAGCTCCAGCAGCTAGCAATTTCTCGTATCCTCCTCTCCAATCCGCGCTCGGCCAAAACGTCAGACCCAAGTCGAGGGATATCTGCGAGAGTTTACGGTGTGCTCACTGTGCGGGCGAGCAGGGGCTGAAGTTCCTGCAAAATAGGATTTTGGTAAAACGATTTCGAATGTTGGCGAGAAGAGAGGATAGACGAGTTTCTGCAATTGGTGTCTGAAATGCTAGAATATTTGTGCAATGTGACTCAGAGAAGTAACCGCTAGGTGTAGAAAGTCATTTGGGACGCCGATGCTCCTGCCGAAGACGAGGAGCTTCAGGGACCATTGGGTGTGGACAAGGCCGCCGTATTCGTTCTCCAATAGTGGTGCTCGACATCGGGCATTACGGGTGCTAGTGAAAGTTAAACGATGACTGTGCACCCAGCCCACGAACGCCTACTGTTCCCTCTCTTGCTTCGATGCCGCCTCCTGCAACCAGTAGACATAGGTCCTAGGCTGCTCGGCTTCCCAGGACTTGTATTTCTGTGGCACCGAGTTGCACCCTGCTTCAGCACGCTGTTTGGTCGCAAAAGACCCATACGCGGAGGGCAAACCATTGCACTAGAGGAAATGGGTAGCAGATGACCAAGTTGGTTCGGGCGAGAGAAGTTACCAGCGCGGACTTTCGTCGAACGAGGTGTTCGTTCTGCCGTGCACCGGGAACTTTATTGTGGCGCTGACCAACGTCTGAGCGGAACTGTGCAACTCAGGCACTAATGTCTGGCTTGAGCGGATGAATTTTGTTATGACGGAATAGGTGCTGGAAATGTCGAGGAAAAGCTTACTATTGGAAACGGAATGATGCAGGACAGGAAAGATGTGAATCGCTTGGTGCTCAACGGTCAGTCTCCGTCCTAATTTCACCATGGGATAAGCTGTCCGTATCAGAGGAAAGCCGTGGTAGTCACGGCGCCGCGATAGACGGAGGCTTGTGGCTTGATGTTGTCGTGATTGTTCGGGTTGCCGTTTGGGCGGACCCAAATTTGACGACGGGGAAAGAGGTCGATCAGTCGGACCCTGAGAGTCTTACCTGAAGTCGCACCCTCCTGAATCCTGTTCTCTCCATTTACCACAGAACATGTCGGATGTCAGTGGCTTCACGTTTTTGGCTGTAGCTGCGGGCAGTCCGTCATAGACGCAAAAGCTACGCCGAGGCTTACGGGTAGCGCACTCACCTATAGTCAAAGGTGTAGACCGTATTCTAATCACCACCGCTCTGATGACATCCCGGAGCGCTGGAGGCTCGTCTTCTTTGATAGAGTGTGGTTGACTTGCCAGAAAGAAACCATGCGTCCGGAAGAAATTGACGGTTGTAGCCGCCTCGTGCTGCGCTTTCCCCGTGTCGTCCGTCTCTTGGAGAGTGAAGCCTGTCAACACTGGAGTCTTGGGAGCTGTACCGAGCGATTCGATGACGTTATCTCCGCGATATGATATTGCATACCAGACATACGGGCGGTCGCTCTCGGAACTGTGGACACTCCATAGAGGTACGTTTCTCATTTGCATTGGATTCTAGCGAAATGAAGTATGTAAATCCGGCGCGGGCATGAAGGGAACAGGATCAGGTGTGGACCCTTGGACGCTAGTGAGCCACGTGATGGCGGCAAAACGTCGGCCCGCTCCGAAGCCGAAACGCAACACCACACCGCGACATCACCACGACCGGCATCGCAATCACAACACCACGCATCCATCAAAGGCCAACCCACCATGCAATGAGGCCTACTACGCCGTCTCCCCGGCGCTTCTCCATCGCTGTGCCGACTACGCTGCCTTCGACGCCGCCGCAGAGTCCTCACGCCTCCAACGCGCCTACCTCCCCGCCGCCGCCGGCACCCACGTCCACCGTTTCCGAACCCACCCAAGTCGCCGTTATCCTGAGAACCCTCGTCGCACTCCGCCGTGGAGACGCCCAGGCGCCCGACCGGACGAGTTTCGACTTGTCGCCCCACAATTATACGCGTCTACAGGAGTTGCTTTCTCGCACGCCAGAGCTCAAGGCCTGGGTAGACGACAAGCTCCGGTATAATTACAGTGGGGAGGAGCAGCTCCTGGTCCTTCGGATGCCCGATGCTCGCCATGACCTTTTCGCACACATTCTGGAAGGCAGGCTAGCCGGCAAACTCCGGAAGCTCATCCCCGCTGATGACCCCCCCCTCCCAAGTGACCAGGAATCTGACCCTTCGGTTGAGTCGGAGTCATCAGTCGCCGATGAAGATCCACGCGAGCCTCCCAGCCGACTCCAGTATTTGGTGAAGTCTATACGCGCAGCGGGCACCTCAAGCGACCCAATCGGCGGAAAGAACAAGAAGTCCCCGGATGCCCAATTCTACTTCGATCATCCCACTTCCAAACATCCAACACTCGTCGTCGAAGTCGCGAACAGTGAGACGAAGGGCGCCGTTAAGCACTCGGCATACACCTGAATTGAAGAGACGAACGCCCAGACGTGCACCGTCGTGACCGTCGACCTACCGTACCAAGCACCCGCAGCACGGAAGAGTAAAGAAAAGGTGGATGGGAGTGCAGCGGCCACATATTCGATCTTCGAGCACCAAACTGTTGAGGAAGATGGCGAGATATGGCATAGAGCGGCCCCCAGGTGCGAGGATGTCGTCTTCCGCAAAGCCCACCCCAGCATACCAGGCAGATTCTGCCGTGTGAAAGGTGAACTCAAACTGAACCTCTCCGACTTTGCCCCGCGCCACATCCGCCATGACGATGACCCCAATCCGCAGGTCATCGTTGCCTACCGAGAACTAGCGGAGGCCTTGCGCGAAGCCGACGCCCTACAAGCGATCCGTGATCGAAGCTCCCCTACACCACCATCACCGTTGAAATGGAAAAGAAAGCGAGAAAGATCACCAGAGCAGCTCGGGGCAGCGGACGAAGCCTTCTATCAAAAGGAGGAAGATCGTCAGGCGCGCCGAGCGAGGACCGGCGACGGACCGTATCGGGCTTCGCGGGCATCTTCTGCGTCGGGAAGTCTTCCACGGACGAGACATCAGCGTGAGCAGGGAGGCTGAGATGAGAGCATATGATACCCAATGTTGTTTGTAGCGTTATTCGAATAGAATCACCTATCCCCGTTTTGATATCTTGCTTCTCAGTGCCTAAGTTAGCTATCCTTGGAACTCTAGGAAAGCCGCTAGATGCTGCGGTGATTCGTAAGCACACCTCGATAGTGCATGCACGAAAGGTCCAGGTCTGCCTCCCGACTTCGAGCAGACTTTATTAAAATCGCAGAGTAAGAAAAGCTATTAAGCTAACGTACTTTATTACTAAACTCTCTATAATTTCTTAGTAATAAAAATTAATAAAAATTAATCTATTTTTCTTAAATAACTAATATACTTTATAAGTAAATATATTATTATTAAGTAATAAGTAATATACTTTATAGGTAAACTATAAAAAAAGAATCTATATATAATTCTTTAGACTAAGCTAGTAGTATATTATAAGCTATTCTTTTAACTAAGACTAAGACTTACTTTTATAAGAGAAGGTAAGAGGTATACTTTAGGCTAGAATCTTTAGTAATAAAGAGGTAGAGGTAATAATACTATAAATTACAAGTTATAGTAGTAATTTAATAAATAAAGTAATAACTATAAGAAGCTATAAGAAGTAAGCTTCTTCTAGTTATATATATATACCTTTTTAGCTAAATTAGACGCTAAGACCTAGCTCTTATAGATTAAACCTAATTTTTCTAGCTCTATCTAATCTCTCTAATCTATATTATATAATTCTAATTATTTCTATAACTCTATACGTAATTTCTTATTCTATAACTCTAGGCTTAGCCTACTATTTTCTCTATTCTAGCTAGTTAGCTCTATTTCTAATTCTATAATTATAATATCTACCTCTTCTTTTAAAGTATTATTCTAAAGCTCTATTCTATTTCTAGATATAGTATTTTATTATTCTATATTTTTTCTATATAAGAGTAGTACTACTTATAGTTCTATAGTATTATACTTTTTTTTCTTTTTTTATTCTTACTATACTACCTACGCGTACTAAGTCTTTAATAGTTTACTATTACTATTATACTAACCTTATTCTATATACTAGTATTAATATATCTAATAACTTTTATAGCGCTTACTATTCTTATAACCTATATTATATTATAGAGGTATTCTTAGGTTATTATTTAGAGTATATTATAAAGAGTTAGTCTTATAATAAAATATTAGATCTAAAAGAGATAGAGAAACTAGATTAATTACTAGCTAACCTGCGTTCTTAGTAGTCTAAGGCTAGTCTTAAGGTAGAGCGTCTTATTAAATTATAGTAGTCTACTAAGGCGTATAGTAATTACCTTTAGAAGTAGCTAGATTTAGTATAGCGTTACTATAACGCGCTACTTTTAAAGAATCTAGCTAATATTAAGAAGTTAGAGTAGTTAAAGTAGAAGATATAGTAACTTTTATAACTATAACCTCTTATTTCTTTAGTTAATTCTCTTTAGTTATTTAACTAGAGTTATCTAGAGAATCTAGAGTTCTAGTCTCTAGATCTTAGAGATAGTAGTACTAATAAAACTTCTTAAGTTTCTTAGAGTAGTTCTTAAGGTTTTCTAGTAGTTTCTAGGTATTCTCTTCTAGTAGATATTCTTTCTACCTAATCTAGTACTTCTACTAACCTTATATATACTTTCTATCTAGTATTCTTTTAATCTTATAGTTCTAGTCTAGTTCTATCTTAGTTTACTTATTAAGTAGTATATTATTAGGCGCTAGCTTAAGTTTAGACTTATAGAATATAGAGTATATTCTTATTATTAGTAGTAGTCTTAGCCTAAAACTAATAGATCTAAGTTATTTATCTATTTTAAATAGTCTAATTTATAGATAGTTAAGTTTCTTGCTAGGTTATTTAGTACGTAAGTTTTTTTATAAAATAAAAACTTTACTCTTCTTTTTAAAGATTAGTTTCTTAATTCTTTTCTTATTTACTTATTATATTATTCTTTCTACTATTTTTTATAGTTTATTATAGATTATTTTTATTTAGTACTTCTTTTTCTTTATTTTTAGAGAAATTATAGCTATATATATTAAGAATCTATATATTCTAGCCTTATAGCTATAATATACTTAATAGAAAATTATTTCTATAGTTCTTTATTTTACTATATTATATACTAATTATACTATAGATAGTAGCTTAATCTAGTTATTTTATTTCTAGTTAATATAGTTTCTTAGATATTCTTCTAGAGTTTAGTTTATTTATTCTATTTAGCTATTAGTCTATAGATAAAAGCTAGTTAATATTTAATTACTTATTTCTATTTAGTTAAGTAGTACGTTCTAGAACTTAGATATAAATAACTTATTTCTATCTATAGTAACTTATTCTAGTATTCTATATTAGCTAAATAGTTATTAGCTTACCTTATAAGCTAGTTCTTTAGCCTTAAGAGTTTTACTAGTTATATAGAAGTATATATACTTAGTAAATTAGTTTATAATTACTAAGATAGTATTATACTTTCTTTATAATATAGATTTAATTAATCTAGATAGCTTTATAATAAAGTCTATAGTAATATATTACTATAGTACTATAAATAGTTTTAGTAGTTATAGTAGTTTATATAGTTAGTATCTAACTATCTTATTCTATTAGTACTCTATATATTCTTATATTATTTTTATAACTTTTTTCTTTATTATAAAGAATCTATATTTTTACTATAGTCTCTTAAGAGTATATTTAATTTATTATAAATAAGAAAGTTATAGATATAGCTAAAAATTTATAAAACTTAGTAAAAATTAGAATACTAGACTAAAACTTTAATAGCTAATAGAGTAATAATACTATTAAAAATAATTTATTATACCTACTATAGTCTTTATAGAATTATTATTAAAGTCTATAGATAGAGTTTTAAAAAGTTTTATTATATTATTATTATAATATAGTAGTTTTTATTTACTCTTATATAAAATTCTAATACTATTCTAAATAAGATAAAATTATAATCTATACTATCTAGAAAAGGTAATTTTATACTTTCTACTATAACTCTTATAAATATATTTTAACTTTCTATATTTTCTATCTACTACTATATCTATACTCTTAAGTATTAGTAGCTTAGAGTTAAGTCTAGATAGTAGTTTAATATTATAGATATTAGATAAGTAAGATTAAATAAAGCGTACTATATCTAAATTAAGTTTTTTCTAATACTCTTCTAGGCTAGTAAATAGCGCTATACTTTATTAGAGTTTTTTTCTAATATTCTACTACTAGCTACTACACGTAGCTACTCTAGTAGAATATTAAAGAAAAATAGCTACGCTACTACTACTAGTAGTAGCTAGTAGTAGAATATTAGAAAAAAATAGCTACGTGTACTACTAGTAGTAGCTAGTAGTAATAGTATAGCTATTTTTCTCTAATATTCTACTATTACTATAACTATTATCTTATATCTAGTAACTACTATAGTAGTATATCTTTCTTCTTCTTACTTTTTCTTTATAGTAGCTTTTCTATATCTATTCTATATAAGCTTTACTTTCTAGTCTTATCTATACTACGTGTAAAAGTATTACCTTAGCGCTAGTATTATAGTAGTAAGTTATTAAGATACTACTCTAAGAGTCTTACTAACCTAGTTACTCTTAGAAATATAATATAGACGCTTAAAGAAAGAAGACTAAGTTAGTATAGAGTAAGGTAAGCGTTTAAAGAAGATAAGCGTAATAATATAAAAAGAAAAGAAGAGAGGTATTAGTATTAGTAGCGTATATATAAGCTAAGAGTATAAATATTAGCTTTTAGACTACTTTTCTTAGAAAAAAAGACTACCTCTACTATAGATCTTCTTACTAACCTCTAAGTAGATATACTTAAAACCTAACTAGAATTCTAAATAGTATTTCTTAAGCCTAATATTACTATACTATAGATAGCGTAGAAAGCGTATAATAACTAAATATAGCGTAGTAAATCTATTAAGATTAAGAAATAATATAGTAAAGAAGATAGAAATAGAATAGTAGTATAAAGTATTTAGTAGAAGTATATATCTAGAGCTACTATAGAAGCTAGCTATAGTATAGATAGTAAGAGTAAAGTAGAGACTAAAGAAGAGAATAATATAAGTAGTGTTAATAAAATATAAAACCTAGCGCCTAATAATTTTAATAAAGTAGGTAATATTAATATTAATTAGCTTACTAATTATCTAGAGTAGATATAGCTACTAGATACGTTTATAAGCTATTACTATTAGAAGCTACTAGAATAGTATCTCTAGAAGAGCTAATAGTAATATAAGTACTAATTATAAAGGCTAGGTCTATAGTTTCTACTACTATAAGCGCCTCTAGAATACCTAGCTAGATAAGTTAGCTATAGATAGTATAGTCTCTATAAGCTATAAGAATAAGAGGTGCTAGTAGAGTAGGTTAGGTTAAATTTAGCTATCTAAAGATAAGAAGTAGAAGAATACTCTAAAAAGCTCTATATATAAAGGTGCTAAGCGCTAAGGCGCTAGGCTAGGTTACGTAATAAGATTACGTAACCTAAGGTTATATAACCTAAGGTAAATCTCTAAACTAGACTATTATATTACTCTCTCTTATAGAAAGAACTTATCTCTAAGCTTTAAAATACGCCTTCTAAGTCTCTCTTCTTCTAAAACTTCTATATTATACTCTTAACTATCTCTTTTAGCTTATAGTAAGTATATTTATACTAGTTTTAAGCTAGAAGACTTATTACTACGTCTATAGAGCGTCTTTATTATAGACTCTCTTCTTAAATTACTTAGCGCTATTTTTATATTACTCTTATATCTTCTACTCTTATAAGTTTTAAATTCTCTACTATCTTCTCTAGAGTCTTCTCTTTTTTATACGTCTTAATCTAAGTATCTAATTATAATAGTAGCTCTAGCTTATCTAGATATACTATATAAAAGTCTCTTATCTTATAGAGAGTATTAATAAAACCTATAGTATTATACTAGATAGAGTTAGAATTATAAGTA